AGAGGATCAAGTGACAAGTGTCTGAAGGTGAGCCAACATAAATTATCTTCCCTTTTCTATTCTGTCCTTTTGCTGCATTCAGTCTTCAACCCTCTTATTGTTGTTAACTACTTGTTTTCCCAAGAAGTTTATATCATAGCGACATGTCTGCCCAAAACGCTAGGTCTGAAGCTTTGACACGGATAACGCGGTCGTGCACAAAACGGCCATAACACCCGAAACAACACACTAGTCTGTACTAGAAGACAAACAGAGGTAGGGCAGAACACCGAACTTCTAAAGAAGTGGCCAACCCATGTTTCTAGAATTCCAGTAGCCATCAGACAGGTGACACAGAGTAGCACTAGCCCGTCACAAACTAGTCCTATCTTGAGCAAGGATCATACCATGCCTGAAATAGAAGACGACGTAAAAGGCTTCAGAACAAGGCAGCCACAAGCAGTTCGCCACAATCCGTAGCACCTTATTCATGGAAGGAAGGCTGTATTACGACACCCGATGGCTGCAGTGTTTGCACCAAAGTTGTTTCGGTAGTCGATGAGGCATTTGCATGCAACCTATGTCAACGATGGGCGCATTGCCACTGCGACACCAAAGTCCCCCGACAATACTATAAGCTGATGAAGAGACAACCATGCAAGTGGTTCTGGTACATCTGTCCAGAGTGCAGGAAAATGCCCGCACTCCGCACAGAAAGCCTGAAGGAGATGCTCTCCGCCACGCAAAAGCTACCAGCATCCTCGAATAAAGTAGGGTTAACACCAAAGGATAACACAGAGAGACCTGGAAACAGACCTAGAGCTCCAGCTGTGGCACGCCACCTCGCGTGGGGACCATATTAGGTCAAGTCTCCATACCTCCTACCCGGCCCCAGGGGACGTCAAGCGCATGGCCAAAGACATCGACCGCTGAAGCCTCTACGAAACCCATTCCAAACACCCCACACACCGTGACTGAGAAACAACCAGTGGAATTACTCAAACCCATTGGGAAGTCGGGCGTGCCACCCACAACGAACCCAGGTCACAGGAGGACCAACTCGATCATTTTGTTCAACGTCGATGTATCGACAGACTCATTGTTGGTCGAGAGGGAACGGTTTGACAGCCGAATGTGGACCGACTACTGTCAGATGCTGGGACTCCCTCCCCTCCCTGCAACTTTATGTCGCCTTTCTCGAGGAAGCCGTGCACCCCGAGATAAGCCACCCCCTTTACGTGTGTCCCTAAATACTACCAAAGAGGCTGAAGACACACTCCTCTCGCGACAACCGGACGTTGTTAATGCCTGTAAAATTCGGGCCAGGCCTGACAAGCCATGGTCAATAAGAGAGGAGGAGAGAAAGTCAGCGGTTGGAAATCCCAACAGAAACAACACTATAGTTGTACATGGGATTCCAGAATTGCCAAGTGACCGCTCGGTCAAAGATCGGTACTTTCACGACGTCCAACAATGGCAATGGCTCTCAACCAAAGTTGGTCTCAACAGTATACCGGCCAACAGCGTCAGTAGACTGCCAAGGCCAGCGCACCTGAAGACCATACCCAATCCCAGACTACTCGCCGTCCAGTTCGACTCATATGCCTCCCTCACAGACGTTCTACAGGCATGGTATAATGCGAAGATCGCATGGGTGGCTCAATACGTATATGTGAAAGTAAGCCTAGACCCACAAGGCAAGAGGAGAGACGGCAACCACCAAGACCTCTGGAGTCAGTGGTCGTCACACAGGCGCTGACCAGTGAGTTAGATACATCAAGTAAAGAAGCCACCACTGCCACAGCCCCCACCCAAGTTAAGAACAAAACACAAAAAACGGAACAATGCCAGTCCTATGAGGACTGGCGAGGGTAGACCCAACCACATAAGCGCTCATCCTGCGAAAATACACAACCAGACCTCCCCTCTCACCAGGCACACTCTAATATGTATGTACAGCAACGTTAGGGGGCTAAGAGGGAAGGTAGCAGAAATGAGGACGCTGCGTGAACATCAGCACTCCGACATCATATTCATCACCGAATCCTGGCTCTCCAGACATCTCCGACGAAGAGATGCATGTTACTGGCATGGAACTCTTCCGCAGGGACAGGGAACATAGAGCAGGAGGGGAGTGGCTATCTACGTAAACTCCGTTTAAAGGCAAGGATGGTTAGCGATACGGCCTTAACCCAGCTCCCAGAGTCCTATGGTGCTACTTCACTCTCCACAGTACCAAATACCTGCTCGGAGTCATATATCGGTCCCCCACCAGCTCCCCTACACATAAGGAAATGATCATCAAGGCTATCTTAACGACTTCCTCTGCAAATTACGATTCCGTAGTCATTGCCGGCGACTTCAACACCCCGTCCATCCTCTTCGAGACGGAAGGGAGACGCATCAGATCCTTCAATCAGAAGCTGAAGGATGCAATTAAGACTGCTGGCCTCTCAGAGAAAGTGGGTGATGCTACACGCTGGGGACCTAACGGAAACGCATCGCGCCTTGACTACGTTCTGACGAACGATGAACTTCTCATTGAGGATGTTTGCATCCAACCTCCCCTTGGCCTCAGTGACCACGCTGTAATCACCTTCTCCATGATAACTAGGGAGGCTCTGCAACTGGAGACGCCCAACACCTTCCCTTGCTACAGCAAGGCCAACTATGAGACCATGAGGGACTACCTCATGAATGCATCATGGCCAGTGGACTGGACTCATCTCACAATAGATGAACACTGGTTGGAGGTGAAGAAAATAATCACTGGGGCCATCAGTCACAGTGTACCAGAAGTAACACACAGACAATCAATGAGAACCTCATGGTTAAAGCGTGGGACAGAGAGGCTTATCCGGAGCAAGAAGCAGGCTTGGTTCAAGTGGCGTACATCACGCAGGGAGTCTGACTTCTTGAACTACAAAAGGATTCGCAACCACTGTAACATTAGAGTGCGTAACGACAGATTTTCCTACCAAACAAACTTGGCGGAAGGTTACAAAGCAATCCCAAAAACTTGTACCGCTTCATGTCAAGAAGAAAGTCGACCAGTAAGGGAGTGAATCTTGTCACAGGCCATGACGGGAGTGTAATAGGCAGTCTAGAGATTGCCGAGCTTTTGAGCTCACACTTCCAAGCCCAACTCAGCACTGACACAAGATCCACACCGACTCGCTACGACACCGACCAGGTCGTAAATAACGAATACCTCTGTCACGTCTCTATTACAGAGAAAAAGGTGTTCGAGAAGCTATCTAGGCTACGTCCGGGCAAGTCCCCTGGCTGCGATAACCTAAAACCAGTGGTTCTGAAAAACTGCGCCGAGGTGCTTACCAAACCACTTCGCAACCTCTTTGAGCACTCAATAGACTCGTGCAAACTCCCTAAAGAATGGAAGAGCGTCATCTTGTCACCCATCTTCAAGGGAGGAGACAGAAAAAGCCCTGGCAGCTACAGGCCAATTGCTCTACTCCCTATTGTGTCGAAAGTGTTGGAAAGCCTGGTAGCTGACACCATCTGGGAATTCCCAATAGGGAAAACACTGTGCATACTGCTCAGCATGGCTTTCGGAGTGGTCGCTCATGTGCTATCAACTTATTAACCACCTGGGACGACTGGACACGAAGCTGGGACAACAGAAAACCGGTACACGTTGCATTTATCGACCTAGGTGTGACAACCAGAACGAACGCCATTCTACACTTTCTGTGTAGACAGCTTGGCGCCCTCACTCCGAACTCTTCCTCGCCATTTTCAAATCCTACGTGCGGCCGCACCTAGAGGTCTTCAGTACGGTGGCGCCTCCAACACTCAAAAGAGACTCTAATCTTCTTGAAAGAATACAAGGAACTGCAACAAAATCCGTTGTGGGGATAAGGGGAAAGACGTATCCTGAAAGACTTAAACACCTAAACCTATTTACCTCGGGTTATCGCAGGGAAAGTGGTGACCTCATTATGGCATACAAGATCGCCCATCAGGCAGACCATGCAAACAAATTTTGCCTGCAACTCAACGATCTTCACGAGCAAACCCCATTAAGATAGCACACCGGAGAGCCAACACCACACTCAGGTCCAAATTTTTCTCCCTAAGAGTATGTGCTTTATGGAATGCCTTACCGCGACATATCGTTATAGCTCACTCAGTTGACTCTTTCAAAAGGCGATTAGACAGTTATGTCACCTCGCATGGACTACCACGGGCGTACTCAGGTAGTCACCAACCTCAGTACCCCCAGCTCCCTCCTAACTACCACTCACTATCTCTCTCCTTAATACACCCACATTACCTACTAATTCTTCTGTGGGAACCAAACCCACGCGACCATTCGCGCGATTCCCAAATACTTTTCTTTAGTTCTCTTTTCACCCCTCCTTTTCTTCTCCCTCCCTTTTCTCTTCCCTGTATTGTTATTTTTTCCTCTCTTTTTTCTTTTTATTCTCTCTTCATTCCTTTACCACTACCTTACTATTCTCTTTCAGGTACCTACACAGATAGGAGTCACGGCAGTTCTCTAAACTTCCCAGCAACCCCTAGCTCCCAATCACTCTACAAATTACAACCTACCGACCCACAAAACATCCACCTCACCGAAGCTAGAAGCAAGAAGGCAGAGGGGATTTCCTCGTTCACTGCAGGAGTGAACCGAACAACTCGAACCAAGCCCTAAGAAGTGTACGCGAGAGATCAAAAACTACGCTCGCACTATCAATATTGGATATTGGATCTCCTTTTTACAACCAGCCCGACCAATTGTCTACTGGCATGACATTTGAGGAACCCATCTGCGCCACAGTCGTCGGAAGAAAAAGTAAGCAAACAAACAACACTCCCTACAAATCTAACCAACCCCTAACCGCCCATCGGGCTAACCAGAGCTACGGCAGTCGAGTGGGTAGACCTACTGCATTGGAGTCCAACAAAGACCTGGAACCGTTCCTCAAGACCTAGAAGCGAGCGCGAAGAAATCAATTGGTTTACACTAGCTCGTTTAAAGGTATTGGATATTGGATGACCTTGAGTGCACTAAGTAGAGATGTTTGCGCGCTAGATGGTGTTTGAGGCCGTATCGCTCACACTGTTGTGATTACAGTTAGCGTAAGTGTGGTCGCTGATCGAGGAGTCTCGTTAGTTTTCCTGCTTTCCCTCACCGTATGTCTTAAGGAAAACGCTCTCTATTACACTCTGTAAATCTACAAAACCTCAAGCAGATGAAAATCAAGATGTAGAATAGATTTCCCAGTAGTAGTAGTCTCACAAATTTACTTTAAAACTGCCTGTCACATTTTCCTCGGCCGTCTTTTTTCAGTCTATCTCAGACATACAACTTGGCTCTTCGTGCTTGATCAGTCAAAGAAGGTTCAACGGGTGTGACCGAGTTAAGTTTAGTGATGAACTGTGAGCTGCCATTTTTTGACATCTTTCACAATAATGAATGAAAGGAACCTTCCCCTTATAAGTAGTAACAGTTTCTCTGGAAAAGCTATCAAAGGGAATGTGGGGCCTCAGAAATGTATCTATTTAAAATATTTGTGCAAGTTTCTCGGTTTACTTTTTTAACACTGATGAACGTTTACTAACCATGCCAACCTGATTCACACTACCATAGGTGTTCGGGATTATGAATTCATACTGGTTCATGTTTTCATCCTGTAAATTTTCGGAGTTAGACATTCCGCAGGCGCATTATCCCTAGTTTAATTTACAATGAGAATAATGCTGTCACTACATGGTTATAAACAGCTCTTTTTATTTAGTTTGAATGTCTCTAGGTCTCTCTATTTTACTTTGACTTATTGTTTACTTTGTATTTTCTTGTAGTCTGTGGGCTTTTATTTGAGCTTTTTGTCATCCAAGTTGCTGACCATTTACCAGTTAATATCTTAAGTGAACTTTGTCATCACCTTAGATCCTTATCTATTGGATTTATGGAAGCTTTCGATGTAATGGCTGATGAAGAAATCAATTTAAAGGATGCCCTTATCCGGTCGCTGAATGAGGAGGGTATTTTACCAAAGCTTCAAGTACCTGTGTAGTGTCTGTAACGCCATCACTAGGCTCAGTTGAAGGCAGCGGTTTACTTAGCTTTGGAGAAGCACAATTATGCAGAAGGAATACCGTCTTTGAACCAGTCTGTCCGATCCTTTTGGTCAACGGAAGATGGTACAGTGTATCCAATCCATATCTCACTCATTTTTAGCAAGGCTTGATCATTGCCTCATTATTAGTCGACTTTATGACTGTTATGAAGTTCGAAAATACATTAAATGTGCTGAAGCATGAAGCTCAGATGGTTAGGTGTTTTCTCTAATTTCTGGTATATAGGAGCAATTGCAAGTCCTAGATGGTGATACATTGTTATCTCTTTTACCTGTCAAAAGAACATCAGAGAACTCTCCAGTGTTGCTGAGTTTGCTAGAAGCATTGAAAAATCTTCGAACCTCCAATATAGATGAAACAGGTAGGTTGATTATGCATTAAAAGTTTTTCTATTACCTTACCTCCCAAGTGCATTAGTCTCAGTCCGTATCTGCCTAATGCTAACAAAAGCCACCTGTTAAAGTGTCAAAACTGTCAATCGGCAAGCTAAGTCCGAAGTTCGCATCAGCTAACAGTAGAACACTAGCCGCTATCGAGACTTATGGTCGCTTATTTACACTTAAGTATCATTGTTTGAAAATATGTATCGATCACAGGCGATTTTCTCTGCTTTACTGACTTTGATGTTGAAAGACTATGAATTGCCATCGTAGTGTCTTGTGTGACAAAACCATTGCATTAATTTCAGATAAAAAAGATAGGTCAGTTGACTGAGGTAATACACAGTTAATCTCTACCCCAGCACGCATTATTAGCTGATCCAGGGTTTAATTAGAAGGAAGCTGAAATTTACTTTTCAAGGCATGGACCAATCTGTTGAGTCTTTTTCTATTGATTTGAGGTAGATTCTTGAAGCGACCTAAACTCAAGGCTGAAAACTTTAGAAGATAGCTCAGAATAAATCAGCAGTGCATGTGGATACATACTTAGTCATCTTTTGCACGTTAATTTGCTGGTTGAGGCGTGGTGACCTGGATTTGTATACACCATCGTTGATTTCCTTGCGGATATTGTGCTATGTTACCTGTGTAGATGCTGTTTTCCTCAAAATCTATGTCACATTTCACTCTTTCCTCCTACGTATGCTTTTATTAGTTATTCCTGTTTTCGATATATGTAGTGAAAATTGTAGCAACATTTCGCAACTGAATTTCAAATGTAAACCTCCCCTTAAGGTCATATCACTCCGCTTCATGTGGATTTCCTTGGTACTGCTGTCATGCAAGACTAATCTACTGTCTCCACCTAAACAATGTAAACGACGAGGTGTCAACTGCCCTCACGCTTCCAGGAAGACAAATAGCGCATCTAATCAATCTTCACATGCCTTCACTTCTTGTTTCTGTCATCAACATTATCCCCTGACTCTGCAACCATTAATACTAGCCAGCAAAACACCATCATTGATCTAAAATTACTCTGCTGCCTTCATATGGGAGCTCTGCACTTCCGGACCGGGACGCAGGTCTAACGTACCAAAACTTAAGAATCTCAGGTTGTGAATATATTGTTTCTGAGATCCTTATAGGATTCACGTATGACTATTCACCTAACGTAACCTGGCTACGATGGTGAATCTACGAGATTTGACTCGCGACCGTCTGGAGACTCAATAGCCAGTCCCCGTAAACATATCAAGCTGTTACAGAAAAAGTGTACTTTTCGAGCGGGTACTGGTCGATAGCCATATGTGCGCTGTCCGGCTGAGTAGATCTGTAACAACTGAAAAAAAACCGTGCGCTTGTTGATACTTGTTTGTAGTCTTCACCTGCGCGCCCACTGACTATAGTCTAGATGGTGCAATGGATAAGTCCCATCGAAAGCTTTGAGTTTTCTATATAGTGCGAAACTTTCAGATGTAATCATAGTAGCAGGCTCATTCAACGCTTAAGTAGGGCAACTAATCCAATCGGAAAGGCACTTGGGAGTAATCTACGGTATCCCAAGCCAATGAAATGGCAAGTGATTGTCTCTTAAATTTTTGTCCCAACAATCATGTTTCTGATCAACATTAGCTTCAAGCAGTGAACAAGATATTGTCTAACCTGGCATTTACTGTTATCAAACCAAAGGTGAACACAGATATTACTGCTATAAGCCATTGTATGAGAGGATTGTTAGAGGATTTCCGCCCTTTATGGAGTATCTGCTTAAACTAGTCATGCATATATGTTTGCGACTTTATGGAAGCCAGGAACAAACAGCGTCAAAGCCTTTATGTGCTTGAGTGGAAGACGAAAACACCAAGTATGTATTTAGGCAGTTGAGCGAAGCGTTTACCTGAACATGGCAGCATTTCTCTTTCCGATGAGGTGTGACCTGATATTTATTTTGCTGCAGAAACAGCAGTGGAGGTTGGCAATCTATGTCCAGAGGTTAGCGAAAGCTAGTTGATTCTTGTAACATCATCCGAACTAATTAATACAAGAAGACTCATTCCAGCTGGCTTTGACCACAGTGAGGAGCAAAAGCAGCTCAAACGTAAATTGACTAAGTCTTCTTAATGACCCTGACTAGTGGTGGATGGCGAAAGTGAGAGATGGAAAGGGCATCAGCATTAAGTAATACTGAGTAGTTATTTGGAAACTGGCAAGAAGAAAGCGATGATTAATGAGACCACCAAAAGAAAAGGTCAGTACTAACCTCTTAGAGGAAACGCTGAAACATTGCGCAGAACACTGAAGAACAGTTCAGCTGGCATACAGTCACGCTTCAGTTACTCAACATGTCCCCCAAACGTGAAGTGTGCATATATATCGGTCCTTCAACCCTCCTCAAGGTTCAAAAGGGTTTTTCAAACCGGAAATGATGTTAAAAGCAGCATGGATTGATGGCTTATCACCAGAAGGTTTCAGGGATGGAAGCGAAACATTACTTAAGAGTAACAAAAGTGCTAACTAGTGTAGTGGTATCAAAGGTACCCCTCTCACACTAGTCTTCTTCGCTGATCGTTACAGTTTATAAGACGGGAAAAAAGTTTTTATAGGACAACCATAGGAGACGTAGTCTGACAAACGTTGTGTCTGAGATCACACGGTTGTATGACACCTAAATGGAGCTCGAGAGCAACAAACCCACCGAAACTGTGATGGTTTGAGAACTGTCAGAAAGTGCATCAATGGGATCACCTGTCGATAGGTCTTGGGACTGGCATACTTACCACTGGTCGACACTCACCGTGTTTGTTGACCTGAAGTTGGCACTGACTGTGCCAACCGAGAAATATTATGGTAGTGTCTAACTGTTAATGGAGTACTGAAGAAGTTTGTAATACTGTTCAAGGCTCTCTATTCGAACGCGGCCGTACAATGGCTCATGAGTTTTCATTTTAAGGGGCTACGACTAGTGTTTGCCAGGGATGTCTATTGTCACCTTCCTGTTTAATGTCGTTATAGACGTGTAAATGAAAATGACCCTAGATACTTATGAATTCATAGGTGTTGACCTAATTCCTCAGGACTGGCATCTAGTTGACTTGGAGTAGGCAGACAACATTGTGCTGTTAAGCGAAAGCGCTGATAATGTAGGGGGTCATCTGAACGCCTTGAGCATGAATCTGAATATGCTTAGAATGTATTTAGCTTCTGTCAAATGTAAGATGTTACTTCGGCACTGGTATGAAGCTATTTCTAGTTTAAGTTAAGGGAGTTAAGTGGTCGAATGCCTTCATGACTTCATTTGTTCGGTAAGTTACATCAGCTCAAATGAGTTGGTTGCTCACAAAATTTGAGCTCCGATTCTAAAGGTCACTTTGTCGTTCGTCAATTTACAACATTTATGGCTCTGGCAAGACACCCACTACATCGAGGAAAGTTATACTGCGCACTATTGTGGTATTTTTAGTTATTCGGTTTAAACTCGACCTCTGATAAGAGGTGATATGTAAAGGCTAAGGGTTTTAACTATTGGTGTCTTCGTAACACTACTTGCGTGTAGGGAAATCAGTGTGAGCAATATCGAGTTTAAGCAAAGGGTACTAGGTAAGTCTATCAATAAGGTTGTGAACATTTGCCCATTTACGTTGCTAGGACGTGTTACGCATGCCGAGCCACCACCTACTTCGATACGCGTTGTCATCCAAATTACAATTACACTGAAGGAAAGTTTAGGTTGACCAAGCCGAAACGTGGCACCAGTCCATCAAGGCCGAATGTTGGTGCGAAACTTGTAGGGCAGTGTAGACTGCTTACTGCAGCCCTCAAAACGATGTGCATCAGTGTTTGAAGACTGGGTAGTGTGACTCTGAATCGATCACAATGGCGTTGGTAAGTGCACTTCTTATCATGTTTGAATTTTTTGAGTATTTCAATCGACCTTCATTTATCTTTACTCTTTCATCTTGTTTACTTTTGCCTACTTTTTGCTACTGGGTAGCATGGCAGTTTGAATCCACCTTCATACCAGGTTCTGCGTTACTTTGTCTACTCATGTGTCATAGTAAATCGGGGAGAGTTCGAACCAGTAACTCAGGAAGCGCCATATGTACACATCTATGAATATGCCTCTTCCTACTTATCGCATTCCAACGCAGTTGCGACAACATATTTATTCATTTTAGTGCTAGAGGTGCGATTGAAGAGTGAACTACCGTGGCAGTCACTAAAGCTCCACCTATGATTCTTGCACTGTATTTATCAATTCCACATCCTTAATTTTCTGTCTGACTCAATTCATCGTATGCTTTATTCTATAGTTAGTCTTCCAGCTTCGTTTTAATTCGCCAACGAGAACTTTTCATTGTTATTCTTAATGACATTATTCTACACGTAGTTCGTTTACAATTTTAGATTCATCTCCTTCGGTTTCCAACAATTCGCGTAAAAAGTAAGTGTTTAGAAATCACACCGAAGTTATTGGTTGCCATTAGTGATCCTTTTATTCTCGTAAATTGCCTTCGTTTATCTATTTCTTATTTAGGTCGAGCAGAATACCTGTCTTGCAGAGTCGTAAAATGAGGTATAATTACATGAAAGAAATGCTTACTTTGCTATTGTGTGATAATGCCATAGTGACTTTTTTCTTACCGTATTTCTGCATGAGACGCATGCATGCCTTTACTTTCACTTTTCCCGCTACCAGATATCGATAAAAGTTGAAGAACAGTTGGTAAAACGCTTTTTCGGTAATTTATAGTCAGACTTTGCCAATACACACACTAATTATTCATCTGAGACATTTGATATCATTATGGGTAACAGATGAAGTAAAACTCCTACTTCTTATGCCATTTAGTATATGTATTCAAAGTGTCACACAGTGAAACAGGACTATTTACTATAAGTAGTACAGTACAGTAAATAATACTGTTTTGCTGTGTGGCGTTTCTAATAAACAGACCAAAATGGAATTACAATCTATCACAGTGACCAAGTTCTACTTCTATGTATAACTTCTTGACTTACTGGTTTTAACCGCTTATCCCTTGTAGGATATGCTGCGATTTGAATTTTCCGATTTCAGATCACTATTTAACACATTATTGCTAGTCGGATGACGTTTCGAGCACACTTTCGCTCATATTCATATCGAGGTAATCATACAACTTCATAATTGGATTGTATATGGTTCCACTACTTTCTCACTTTTCGACTGAATTGATAACAGGATTCTTCACAAATCTGGAATAGATAGTGAACCATTGGTGTTACACGTGTTAGGCGTTGAATCTGTGAACAAAGATTCTGTAATTAAACCCTTTAGCCCCTTGACTATATCAGTCTCTAAGACTTACTATGCCTACTTATTGTGTGGTTTTGTGTTATCGCGTGCATACCTCTAGGTGAACTATTCTTCTTACTAGTGTCTATCAATCTAGACCCATTTAAGTTCTACTAACCTGACTGACCCGGATAGGCTAGTTTGACTTTTGTATTTGACCTCACAATGATTGTCAGGTATTTGGTAAGTGAAATTACTTTGCCTAATTGGATCCGTCGAGTCCTTAAGTGGACAAAGTTAGTCTCTACGTGAGTTAGTAGGCTTGAGTGTCAACTTATCCCAGCCTTACTGAGAATTCTATGTAGAGTTTATGATATTCCTTTCTCGTATTGTGGTGACACTTAAGAGGTCTTGAACTGCTTCTCAGTCGTGTTGGAGACATCACTCGCACCGCTACTTTTCCTGTTCTTTTGCTTCGTTATGTATTTCTGAATAGATTTCGGAGGATGGTTATTACAGGATAAAGTTTCTCATATATATTTCATTCCTTCATTCAAATTTTCTGATTTTCCGGATTGATACTGAGCTTGATTACTTAAACGCATTTAACTGAACTTTCCTTTACTGATGCAGGATGAGATGATGTGGAGTTTGGGTATTTGTTAAACTGTGATGGTTTTCTGTAGACGCTTGTATCTAATCTCCTATCTTGTCTTTGTCTTATTTAACGATGTAACAGTTATTTCTCCTTGTTCATCTTGAAAGGGAGCTGTATCCCACCTACCACGAGTTTATGTGTGTCAGGAAGCTGTTGATATTTCCGTATTTCGACAGAATTAAAGTGCCATACACATATTTGGAGCATACTTTCGGGGTAGTATTAAGTGATGTAGGAGCTAATTATTTGAATCTGTTCATTGCTTCATGAAGGTCAGTTAGCACATGAGAGATTATGAAACTTGTAGACAGTGTTATGAATAGAATTAGGACTTCTACAGGTGAGGAGGAGGAGGCATAGTGAATGAAGCCATTTCCTGACGAGTTGATTGATTTTCTTCAATGATTTCAATTAATAATGCGTGTTGAATGTACCTTACCATTTGTTAGGTTATTTTATTAAAGCGATTGTTGACTAGAGGAATACGTGAACAAACGAACTATTCCTAAGGTGTTGTCGTATTTTGAAACCGCGTTGCAAACTACATATTGGAGCTTCCAATATCCACAGCCTTCATGATGCTGGTCAACAAGCGCTGTTATCCGAAACTGGAATTTCGTGCTACGGCCATGCGTTTTGTTTGTGATGGATACAACATGACCCAAGTGCAGTTATTCAGAAAGTTATGTGGGTACCTTGATATGGAAATAAACAGTAACATCATCCAATAAATAACACTATCTTGGAATACTTGTCTGAGATGGAATTCGAACGTAAATGGAAATGCACTCAGCAGCGTCGTGCATATTCGTGCAGTAGGCTGTAAGCCACACCTATTGATGAGACTACCTGGTGAAGCGGGGCTAGAACCTGTAACCCATTAGATGTAAATCGTGTCTCTAAACCAATAAGCCACAGCTTCATTGAAATGGAATTACACCTTCACAGGGTCATAATTCTGTATTCACATTAAGGCGTCTATTCATAAGTGTATGAAATGTTTACTTTGGATAATAGCTGTGTATTTGTAAAGTCTGACTGAAGATTACCAAAAAGCTTTTTACTTTAGGTGTTTTTTTAAAATTATCATAGTGGGAATAATAAAGCTGATAATGTGTTATGCTCTATAAGTCGCACCCAGAGCCTTCTAGTTTGATGCTGAAGATCATGAAAGTACACAGTCTTTTGTTTTCAAAGGGACTGTTAAAAGTGCTATGGATTGACCATTTGTTTCATGCTATTGTTACTTGATTTATAGTGATCCTGTGGTTGCTTGTGAAATTTCAATCCTAATAAGTTTCATTTTAGGTAGTTTTCGTATTTTTGAGATAGGTTTGAATAATAAATTGCTGTAGAGTCTTTCTTCAACCGGTCATGCTGATTCTGCATTTCATGATTATAGTATTTAGAATTAATTTTGATGATGGTTTTTCTTGGTTGGATATTCTACATCCCTATCTTGCTTGATCGATTAGATAAAACCTAAATTTTGCCTCTTAAAATAATAAAACTGATTATTTCATTGAGTCAGAGTTAAATCCAGTGTTACTTGATATCCTAGTTTATTATGCTTGAGTTTAAATTTCTGCTTTGTGGTTGCATTGGGTGCTGCTTTTTATATCCAATAACAGTATTCTTTACATTTGCAAGTTTTCGAGTCCATTTGTCCTTTTTCTTTTTGTCAGCTATCCCTTTTTCAAAAAAACCATGCTATGTGCTAATTGGCAACGGTCTCAAGAAAAAGGATTGGATATCATCATTTACTGCTAATTTTTAATCAATGGTTAAGCAGTTTACCTATTTCGATACACACAGTACAAAATAAGCACCCAAATCATGTTTTCTCAAGTTGGTATTGATCATGGAATGACATCAGTTGGAGTAACACTGGAAACCTGAGACCCAGGACCTTCAGGTTCCGTGGCCAGCACATTACCATTAAGCGACTGGGTTGGAATCCAATGGTCCATATTTCCATCTTCTGTCAGTTCACGAAATGGCGGCCACCATCACTAAATGTCATCGTTAAGAATTTGTCCTCATGACCACCAAGTTCGCCTCTCCAGTCACGACTTCTCATTGGAACTTCAGGAATCACCTCTCGAAGCTAGTCACTAACGCGCACTAGATCGATTGAATTTTGGCGTTTATGGGGATTTATTGGTTTTTCAAGTTGGTATTCATCATGGACTGGCACCAGTTGGCCACGAAACCTCAAGGTCCTGGGTCCAATCCCTGGAGGGTGGGGTTATGGGTACGCACTGCTGAGTTTCATACTAGGACGAAACAGCTGTCCAGTGCTCCCAGGTTTCCTATGTTCCTCCAACTGATGTCAGTCCATGATGAATACCAACTTTAAAAATCACTGAATCCCCACAAACCCCAAATCCAAAAATATTTGCTGTGGATAAAATAGTATGACGTTGCTAAAATGCAAACCAAAGGATAAGAAACAATCAGTCATGAGGTAAAATACTTTCAGGGAGTTTTTTCCCTATGTACAACCTTAAAATATTTCGAAGTCAGATAAATGCCGCAGTAGTACCAAAGTTGATTCTGTTTAGCATACACACACTACCCTGGTTTCCCCTACTTAAAATTCCGTCCCACCACAACTTCTACCATTCACACAACCACTAAAATATACAAACGTTTTACTATTTGAAGGTATTCATCACTGAGAGTGAGTGCGAATGGATAGCTATCGTTGCTTTACGAAGCTGTGTTGTCTATGAGCGATCGCTGGGTTCAATTAAATCAAAACATCTTAAGGGTTATGGGACTTCCTTCGAAAAAACTTATTCAGGGCTCTGTGGTTATGGACTCACGTTGATAAGACCAATGATACTAGATCGGGTTTTCTTGGTACAAGCAGAAGAAGTAACCTAAAATATAGGTGACCAAGATATATCTACCTCCTGCAAAAACATCTACCAGGATTCATTTCTCTTTTGAACGCCATCAGCCTTTCTCCAACTTCCCTACCAATTTTTTCCTCTCCTCTATCCAGTGAAAAATATATATGACTTAGAGGTTTTGTTGTTCTGTAGTCTGCGTAGCCAGTTAAGCTCATGGGATAGCATATCTCATCTGAAACTGCGCTTAAAACCACAATAGAGTTTTAAATATCGATTCAAACATCAACAAGATCAGAAGGAAAACTCAATCCAAGACAGGTAACACTCGATTTGTTTTCTACAGCAACACCACGGAAGCAGTTTACACAAATCTTGTTTACGCCTGAGGCTAAACATAACAGTAACATTTATTAGGGTTGAACTTGAGACCATTTCAGAAAGACTACTGGCCAATTCCAGACAAAGGGAAACCTATTCAACAAACAACAATCTAACAGAGATAACTGGCTCAGAAACCGTCAGGTCATCAGCATGTTTAGTAATACTAGTTTTACTAGAATAGGGTAATTCGTGCAAAAAAAAAAAACAGAAACGAAGGAAGTACTGCTTGCCGGCTCCAGTAAGCAATGACAGAGCTCTTTCATTTATAAGTGATATCCTTTCAGAAAACTAAGAATTCAGCCAGCTTGCAACTCTTTGCTCAGTATGAGCAATGGAAAACTTACTTAGCAAGAGTGGTTTAGGAACTAAGGTTGACGCGGGATCTAAAAAGGCAAAGCACACTAAATACCTTTGGCTAGACTGGAAACAATATTATGATGCAAGACATTAGCAGCGTCTAGAGTACTTCTGTTTGGAAGCGAATTGTTTCGAATCTCTGAAAGTCTTCAGTGAAGGTTCAAACAAAAGATGAAGTAATTTCTCCATTGTCTTCAAAAAGCGGGAAGTTATAACGTTGGATTAAAACTTAGCACGTGAACTAGATCACTTATGCATATTCACAACTTTGATCGTCGAAAGAGTGGGTATTGTATTTTCGGAAAACGATGTAATTTCCCTTTATGCACTTTAACTGTATTTTGAATAAAAGTTGAGTTGGGTCTTATTTTTAATTACAGTGGGTGTGGTCTAATGGCATGGGCTATGGCCTGATGTCTCGAACCATACCCTAAATCGATAGTGGTGCTATTCAGGTAGTGGGTAACTACTGCTAGGATGCGTCACAATATGTATTTGTGTCACAGGTTTATGCAGTCATTTATGGGCATGCACCGAAGTGGATAGTTGACGAACCTAGGGAAAGTATTTGCAATTTGTGGGAGTAACACTGATGCATCCATTCCTTGAATCCAAACCTCATTATCATGGAGAAATATGGGTCTAAATGCTTCATTATCCTTATCCATGGTCTCGTTAACTATGAATGATGAAATTCCATGCTAGTCTTTGGTTGTCATATGCTTCTGTCTGTGAGTGGAATGTACCTTCTTATTGTATCCTTTATTCTTTAATGATATGTTTACATTTCAAAATTATTCTCCAACCTGTAGTAAGAGCTTAGGGTATTGATTTCCAAAGCTCTAAGTTTCCTTTTTTAGATGGTTGTGATTTTTCAGTTGAGTAGTTTGTGGAAAAATGAGTGGTTTGAAGATTTCATCTCGAGCTTGTGTTTAACATTGTTTTGGATTGCCTTAATGGTTGGTTATTTTATTTTCATGTTTACTGTTTGATCTATTGTTTTCTCTTAATTGTCCTTTTATAGCTTCTTATGCTTTTTTAAAAAGGTTTCATTCACTTGAGTATGCAGAATATTAAATGGTTTTGAATTGAGCATGTTTGTTTAGACGTAAAAACTATTAGATCTAAAGATCCAGAGGTTTTAATACTGAATGAGTACCATGTAGTTTAGAGATAACTCATGTAACTGGTGTTCAGATGTCTGTTCGAGGTTTCGCGGGTTTGTAGGTTTTGATCGTTCCTGGTTACTCATATATTCGGTTCACAAATGGTCACAAGGATCAATATATGCTATATTTCTTAACGGCCAGTGACGAGGTCTTTCCATCCAGTGAGCCTTATCTGTTCTATGATGGTTTATGATCCTACTTGACTGTCTGAACTTCGTTAAGAGGAGTAAGGTTTTAAATTGTAACTGACTGATTAAAAGCCCGCATCTTAGATCGAAGAGCCACGGCTCTCCACACAAGTAACTTCTCTACTTACTTTCTAAATGTTTGATGATTTCATGGGAAAAATTTGAATTGTTTTGTCAAGACTTAAAAACGCGAAAGACAGAAATAATGTAGTACACATTATAAAATGTGCAGACTACTCGATATTCTATGTAGGAAGAGAAAAAAACTAGACTGAATGAGCATCAAAGATTCATTAAAGGTCAGTCCACAAAGAGACAAATTTCCTTGGTAGCAGCTTATACATTGGATAAAAAGAAGTGACACCATTTGGAACAGCACCAGCATACTAAAGTCCAACAAAAAGACAGACTATATATGCGACATCCATTGGTAAATACGTGAATAAAAAATTCCAACTGTTGATGTGATCACGGGCAGTAATTTTGCTCGAAATATTACCAAAATAAAAACTTATCGTCGTGTAAACTTTTGATTAAAAAAATTTACTTGTAATACAGAAAGAAGATTTGTTATTCAGTTCGTTAACCGTATCATTCTAAGGTTTAGTCGTAAGTACATTGGGATTAGTATTACCACCCTTTGGTACAATTCTATTACAGAATGTTTTCACTTCTCCCCACTGAGTAGTCATTTGTCCATTGTGTAGAGAATTAAGCTATTTAACAGCACAGATTATCACTAACATCATTATGAGTTTAAATATGGGGACTCTACTTGGCTGTTTTCAGCCTGTTCAACATAATTTTTGTTACATCCTGATTGGTACTGTAATTGTGACATCTTCTATTGTCAGGAACAAAATTATTCGCTTTGTGAGCATCATAGTATATTTAGTATAAGTGAAAAACTTGGGCACTGTGGTAGAATGTAGTTCCATATTAGATTTGTTTATTTGATATAAAGCGCACAGTGATACAGTATTATTTAATTCAATTAAATAATACTGTATCACTGTGCGCTTTATATCAAATAAACAAATCTAATATGGAATAGTATATTTAGGACTTGAAATTTAGCTTTCACTAATTGATAAATCTCGGCTGTATTCTAGGTTTATCAAATTCCTTTCATTTGCCCACTACTTTGATGCTGACCTTTGCTTCTGTATTTCACACTGGATTTCATTGTAGTCTACAGTCTCAAGCTTCTGATGAAACAGTTGGCACTCCAAGTCATAAGGTTAGTAAATCATCCAAAGCGAGTGAATCCCCAAGGATTCATCAGGATTCTGCATTTCAAGAAACAATCAATAACTGCAATAACAGGCTGAATATGCGTTCACCGACATCTGGTTTTGCTGATTCCTTGCATCCATTAACTCCAACTTCTCCAACCTCAGGAAATGTTAGCAAGGCTGAATCTATTGGGAGACCGAATTCTGGATATATTTCTCCATCAATAGTTAGAGTGTATGCACCTGTAAAAAAACAGTCCTCTGTAAATGATGACAAATCAGATGTAGACGATGAAGACGACGATATTGAAGAGGTGCTAAGGACTGAAGAATCGGTAGGTGGTTCATGTTGCATAATCATTTACCGTATTCTGTACGCTAAAGCGTAGTTCGAAATCAAATACCTCTATCTTAGTGACAAATACATTTCATTTGATTTGACTGTTAGAATATGCTAAGATTACCTTTTTCACCTCAAATGTCAAACGATCATCGATGAAAACGTAAATCATAATGCTACATTCTTAACAGCACAGTCACTTTTCAAGGCAGTTCGGCAAATGCAGAGGTAAGGAGGTTGGAGGATGATGAAAATGATACTAGGAGGAAAACATGCAATATATAAAGATACAGAGTAAGGCGTAGAATAGGTATAATGTGATAAAATTGGCGTTCATAATGGAAAAGTTGACTGTAACTCAACAGACATAATCCCTTAAAACACTACACTTCGTCTTATTATCTGTAATAGACAATAGGCTAAAGTATAGATAATCTTCGTCTTCTAATAGCGTTATCGAAATTTAAAGTATAGAAATTATAAAACATACGACAAAAGGAAACGGTATGCGGGAAATATTCGGAATAGGAAAAAAATCACTCCTTTGCGTATAAGATATCCATTTCCGATTCAGTAACCAACCCCATCGACTTGTCTGTGAAATGTCGATGGATTCATGATCGAGGCCCCTGTCCTAGCAGGAATCTTCATTATATTATTATTTTTCCCTTGGGTTCTTAGTGAAACAAAGGGCTTCAGTAGCACGCCTCCATTTCACTCTCTTCTCTGCAGTCTTTTCAACCTGGTGCCACGACTACCACAAGCTTTCATTTCTTCCTCACATGATCTCCTGCATGTCACTCCCAGCTGGGACGCCCAACTCGTCGTTTCCCCTTCGGATTCCACTCAAGGGCCTGGCCTGTGGGCGTGCTGTCCCCAGTCGGCCTCCTCAGTGTATGCCCAATCCATCTCCACTTTCTGCTGCATATTTGTTGGGCGATAGGTTCTTAGTTAGTCCGTTCCCAGAGTTCCTTGTTGCTTATTCTTATTATTCTGGCCATCTGATCTTCAGTTTGAGTGAATGTAGGCGGCAGCTGTTGATGTATGCTGTCTGTAGTTTGTTAAAAATGCTTTTCGTGACACGCCAAGTTTTTGAGCCGTACAGAAGCACCGATTTCACGTTGGTGTCGAAAATCCGAGTCTTGTTCTTTATGCTGAGCTGAGTGCAGAAGATCTTCACACTGGTTTGAAATTAGTGAAAGCCTGTCTTGATGTCTTTTCGATCCTGGCCGTGACATCCTCGTCTGTGCCGCCACCTGTAGTTGAAACGATGCTGCCTAGGTAGGTGAGAGAGACAACTTCCTTTAAGTTTCTCCGTTTATGGTGATTGGTGCTTGTTGTTGATGCTGTTGTTGGTTGGGTATCTTCATCACCTCCGTCTTCTCTACATTCACTTGAAATCCCGTTTTCGCTGCCTTTTCTGTCAACTTGTTAGTTTTCACCTGTGGATCTTTGAGTTTGTGCGACAAAACATTAGACATGAGTCATCATCTGCGAAATCCAAATCTTCTAGGCTCTTTTTATCGTTCCAGCCAGCGTGTGCCCGTCTTCTCGGTCTTCAGAGTTTGCTGCACTATCCTGTCCACCACAATCTGGAGGATCATAGGTGATAGTAGGCGGCAGCCTTGTCTTACTCCAGTCTTCACTTCAAAGGCATCATTGAGCTTTCCATTTAGCTTACTTGGCACGTGACATCTTCATATAACTAATAATGAGGTTGACAAAGGTTTGTGGCACTTCGTAGTGTTAAAACAACTGCCAAATTACTTTCCAGTCGACGCTGTCGAAGGCCTTTTCAAAGTCGATAAAGTTGAGGTGGAGAGTTGACTGCCATTCTATACTCTATTCTATGATGATGCGTGGCGTAGCGTTGCAACTCGACCCCCACATAATTTGTTCTTCCTGAAGCCAGTCAGCCTGTTCTGGTCGAATTTTTATCCAGCGCATCCTTTAGTCACTCTAGGATGATGCGGCCTAACATTTTGCTTGTAGTGGTCAGGGACAAGAGCCTGATTCCGCGTCAGTTCCTTAAAAGGTTTAGATCTCCCTTCTTTGGGATTTTGACAAGGTAGCCCTCCTTCCAGTCAACCGGTAGGTACATCTCCTTCCTTCCCTTCAGACCTTCTGCAATGGTGGTGTGACATGTTAACTGTTGTCTCTGTGTCTGTATTCAGTGCTTCTGGTGGAATTCCATCTGGTCCTGCTGCTTTCCCGCATTTCAGTAGCTTTATGGCGCTCAAGACTTCTGCTTTTGTCGGTGGGCCTGTGTTCACTGGTAGTTCTGCCGTTGCTGGTGGTATTTCTAAACGAAGTGCAGGTGGTGGTCGATTCAAGAGCTTTTTGAAGTGGTCAGACCTTCGTTTCCTTTGTTTCTCTTTTCTGGAAATTAGATTCCCCTCATCTTTTATTCGTTTCATCTGTGTTGATCTTTTCCCTCCCAGATAGTAACCTGGTTATTTGATATAATGCTGTCAGGTCTCTGTCTCTCCCACCTGCAGACAGTTCTGCCTCACTTGTCAGTGTGTCATAGAAGTGTGTTTTGTCTTTGCGCACACTCTTCTTCACTTCTTTGTTCAGTGTAGTGTTTTATGGGTTGTGTTCAGTTCCTCTTTCCTTGTTCATCCTTGCACTGCACTGATTTATCTTCTGCTTCACCATATTCCTCTGCCTGTTCTGTCAGCTTCCATGTGTCCGTCGAGATCCATTCCTTGTCTTGGCACCTCTTCTTCCTTCCTAATGCGATTATGTAGGTTTCTTTCCACATCTCCCTCAAGGTGTTCCAGTGTTCTTCCATGCAGGTTCCTTCAGGGATGTTGCTCGATATCTCCCATTTTGTTTTGATGGCTGACGTGAAGATGTCCTCTGTAGTTTTGTCTTTGAGTTTCTGTTTTGTGTGTTGAACTTGAACTGTGATCCATCACCAACTTCCTTGAAGGCCTTCAACTTGATTTGGAAGGTTCCTTGCCCTAGATAGTGAGTAGTGTGAACCTACATCTGCTCCCCTTCTTGATCTGATCTTGTGTCAAGTAGGCTGCGTCTCCACTTTCTTCAGATTGAGATGAAGTCGATCTGATTTTAGTGTGTCTGGTGAAATCAAATCCATGTCGCTGCCTTGTGAATATGCTTGTGTTTGTACGCACGCCTCTGATCATCAAATCGTTGAATGCGCAGAAATCTGCAAACAGTTCTCCGTTCTCATTCATTTCACCGAGTGCTTCACGACCCATGATGAGTTCTCTTCCTGTGTTGTCTGCTCCCAATTTGGCATTCATGTCGCCCATTAGAATTTTGATGTTGCCAACTGCAGTCTTGTCTAGTACTGATTTCAGTTGTCTGTAGGATTCCTCCTCCTTCTCTTCATCTGCATTATTAGTTGGCGCGTAGCATTGAATGTTTGTGACTTGCTTCCTATTGAGTCGAATCTTGCTGTCATGATCCTGATCGTTGAGGAGATTGGTTCCCATTGCATAAGCGTGTTCGATGCTCTTAGGGACATCATGATAGCCACTCCAAAAACAGTGTACTCGTGGTTATCATTAGGGTGACAATATCGGAGTAGATTATTGACTCTCCAGTTGACAGTTTAGAGAGTCCACTCCCATTCCATCTGCAGATTCCAAGCACTTGCATGCCATATCTCCTCATCTCTTTGCGATCCTGGCAGCCTTGGTAGGTTCATCCATGGTGCGGACATTCCATGTTCTCACGTTTACTTTTGCTTTCATCGAGAGAGAGAGAGAGAGAAGACACATCAGCCAATTGGCTTCGTGAAGGCTTTCACCAACCGACGTCATTTCATCTCTCCGATTCCAGTGAGGAGAAAGTTTGTTTTTACGTTTTATAATTTGCCTGTGCTTAGAAGTTTCTTTAGCGGTTGGATTGATTTTCCGGGGTAGGGTTGGTAGTCCTATGCCCAACCTTGCCTCTTTTTCTGGGCTTAGGACCGGCTAGTAACTAGTGAACTAGTTAACCAGGCAAGATTAAAAATCTTCATGTGTTACCTAAAACACATATGATTTAGTTCATTCATGGAAGAAATGTCTTAGTACTGCAAGCATTTTGATGACTCATTTGTAGTGATGTAAATCACAAATCTAGACTCCAATATTGTATTTATGCCTATATAATAATGCTTGGAGTTAAACCAAGTTTTCGGATTTCAGCGTGTATGGAACGAATGACGTTATCGTCGAGAAGCCCATCAAAAGGGAAGTAAATCCTAATAATACTTTTATTACTGTGTCTTTCGTTTCTGCTAACGACGGGGGTAGACTATTCTAAATACCTTATAACGGAATCCGAAACTTATTTTCAGCGAACAAGCCAGAAGAGTCAAGTGTTATCAAGCAGTGTTTTGGAGACAATGAATATCTACGGAATCATGAAGCATGTTTGGTAAAGATCTGGTTAAAAGAACTAGACACGTAACTGTTAAGAAGCAGGTAGCTTTCATTTGTTTTGCTTTCAAGGGAGATGCCCTCCCTGCGACAGTCGATTTGCGGTTTAAAGAAGTACTGGCGCTAATTTTCTTTGTAACTCAATTCGTATCGTATCACACCGTATGTTGAGTAACCGAATCAAAAAATGAATGTACGTCCCGATGGTTTCATCTGCAATTGCTTTTACCAACTTTTAGGGGACTATGGTAGCAAGTACATTGGAAGGGTCACTTGTACTCAGTTTTCTCAAGATATTCTAAAGAATATTCGCTTGGTGCAAAACGAGCATCTGAAGGTTTTAATGAGTGTAACGTCGTTCCTCATGTTAGGGTCGAAAAGGGAGATTCGTCGCATTCATTCTCTACTACACGGTTTTGACTAATACAACTACCAAACTCCTCTTGAACACGAGACGTTTAGTCGTTTAAAACATACATTCAGAACGTATGTGAAGTCCTTCGGTTCACTTTCAGCCAGACTTATGCATCCGGACAGTTAAATCAATCTCTCTTTCGCATAGCGACTGCTTCAATTCCATAATCAATTATTTTACTCACCTGCGAATTTCAACTCACTGAGTTGCCTTCAGTCTTTAAGTGTCGCTTCTTGCTCATGTGAAATCTGTTAGCTTGTCTGGATTATTCCTTTCCCTACATTCTTTTCCACCTTTTTTTACTACTCTTTGAGCTTCTGATTAGTGACATGTAAACTCGCTATGATCTTAACTTGGATATACAGTTTTCGCCACAATTTTCTTTTCTATTGTTTATAGTATTTAATATATTGTTGCCTGACTTTTCATAACTGGAGTATTTATTTTGCTCAAGGTTTTCATCAATTTACATGTTTACTTTTTCCGACTTATTTTGTATTCCATCTCACTATAATGTAATGTTTCTTCTGTAGGTCGCAGATGATGCAGTCGACCAAACTGTTGATTCGGAGCAGAGTCTGGGTCTAGATTACGTGGAAGAAGTCCAACCAATGCTCAGTCATGTACCGCCAACACGTGCTGTTAATAACTGAGTGGTCTGTAATCATACGCATTGTTCGTAGCTCTTAAGCTTCTGAGGATTTCCTTATGCATCACTGATCTATGATTCAAAACGTATTGTTATCTAGTTTTTCTAATGTTCCTTGTTTCCGGAATTCCAATCCACTCGCTTATATGGTTTTAGTGATGTTTACATTAAACAAACAAAACCGCGTGAACTGACAGCTTAACTTTTTGATGTTCGCGTTTAATTTTGTCAGTGTATAAAATACATCACACTTCTCTACTGCTTGGATAAACATTAAAAGGAAAAACACGTTTGTTCCTACTTCTGTAATAATGGTTTACTGATAAATAGGTGCGTGATACAAATTTTGAGATACATACTGAATTACGTAATTGATAGTGAGATTTTAAATGTATTCTTAGAATTAAGGCTTTTTCAAATTATTAGTTCAAAGGGACTGGTAAAAGCTTTTTATAAACAGATAAAAACTATAAAAAAAATCTAATCATGGTAGCGTACATCCGGTGGAATGTTTATTCCATTGCTCGTATTCTTTGTATATTTCTCCAAAGTCGAAGAACTGTTCCACCACTAAAATGAAAAAAATCTTTTTCAGAAAGTAAGCATTCGCTTGAAGTTGCTCGATTTAAGTACTATGTCGTTTGCCTTACAGATACTTAAGGAAGACTCCCCAATGGCTCAACAGAATGCATAAAATCTATTCTTGTTTGTGTGTCAATTGACGTAGCTTATTAATGCAATTGCTCTGAATAAATTCGGAAAGGAGATTGCCATTCTTTAGAGTGTGAACTTCAATCATGTAATGTGCACACGCTTTTTCTCACCGAATATGGTATATTCTACTAAAACATTTCTCTACTAGATTTCAAGATCAAATATCGAATCATCTATTCAGAAGCCGAATGAGCTTCCACTTGAGTTAAACATCTATTTTGATCCCTTGCTAGTCTAGTACTACCTTCAGTCTTTTGTGAAAACATCAAAGAAAAATCTTTCAGCCATAGGTTTTCTCCATTAGGCCTTCAGTAGGCGACATCTGTGTAAAGCGGTACACTGACGAACTGTTGAAACAGTTTGCAGACAGGTTTGGAATTATAGTCACCCTTATGTTTCTAAGACACAAACGAGGATCCTTCAACTGTCAGAAATTTAGGCCGGGTCAATTCAAACCTGACATAGGTAGCTCATGGTAGTTCCTAACTCAAGAATAGCTGGTTATAATCAACACAAAACTGGTTATTATTGCGAAATGTACTGGTGCCGTGTCTAAGTTTGGTTACCTCCAGCAGTTTTCCTGCCTAAACCCACATCATCTAATATTGTGCGACGAAGCAGACGATGACCAGGCATGCATACCACATGTTCCAACCACCTGAACCCACGTAGGCTCACAACCTCATCAACTGACACTCTTCTCCCTATGGCACTACACCTGACCTCCATATTACTAACGCGGTGACACTACTACACATTGCCTGTACTACGAAGGCAATGGTGGTCGAACACCTGGAGCTTTCTCATGCTTGTGGTCATTAAAGGTAGCTTTAGTGGTCATATTTCACAGGCTTACAGTAGAATAGAGCCAACTACAGCGCAGTACACTCTATCCTTAATAGGGGATCGGATATCACGGCGTCGCCACAGATGGCGTGAGTTTGCAATAGCCAGGCAATCCTAGTGTGTCCCTACGGAGATTTTCTCGGTCACTGAAGCCCACGGCCATTCCTACTCCCCAGATAAACGAAGTGAACAACGCGTTCAACCACTTCATTCCCCACTTTTAGACAGGGCACTAGTGAAGACCAGACGTGGAGCAACAGTTTTCGTCTGGGTGGCGAGGAATGCATCTCATACATTGTTAAATTACTCCTCAAGACGTTGAGAAGACTCTGCACTCCATCAATGTCTTCATTTAACAGGATTATATCATCTGCATACTCTATCTACTAAGCAGTCTCCAGTGATAAGGTCATTCCCTGTGAAAGCAGATGACGAGAGCGAGACCTCCACAATTACGTGTATGATAAAGTCGGACACTGATCGACGTACTCAACTCACCACAGGCTCTAATACCCCCAAGGGCGTTCGAGGACAGAACCTTCGACAGAGTGATGTACTTAGTTGACAACTCTTTCAGTAAGAGACTCTTCATAAGACATCTTAGTCGACGGGGCCAGACGCCGCCTTTGTTGCTAGTTTTGAGCGTTGGTGATTGTGTCTGTGTTCCAGAATTTGGTGTAGGATAAATATCTGGTCGATACACCATTGGTCGGTCCTAAAGCCTGCTCGGTTTCCTCGAGTTCGCTTTTCCTATGCTCCTCTTAGATGCCTATTTACTAAAGAACCTAAAACATTAGCTTCATCTAACTGATTCCTCGCTATTTCAAGTGGTCGTTGCGTAGACTGTTTATCAGCCTACATTTCAGTTTCCTCCATTCCGAATTGGCTGACAAACTGCAGGGATGTGTTAACACGAGTTCATTAATTCAGGAAAAGCTCTTTACACTAACTGGTTTTTCTCTTTTCAGCAGTATAGTCTATACTACTGCTTTTTGAAAATCATTGCAGATGGCGCGACCCTTCTCTGAGATGAGTGACCCTATCTTATTTCTTTAAATATCTAGCCTGTTTCTTGCTGATAGAAGCCTCAGAATTCTCATCGTCGAGTGGCTCAAGCAATAGTCTTGTTTCTGTAGTTATCTCACATTCATTGGGGAACATATATACGCGTGCTTGAACCAGCGCATGATCATTGTCCATGCACTTGCTCCAACGAGACAGGCAGTCTTCAATCAACCTTCTCTTGAGATTACCGATGGCAATAAAGACTATCCGCTTCCCTCGTTAAGTTGAGGTCAGTGGGCACAGCTTCAGACAGTGTCTATTTATGTCTGAAGTTCCTGCTGGCCTACAACATTTGGTTGCCTGATTGCAGTTGCAGCAGGTGATTAACGTCTTCTGCATGTTCGACCGAGATTCCGAAATTGTCACAGTCCTCTTCTGCGTGACTAAGGTTACCCACTGGCATATTGAAATCACTTGCTGAGACAACTATGTATGATCATTCGGCTTTTTGGTCGGAGGTTGGACAATTCTTGGTAGAACTCATGCTTCACCTCATCAGAAAGGCAGTCAATATCAAGGTTAGTAGAAATTACAAAGAGAAATCGGAGAATTCCACTGTTCTATTTGACCCTTACTGTACCCTTCTATCGAACAGCTCGCAAGTGGCTACTAGGAAGGATCTAGTCGAGCAACGTTATTTATTACTATTATTTGTCCCTTGGGTTCCTAATGAAACATACCGCTTCGGTAGCACATCTCCATTCCACTCTCTTCTCTGAAGTCTTTTCAACCTGGTTCCACGACAGCTCACAAGCTCTCATTTCCTCCTCGCACGATCTCCCCCATGTCACCCTCAGCTGGGACGCCCAACTCGTCTCTTCTCATCTGGGTTCCACTCGAGAGCCTAGCGCGTGATGTCCCCAGTCGGCATTCTCAGTGTATGCCCAATCCATCTCCACTTCCTTCCAGTGCATATTTGTTCAGCGATAGGTTCTTGGTTGGTTCGTTGCCAGCCAGCCAGAGTTCCTTGTTGCTTATTCTTAGTATTCTGTCCATCTGATCTTCAGTAACGAGTCAGCGTAGGCAGTTGTTGATGAATATCTGTAGTTTATTGGAAATCCCTTTCGTAACCCACCAAGTCTCTGAACCATACAGAAGCACTGACTTGACTCACGTAGGTGTTGAAAATCCGGATCTTGTTCCACATGCTGAGTGCAGTGCAGAAGATCTCACTGGTTTCAGGTTAATGAAGGCCTGTCTTGCTTTTCCTATTCTGACTTCGACACCCTCGTCTGTGCCCGCCACCTGTAGTTGAAACGATGCTGCCTAGGTAGGTGAGAGAGACAACTTCTCTTAAGTTTCTCCCGTTGTTGGTGATTGGAGCTTGTTGTTGATGCTGTTGTTGTTTAGATATCTTCATCACCTCTGTCTTCTCTGTGTTCACTTGAAGACCCATCTTCGCTGCCTCTTCTATCAAGTTGTTAGTTCTCGCCTGTAGATCTTCGAGTTTGTGTGACATTAGACACAAGTCATCGGCGAAGACAAGCAATGTACTTTCTGCTATTTAAAATGATGCTTTACTTCTGAGAAGACCGTGAGAATTAGCTTGTAAATATCCAGACACATAAAAGGTGAATTTAGCAGAATAACGACATGAATAACTGCACTTGGGTCATGTTGTATCCATCACAAACAAAACGCATGGCCGTAGCACGAAATTCCAGTTTCGGATAACAGCGCTTGTTGACCAGCATCATGAAGGCTGTGGATATTGGAAGCTCCAATATGTAGTTTGCAACGCGGTTTCAAAATACGACAACACCTTAGGAATAGTTCGTTTGTTCACGTATTCCTAGTCAACAATCGCTTTAATAAAATAACCTAACAAATGGTAAGGTACATTCAACACGCATTATTAATTGAAATCATTGAAGAAAATCAATCAACTCGTCAGGAAATGGCTTCATTCACTATGCCTCCTCCTCCTCACCTGTAGAAGTCCTAATTCTATTCATAACACTGTCTACAAGTTTCATAATCTCTCATGTGCTAACTGACCTTCATGAAGCAATGAACAGATTCAAATAATTAGCTCCTACACCACTTAATACTACCCCGAAAGTATGCTCCAAATATGTGTATGGCACTTTAATTCTGTCGAAATACGGAAATATCAACAGCTTCCTGACACACATAAACTCGTGGTAGGTGGGATACAGCTCCCTTTCAAGATGAACAAGGAGAAATAACTGTTACATCGTTAAATAAGACAAAGACAAGATAGGAGATTAGATACAAGCGTCTACAGAAAACCATCACAGTTTAACAAATACCCAAACTCCACATCATCTCATCCTGCATCAGTAAAGGAAAGTTCAGTTAAATGCGTTTAAGTAATCAAGCTCAGTATCAATCCGGAAAATCAGAAAATTTGAATGAAGGAATGAAATATATATGAGAAACTTTATCCTGTAATAACCATCCTCCGAAATCTATTCAGAAATACATAACGAAGCAAAAGAACAGGAAAAGTAGCGGTGCGAGTGATGTCTCCAACACGACTGAGAAGCAGTTCAAGACCTCTTAAGTGTCACCACAATACGAGAAAGGAATATCATAAACTCTACATAGAATTCTCAGTAAGGCTGGGATAAGTTGACACTCAAGCCTACTAACTCACGTAGAGACTAACTTTGTCCACTTAAGGACTCGACGGATCCAATTAGGCAAAGTAATTTCACTTACCAAATACCTGACAATCATTGTGAGGTCAAATACAAAAGTCAAACTAGCCTATCCGGGTCAGTCAGGTTAGTAGAACTTAAATGGGTCTAGATTGATAGACACTAGTAAGAAGAATAGTTCACCTAGAGGTATGCACGCGATAACACAAAACCACACAATAAGTAGGCATAGTAAGTCTTAGAGACTGATATAGTCAAGGGACTAAAGGGTTTAATTACAGAATCTTTGTTCACAGATTCAACGCCTAACACGTGTAACACCAATGGTTCACTATCTATTCCAGATTTGTGAAGAATCCTGTTATCAATTCAGTCGAAAAGTGAGAAAGTAGTGGAACCATATACAACCCAATTATGAAGTTGTATGATTACCTCGATATGAATATGAGCGAAAGTGTGCTCGAAACGTCATCCAACTAGCAATACTTTATCATTATTTTTGAGGAAATCTTGGATAGTGTGGTATAGTAGACTTCCATTTTAGAATGTTGATTTGATGTAGCACACCGTAATATTGTATTATTCACTAGATGACGTTTCGAGCAGAGTTTATTACTCTTTTCCAAATCGACGTAATCATACGAAGTTTCCTTACATACTCCAACAGTTCTTCATTGTTTTATTTTGATGGTAGTTAAATTCTCCAGATATCTCCAATATGCAATGAATTATTCCTGATACATGTGTTAGATGTTGATTCAATGAACTAAGACTCTATGGTCGAACTTTCTCTTCATTTTGAATTGTTACCCCATAATGTGATTACCGGTCAAAGCATGTAGAGCGGTAGCTGAGGTTTTCTCTGAATTACCGTTCTTAGTAGGGTCTATCACTGTATGCTTCACCAAATTCTTGTGCTCATTTATCCCGACTGACTCAAATCGGTTGCTTTGATCTCTATACTTGACCTTACAATCATTACGAAGTATTTGATAGACCAGGTTATTTTTCTTATTTGGTTCTACTGGATCTTTTAGCCGACAAAGTTTCTTCGAGACTAAATTTTTGGAATTAAGTGCCACCGTAATCCTAGCATTGTTAAGAATCCTACATAAAATTTCCTACATGCCTTCTCAATATGGTAACTTTATAGAGGATTTAGATTACTTAAGGCATATTGCAGTGACCACTAACATCAATGCTTCTCGTATCAGTCCTTATAGACCTTTTAATGAGTTCAGGAGAGTGGTTAATAAGAAATCATGTATTTTTGATATATTTCAGTTCCTCATTTAGGTTTTTGAGTTACTAGTCAAACGCCGAGCCTGATTACTTTGTCATTTTATGAAGCCTACCTTGACAGATTTAGGATGAGATAATGTGAAAACCAAGTACCTGGTTGTGTTGATTTCCTATAAACACTGGTACCTAAACTTCCATCTTCTCTCCTCCTGATTTTGCAATCTAACACAGGTAATTCTCCTTATTCATTTTCTAATTTATAAGTGAATTGGATTGCATCTCTTACCGAGTTAGTGAACGCGAAAAAACTCTGGATGTTTTGATTTCAACATAGTAAATGTGTCGTCTAAGTATGACCAGTATAATTTTGTGGTTGGTTAAAATGTTACTGATGCCATCTGTTCCCAACTGTCCGTAGCTCTACTACAATCCGGGATATCGGAGATCTCATAGCTACTCCTCTTTGTTTATATATTTTGCCTTGAGATTCAAAGACCATAGAAGCTAGACAGAATCGTATCCGTAGCACAATTTCTTCAGTCGAGACTTTAGTTCTATTACGGACTCCATGTTGAGTTTAATTCTGACTGTGTTGAGGGCCATATTAATTGGAATATACGTTAAGAAAGAGGCTGGTCACAATAAAACTGATCATCTTTTCTCCCACTTCTATTTCTATTCAAAGAAATTGGTGATTTACCGCACTGTATCAAATAGATTGACTTAATATGGAGTGCATGACAATGTAGATTTACTAAATAGGAGTAAGTAAGAAATAATGAGAAGGATATGAGAAAGAAAAATGTTTCATTGTATCACTTTGGTTTCTATACATTGATCTTCAGGTAGAATTATCCGATCTAATTGTAAGTAATTCTAAACGAAAAACTTAGTGTTGTACACTAAACTCACAAGCAGCATAAGATGGCAAACGTCAACCGAATCTTTTACATCAGTGGTAAGATTTCTTCAATAACTGACCCAAAACGATTCATGAGAAATTCTAGGTTAGTGAATCAGTCAACGCAAGCTTTAGAACTGACCAATGGTGTATCGACCAGATATTTATCCTACACCAAATTCTGGAACACAGACACAATCACCAACGCTCAAAACTAGCAACAAAGGCGGCGTCTGGCCCCGTCGACTAAGATGTCTTATGAAGAGTCTCTTACTGAAAGAGTTGTCAACTAAGTACATCACTCTGTCGAAGGTTCTGTCCTCGAACGCCCTTGGGGGTATTAGAGCCTGTGGTGAGTTGAGTACGTCGATCAGTGTCCGACTTTATCATACACGTAATTGTGGAGGTCTCGCTCTCGTCATCTGCTTTCACAGGGAATGACCTTATCACTGGAGACTGCTTAGTAGATAGAGTATGCAGATGATATAATCCTGTTAAATGAAGACATTGATGGAGTGCAGAGTCTTCTCAACGTCTTGAGGAGTAATTTAACAATGTATGAGATGCATTCCTCGCCACCCAGACGAAAACTGTTGCTCCACGTCTGGTCTTCACTAGTGCCCTGTCTAAAAGTGGGGAATGAAGTGGTTGAACGCGTTGTTCACTTCGTTTATCTGGGGAGTAGGAATGGCCGTGGGGCTTCAGTGACCGAGAAAATCTCCGTAGGGACACACTAGGATTGCCTGGCTATTGCAAACTCACGCCATCTGTGGCGACGCCGTGATATCCGATCCCCTATTAAGGATAGAGTGTACTGCGCTGTAGTTGGCTCTATTCTACTGTAAGCCTGTGAAATATGACCACTAAAGCTACCTTTAATGACCACAAGCATGAGAAAGCTCCAGGTGTTCGACCACCATTGCCTTCGTAGTACAGGCAATGTGTAGTAGTGTCACCGCGTTAGTAATATGGAGGTCAGGTGTAGTGCCATAGGGAGAAGAGTGTCAGTTGATGAGGTTGTGAGCCTACGTGGGTTCAGGTGGTTGGAACATGTGGTATGCATGCCTGGTCATCGTCTGCTTCGTCGCACAATATTAGATGATGTGGGTTTAGGCAGGAAAATTGCTGGAGGTGGCCAGATTGAAGTGCTAATCCAATCAAAATTTAGGATGTGAGAAAGCTGTAAATAAATAGGTCAAGGTGTTATATTCTTGCCTTGTTAGGAATGTGAGCGCATAGTTGTGCTGTAGACTTTATTTGGTAGGTATAATTATGTGTGTGCGTTGATTCAAATGGACTTATCTGATGTGAAGCTGAATTGTAATACGGGAGTCAAATTATTTCTCGGCATAATGATGTTATTCCAATTATCTTAGCTTTTATCCTAACTTCCCATGTTGTTTCTTAGGTGAGACCAGTTTGATAATATATGGAAATAATGGTAGTATGTGTATACTCTCATGAGATAACTTACGTCAAACCCATCTTCCATAAGTCATCCTTTGTGACGGCAATTAGAAAGTCCTCTTCGTCAACAATATTGTTCCGACGAAGCTAAAAAGGAAGTGTTGTGAAGTAACCAACGTTGAATTTCTGTATTATTCACTTATTAGAAATTCATAACACAACTGTGAGAATCTATCAAATATTTTCTAAATATTAAGTGGTGATGAAATCCATTACGTTTTAGGCGCTTGCACTATGGTACTGTCAGGCTTTTCACTTACAAGTTTATAGTCCATCATTTATGTTGTCAGCCACCATTATGCTGTTTCTCATACTAATCCCTTCTATAATTACATCACTTATGTGAAAAGGCCATATCGTTTAGCCATTAGGATTCTGAACTGCATAAAAAACATCAGTCCTACATATGCTGACCAGCTTTCAAATAAGTAATTGAACGCATTTCCACTCTAGCATAACTGCTTTTCGTGATGGATGTGTCTTTCTAGGTTAGTCACAATAAAATGTTGTTACTTTGATGTAAGCTTAAACTGTCATTTTGTAAAAGCCCACACATGTTCGTAATGTACAGCTGTTCCATAATGTTTAGTGACGCTCAAATAGGAAGATAAAATCAATAAGTCTACAGGATTGGTGTGGATTCGGATTTTGTGTACTCTAACTTTGATAATCTAAGGATTCAGAAACCAATCTTGGTTTTCGTATCACATTTTCAAGCAACAAACAGTCACTTTTAGTTGGGAAAACCCAGTTTGCTGTTGGGTTTCGAGACTAATTCTACCTCAAGTTCTTATGCATAACCATGTCAGCAAACGTTACTTTACCAGTTCATCTGGAACTCTACAATGAATTGTCAAAATAATCCTTTCAGAAGGATTATCATTTTTACATGAAGGATCGTCAGATAACTGAGAGGGTTTACTCGGATGATATAAAGTATGTAATGCATAATACAACATAAAAATATGTGACTAGGTCACTCACTTTAGTTTGGTCATCTTCTGGTATACGCAAGCTTGTAAACCATTCATCCAATGTACTGAATTCAGTTTTCCAGACTAGGATTTGATGAAAGATAACAGATTTACTGCTAAAACTCAAATCAAATGTCTGATGTGATCATATTATTACTTTGCAAGTTTAAGAACATTAGTATAACTTTAATGCTTGTAGTACATAATGTCATTCTTGCGGAGATTTGACCTCAATCTCTCTATATAAGTAAGTATCTAGTTTTCAGAGAAGTAGGAGGATGATAAAAAATTACTGATATCTGTAAATGATCACTAGTGAGTTGAATATATTCACTGAAGCCATTAAACTTACATGAATGCAGAAGCATATGACAATATTGGGTTGGCATAACTGTGTTAGTAGCTTATCTGTTTAAAGGTTTGATTATCAGATATGACTCTCATTTTCTCATCAACAGAATAAATATCATTTTAGAACTTGTAGTTCACTTACATTATTTGCACTTATCAAAGATTTATCGTCTTCAGTTTTAGCTATTCTTTAATTACATTTTATATAGCATCATAAGAAACTATGACATTAATATACGTAATTGAAAAACGTATCCAGGCAAACTCATAGAACCTCATGTCAACGTTTACAACCTAGTTCTTTGCCAGTGTATCTGTTTAGGTGTCCAGTTAGAGATTTATGCCATTAAGTAAATGTCAGTGAAATCCAAAGCTTAAATCGAATTTCCGAAGTCTGCAGTTTCCTTCATAACCTTGAAAAAAGTAATGAACTGGATCCATGACAATGAAATAGGCTGCATCAAGTTTATGAATAACCTATTGAAAATACTGTTTAAATATTTCAATTGTTTAGAATTAGTATTGTATAAATCAACAGTATACAGCAAAATATTTTAGGTTACCTAAACTTATCATCGTTGACCTCAGTGAGATAAATCACTTTTTAAAGTTATGTCTAACGGAAAGGAGGAACAAGACCTGATAGAAATCATTGAATTCAAGGGTTTGGGATCGCAACAAGAAAACAACATTTATTCCTTAGAGTAAAGCAGAGTAAATGTATCAGGTCACGAAAACCAGTTAGAGTACTTCCACTAGTGCATCGGTGCTGAGCACAAACTCTAATCATTTTGGTCTTTCTATCTGCTCGGTTATCTTCATCGATAATTGCAAATTCTTTCCGAGAATATAAAATGCATGTACTAGTTTACAAACTAATATGAATTTTCCATTCATATATGTGAACATTCTCGTGGAAAAACCACTGCTTACTTAGTGGTCCAAGAATGTGCCAAAGGTGTTACAAGAGAACCGAAGGTTGACCTTTCCCTAAGAGCATAAAATAATTTTTCTAGCATTCATACACCTTACTCCTTTAGTGGAATGGTGGTACAATGAGTTAAAATCCTAAGTCATGAATCACACATAGGTAATGGCTTGGGAAAAGTCTACATCTGCACCAAAATGTCTTCAGTACCATTGGAGACACACTAATCCATAAGATGAAATTCACAAGTATGTACTTCACTCTGTAAGGACAGGTCAAGTAGAAAAATCTTAGATAATCTAGATGCATTCTATCGTATTTCATAGGTGTGGTAAGCTACTTTTCCTAATTGGTTTTTTTATATGTAATTGACTCTTGAAATGCCTGAAGCGCAAGCATCAACTCAGGGAACAAAATGTAACTGCAATACAGAGATTCAAATATAACAGTTCGCTAGGATTGGTCAATTGATGACGTGGCTCAAATTATTTATAAAATTGACCTCAATATCTATAGGTCTTAACGGTTATTGAACACTGTACCTACCTCTTTATTTAGGGCTCGTTTGAAGTTAGTTTACTCAAGAAATTGTTTTCCATTAGATGAAAATTTTAGGAAAAACCTCAAATGTTTAGTTTTTAGTCGACTGGAATAAATCTAATGATAATCATTGCTTATATTTGAAAAATTAAAATAATGTTGCATGTTCATGATTGTAAGATTTTATACTTTGTCTTCTATGTGTTAGCATTTAGTAGAGCTCAATTTTCTGATTTAGTTTATATTAAATTATACAGTGTACTAATGATTGAAGTGATACATTGTAATTACTTCAAATACCTCTCCTTTGTAGGAAATCATGAACAAAGAGGAATTCTATTTGAGGTGAAAATAACAACTTAAAACTCACATTTATGTTCGAAGCTTTTGTACGTTTAATGACGTTGGATAAAGTTGAAGACAGAAAAAAATTGATTAGTAGTAAATTTGTGAGTTATAAATTAGTTGTTAAGATTCTTAAACACAGAAAGCATTTGTACAAGCAAAGAATAGCAACTTCAATTACTCTGATTCACGATACAATCAAAAATGCTTACTTTATTAGGCCGTTTTACTTGGTGAATATGATTAAATTACCACGCAAGAGAAGAGACAAATTTGTGCTGCAGTTAAGAGATCTTTTAGTTTCATTGTAATCTGTGTTCCCTACTTCCTCTTTCGTCAAGTATCTCTTGCTGGCTAACGGAATTGTTACTGCCAGAGTCGTGCATACTGATTTACTCATAAGCTTCACAACAACTGGTCCGCTGAATAGAGTATAAACTCTCAATCCTTAATTCACATACATTACACGTAACACATAACATGGGGTCATCATCTGCATTAATAGTTTGACAACACAGAACCATTCATGCAGAAAAACTTAAACCAAGTTGACTTAAATAAGCTTGTATATTATAAATTCTAAACTCTTTGTTAAGACTACTTGCCCTGAATAATGAGACACCAGCTAGGCCAACTTTGTTTCTTTCCATATTACTTAGGATATAAAAAACCAAAGTGATTCTATTAATGACAGAGAGTGGCTAGCATTGGAATCCAGGACGTGTATTTCGTCCTGTTTGAAACCCATCAACTGAACGAAACGCGTGTCGTGGATTTCATTGCTAGCCACTATTCATCATGAATATGAAATCTGAAAATAAACGGCAATATCCAGTCATCCACACAGGAGCCTATTCGCCAATAGTGACCTATCAATTTAGACCAGTTAACGACGGAGATGCAAAAGCTATATCATTAAAGATCAAAATAATGGTAACTTATGTAGCATTTGCGTTCTGTGCATTATTCTTTAAATGATCAGCTTTCAAGTATCAGAGTAACATGATGTATTTATGCTAAAATTTTTGAGCAATTGACAGGTGCACATACAGAATAGTTAGAGGCTTATAATGCAAAAATTCTGGATGAAAATTGATAGATGTAAATAAAGATTAGTGAGAAGTTTGGAATTTTTAGACAGTTAAATGAAAAATTCACAACTTGACAGACGAATGTTGGTTCTTTGGTGGCGTTTACAACTTATTGATTGGTTTCATTTGATGTTCCTTAAAGTAGACAAAGGTCGTTAAGTTATTCCACACATGTGTTTAAATGCTTGCCAACATTTTGTTAACACATGACATTTTATTTATTTATAGTGAATGCATATGAATGTGTACGAGAGATAGAAATCGGTAGCCTGTTTGTGCATTTATGAGTGTACATGGTATATGTGAGTGCGCATAAGTGTCTAACATATGGCTAGTTGTTTGTATTGAATTTCAGTGTTTAAGGTTATCTATTGGTAACTGATACTGGATAAAATGTTAGGTATATATTTCTATCAATCAGGTGAATATGTTGCTAGTCTGTTCAAGTCTTTTTAAGCAAACTTTGAATTCATTTGTTTCCATGTATTTGCTTAGATTGCCAATACATTATTCACTCATCCACTAAAATAAAACCTTATGATCTTTTGGTAATGCAACCTTAAAAGTCGTTTCTTGTTTCACCTATTTACATTTACTTCTTCAAGTGTATTTCATGTTTATTTTTAAAAAAAAATTAATTTTCTCTTCATAAAAAGTAGGGTAAAAGCAGGGAAAAATTTAATTGCAATGATTCTATTAATATTCAGACACGTGCAATGAAATAGTGGTACATTCTTGAGAACTTTGGCAATAATAAGGGAAATAAAGGCATAGAAAGTAAAACGACAGTCATTTTTACTCGGTAACTGTGAAAGTGATCCCATCTACTCAGAAGTTTTGGAGAATTAATCCCCAGAAAAAGGGAAGACAGACTGAAGAACACGCAGAATGTCTTTAAAAAAGATATCAGGTTTAAAATTAAGAATTGCCAATTATTCGACTATGTATACAACATTCATTCAGAGTTTTTTGGATCTTGATTAAAGAATTCAGTATTTGGAGGTGATGAAGTGTTTCAAAATAAGATTGCTGTTATTCCTTCCCTCCTTTCTAGCTAGATAATTTTAGTAATGTACTACCAATATCCGTTGCTACAGAGGAACCAATAAACTAGTACACGATACAAGTATTCTGCTCTTATCACACTGACGGATTAATTGTCCACTTCGGTATGTGATCTTCAACTGAGATTTGTAAAATATCTACCTCAGACATCTGGAGCTTCAATCTCATCTTTCATCGTTCTAGTTTCGCGTAAAGCATTTTTTGTGCAACAAATGGTAACTTCTTTATTTGGATTGATCAGTCTTATTGGATATCTACTTTCAAGTAGAAATTTCAGTGTAATTTTCGGTGTCATTAGGAAAGGTTCCTCAAATCCTTAAGCATTCTGAATGCAGACGTTTTTGTTTACTAGTCATCTGAATATGCCTTCGCAAATTAATCTTTCTTCGGAGTATGCTGACTGTCTAGGCATTCATCTTTTTGGATAAAATTAACAGATCTTATTGTTTTTGGTACATTTAGGAATAGTTAGTTCTATTGATAACGAAGGATCAGTCAAAGTACTGAGATTTTCTGAATCAAACTCATCAGATATGCTAAATATGTAGTCTAAGTACCCTTAAATAAAAGGCCAGTGTACTGAATACACCATTTTAAAAGTATGCTATAAAGACGTCAGGTAGTATTGAACCAAGTAAGGACTTTATTGCTATAACACCCTTCCCTAGTTAGAATTCCTCGTTTTACTTAAACTGAACGTTAAAACAGCTTCTGAGAACTAAGTTTTTGAAAATGTCGACAAAAGTGTCTAGGTTGTTGAACTCAATGTAATCACAAATAAAGCAAATTGTTTCAGTTAGAGGAATACTTGTAAAAAAGTTGTAACATTTAAAGAAAACAAGTATTCTTGAAGCCATATTTTGCCAATTACTTCCATATTGAATCGAGGACATTTATAAGCAGGAATTTGTTTAGTTGTATGATTTGTTTCACAGTTTATTGACCTAGTCAAGTCGCTCTAGCCAAATGATTTAAGAACGTTTATCTTAGCAGACCAAGATTGTGTTCTTATTATCTTGAGGTTGCTTCAGCTACTTCCTATATTCTTGTGACAGGATATATAGATAACTTAGTTCGTAATTTAATTTGTCGATTGCATTCATGTAGGATGGTAACCCTTAACGTTTGAAAGACTTTGTTTGAATTCAGCAATAAATAAAAGTTTTGGATGATCAGATTCTCTAACTGGACTTTTTTTCAGTTACTCACAATATAAGTTATAGTACAGAATTTGGGAATAAGTGAAGTCAGGGTTCAGATTAAAATTAGAAGTATATTTGAACAGTTACTTGAAGACTATTCAGGCTTCTGAGAAAATAACAACTTATTTTCGGTTAGGTATTTTATTTTCCCTCTTCTTAGATGTAATGATGTTAAAATTTGCTTCGCATACATATATCAACCAGTTTCAATTTATTCTGTATTGCTAATTCTAGTGTACTCAAGTGAGTTTATTTAGTAATGCATTTTACAGTTCCATACTGTATTTATAATAACAAACAATTCTCAAGCATTCTGAGTCTTTATTTGTCAACCAGTAGCGTCAGCTAAATGTTATTTTGAAACAGGCGTATTTATGATTAAATGAAATAGTCGTAGAAGTGACCTGTGTAGCTAACCAAATAGAATACAAGGATAGTTACCCAACGATGGCATTGGATGGAGGTCGCGTTGTATCGTAAACTGACAGAAGTAGTAAATATAGACCACTGGAGTCTAACCAGTGGTTTAAACATAACATGCTGGCCGTGGGATCTGAAGGCCCTGGGTTCGATCCCCAGAGGGGTAGAGTGCGCACTTCTGAGGAGTCTCAGACAAGGATAAAACAGCTGTCAAGGTTTCAAGTGTTGCTCTATTTCATGTCAGTACATAGTGAGTACCAACCTGAAAACAGTCAACAAACGCCTATAAACCTCAAAATAGAAGCAATCTTACTTGTCAAGAATTCCGTTAGCAGAACTTTCATAATTAAAGCCATCATCTAGCGTTTTCCCTGCACGAGATTTAGCATAGCACGAAACGGCGTTCGATTGGGAGCCAAAATACTTTCTAGAAGATTGACTGCTTTCAGTAGGTTCTTCAAAGATTACTTCATTAGAAAACGTTAGGGACTTCTGTGACAAAGATAGACCCTTTGTACCTTTCTTCACTTCATCCAAAATTGATTCATTTTGCGCATAGTACAGACCTGGGGACATTGGATCCATTGTAAAAGGTCGGTGTGAGGGATTCGACGGACGAACAAATGTCGATGAGGCCAATTCAACTTCTGTAGTATTCTGTTTGACCAATCGACGGTTATGATGCGTTGAGAATGTTTGATGGCGACGTAAATGAACTGAACTGATCGGGGCTACATCTGTGAGTATAAAGCAACAAAAATATTCAGTACTTCTGAAACAATTAATTCTTTCTCAGGGTCAGAAGAAACCTCTATTTCCATTTACAAAAAATTTGGTAAAACGCTGTGTATAGCACGGGATGATGATTCTGTGAAATAGTAACTGTAGTAATCATGAAAGATTCGCTCGATAGTTTTGCGACACTAGTAAATAAATGTAGCTTTAAATGAAGATAACAAGTCTGATCTTTTTCTAAGTCTAGACTGTGATTGATATACGCCACACTTTTAGGTCATATATCAACCATAAGGTTTCATAACAAACCCTTGTAGCTTGACTTTCTATGAATATTCATAATGACATTTCGATGTGAATTTACATAAATGCATAATTGTTTACATGACACTGGTTAAATAAACAGTGAGTTTTATTTTTTGGGCTGAAAATATCATACATGCAAAGTGAAGTTAAGGTAACATACTTATTACTTAACATTACGGTTTCGGAATCAGTTTTCTGTATGATTGTACATTTCTAAAGAGTTCCTAATTAGAACAATTACGCCTTTGAGTGGTCCCAAGTTTTCAGTAGTTCTCGAACTAATGTTTGTTTGTGATGGGAAACTTTTTCAACAAAACCAAAACAGAAATACTTGATAACCATAAATGCTGTGTTTACAACATGATCCAGTTTGTCAAATTATCACTATAAGACAGTTGATGATGTACGCTGTCTAGCTATTGTGAGGTGGTATGGAATAGATATTTAATGCTGTAAAGTTCGTAACCGTTCCTTTACTGATTATATTTTGAGAAGGAAATTACTTTTGACTTCATATGTCTATTGATTTGACTTACTGCTGATTTGATTAGTTGCTGAAGTGATGGCATCTTTGATCAATTTGTCCCATGCTAACACTTCATGTGGACGGTTTACTTGACGCAGAAGTGGTGCAGCGATAACACTTGGAAGTGCAGCTAAAGCCACGCGTAGGTAACTACAGACCAGTGGTGTACCGACTGGCAGACACGCACTATTCTGTTCTGAAATTTTTGAAGAATGCAAGAGTTCCAGAAATCGTCCACCTAAATCTTCTCCTGTCACTGAATGGCGTTTAAAACTTGGTGATTTTGTAATATGATTCTTTTCACTTGATGTATCATTGACGAATTCAGCTAAGCCTTCTGGTGTACACTTATTTGCTGGAATCTTTAAGTAATTTGTAAGTTGAGACCAGCATATCCCACCTTTCAAGCTGTCAATGATCATATCTAAGAGACACTAAAAGGGGCAAAAATATGGAATCATTATCTTCATTGAATACCAAATTGAATAGAAGGGATATTCATCAATATGTCACTATGAAAGTAATTTTCTTTGGATAAAATAATTCTTCGGTTAATTTTTTACTCGGCGTAAATGACTCATTTTGAACAGTTGCAGGCAACCAGCAGGAGTTTCTGTATTCAGTTTTGATATTTCTCAGTGTTCAGTAAATGCGCATATCTGAAACTGGAAGAGCGTGTTCTATTTGCTGTCTGCGGTTGCGTTGTTTTGTATGATAAACAGTACCTTTAGAGAATTCCTGTACATGCAACCTAAGAAGATTGGTTGTTTACTATGAGGTAACCACCATCACGAAGTAATTAGTAGTGATATTTTCCTTAAAGTTGCAAAGTGTGGCTAGTGATCTGTCTCTCCGAATACCTCACTACATCTTTTTTTACTCATGGCTTTTAAAATCATATGAAGTCCATTATATTGTTTAGCCATCTAGATCTGTGGCCTGATTTTATGTCATTTTCTAAATAATTTTATGTAGTGTCAGTGGCAGTGACACGATAGTGATTTTGTCCTAGTGACACACAGCCACAAACCACTACATAAGAAGGGGGCTTGAAATTCTGTTGTGTGAAGAAAACCAACATCTAAATAGATGATAATAATCTATATTTTTCCTCTGAGTTTCGTGAAAAAACCCAACGAACACAAAGTGAGAGCTGAAATCAAAAGTCATTGGAGATATTTGTAAGTGCTTAATTGTAATAAATAAAACCAACCTTCTTCAGTATTATAATTCATGGCAAAACCACTGATTCTGAAAACACTATTTTCTGTTTAGAAGTAGTATTCATCATGGACTGACATCAGTTGGGAGACCATTGAAAATCTGGGAGCACTGGACAGCTGTTTCATCCTAGTATGGGACTGCTGAGGAGTCCCATACCAGGACGAAACAGCTGTCCAGTGCTCCCAGATTTTCAATGGTCTCCCAAATGATGTCAGTCCATGATGAATACTACTTCTAAATTAAAAATCCCCACTCATCTCAAAAATACATTACTATTTTCTGTGTTTATTTCACTACCTATATCTTAAAAGCTCATTTCAGTAGTCTTTTGCTTCGCTGATTTGAAAGCAACATTTGAACTCACTCCTTTGATATGATACACTATCCAGGTTAAGCAAAATTTTACCGAAATTTATTCAAATTTCTTTGGCTGTTGTTTTGACCTTTGTACACAGAAGGGATTAGCCTTAATAGTCACTTATAATCATGCATTAATAACACGCTAGGCTTTTCATTATATTTCTGACTAAAAGGGAAGTGCTTATACAGTATGCTTGAAACAGGTGAGCAAAGCAAAACTAAGAACAATACATGGTCACTTTCACTGATATCTGTTCATTTCGCTATATCGTACTATGATGACGTAACGAAACGTATCTGTTTATGTTTATTTAGTCAAAACGAAATTAACACTAGACATTAACTGAGCTTTGGTCAGTTATCTCATTCGGTCAATACTTTTCACATTCTTCCAATTATTGAACTCATTCAATATCCACTAAAGCAAATAAATGGTAAAAGTTGTTATTATTATCCTTCATATATATTACATATAAATCGGCTGAACACAAATCAGTACAGTTAAAAAACTATGCAGGACAAAATACAGTTGAAGTTGTAATTAACGCATTAGGCAGTTAAAATTGCAATCAATCCTAATTTGAGTAAAATAGCTTCTTTTGTGTATCTTACTATCTACTTAGTCAATCAAGAAAAACTTAGACTGGTTTATAAAATCTATGCCAATTAGTTTCACAATAAAAAAGAAACAAGTGACCAGTATTTAAGCCTCATTTTATTAATTATCAATCGCAATCATATGTTTTATACAGGATATGATAGGCAAAAGGCAAAAGAAAGTAAATGACAAGCATAGAAAGAAGATAACATTTTTCTTTGTGTGATATTGTTTGTCTAATCTCGACGCTGATTGAATCAAAATGACCGGTCCCTAATAGTATATAGGCTCCTGCGCTGACTCCTTGATATTGCCTGTATTGTCAATTTTGATATTAATAATAGGTAGTAGCTAGCAGTGAAAACCATGACACGCGTTTTGTCCAGCTGACGAGTCCGAAATAGGGGGAAACACGCACCCTGGATTTTACTGTTAGCCGTTATCCATCATTAATATCAAGATTATTCTTTTACCACTATTCCTATGAGTGAAAAACATTTTTACTAAAGGCAGTTGGGATAGTATTGAACTTAAGAAGATGAAGAAAGAAATTTGATTGCTAGATGACTGGAATATAGAGGCCACTTGCTCAAACTCTGTCACAACCCAGATAGCCTAACTAATAATGTTTGAATTTATGCTTTCTTCTTGGAATTAAAGAATATGTGAAATAAAGACTGATTGAAAGTTAACATGGTGAAAATTCATGAAAATTCCTCTCTATGGTATTTATAAGCCAACAGTAGTGTGTTCTCTACGGATACTCAAAGCTCCTAATTAAAAGGTTATAAACTACCAATGAAACAATTTTCGCAGGTAAACGATTCTGACGGAGTATCAGTGATAAAGTACCACTGTGTCACTGCACACTATTTCATATAGACAAATACACCATGGAATTACATTCTACCACAGTCACCAAGTTATACACTAAAGAACAAAAAAACGAACTTGGCCTGTAACGTGATTAGTAAAAGGGAAGTGAGTTGTCTGAATGCACCTTCTTTAGTGAACTAAAATACAGAGAATAAAACTTCTGCTGCTGCTTTCTGAATTGCCAACTGCCAATCAAACCAGATGCCTAACAATAGTAGTAGTAGTCTCAACTTGCACAAACATCATCAGTTTGTGTTTGGCAGTGGTGAGGACTTAAAGTTGCACTAATGATCGGTCAGTTATATCGTTACATTCTGACTACTAATCAGGCGCGATTGCTTTTTCTGATAAAATGTCTTACATTTTGGAACTTTTAATCTGCTTTTGAAGTCAACGAAGAAGTTTTAGAGAGTTTTAGATTCCACCTTACCAAAATTTCAGATATTTGATAAATAGAGGATTGTTTAGATACTCATAAATCTTACTGCTGAGAATTTGATATTGCTTCTAATTTGTTATTAACTGAGTTGTCCTTTTAATTAATTTCCTAAGAAAAATAACGTTATTATGAAACATGATATACGCTCGATATTCTAGATTTGACTGGTTTTCAGTTGTTCACATGTTTCTATTTGATTGGTACAACTACAAAATAGCCTGTCCGTCCACCTTATAGTCAGGCAAATAAGAAGATATAGTCGAACCGAATTGTTTTACATGATATAGCTAGTGAGTGATTTCTTTCGTCAGGTTTGAATAAATATTTATGTAAATGAAACAAGAATTCGGAAGTACAGATTATGCGAAAGCTATTCTTCTGCTTACTGAGACTTAAGGTACTGCAGTCAGCACCGACAGAATTAGGCAATAACTTCACCTTAGGCACACAATAGTCAGTTAAATTCAGTGGCTTATTGTAGATAATGACCCTGCATTTTGGCTGATTCTTAATGAAATGAAACCAAATTTTTTTCATACAATTTGCGGCGAGCCCAACAACCTATTGATTTTTTCAAAACGTAATATAACCAATTTTTAAACTGTAGATGCTATTGTACTGAATAATGTCTACCGCTTGACCAACTAGTAACGTTTAGCAACTTTGTTTCCCATCAAGCACTTCTGCTGATTAGTTGCTTGGATAGAGCAACATAACTAAGTATGAATTAATTTCCAATAAGTCAAGTAGACTCACCTCTAGTAGCTGTTTTTTAACTCCGTTAGTAGATCCACACTTAGTTCTTTGTTTAGTTATATCGGAAATATTTTCATCTTTGATTTTACTTGAAACATCTGATGGTGTACATCGACAGACTATATCAATCCATGCATCAACTATTGACTGTTTTTCTGAGGTTAATGCATTTGATAAGCGTCGCTTGGCTTCAGAATCCTGAAATAATAAACGTAATTGGAGCATTATATATCTACACTTTTGTCGTCATAAGTGGAAAGACGCTCAAGTTTGTTACATTTTTATTGTAGGTTATGATATCACACTATTTTGAGGAAAGTGGAACGCTTAAGTTATAATTCTAATCGGCATCATAGGATTCTATGGTAAACAGTAAGAAGAGATCATTAAACAACTGAAAAAGAATCATCCTATTTCATCTACAGCGGATGCTTATTATAGCAATTTATATATATAGCACTGCGACGATAATATTCGCTGAATTATTTAACTTTTCATCTAAAATTTACTGCTGGTTGAAAGGGGTATGTCGTCACAAGTGATAGCTGGTGTAACTAGATATTAAGTTAAACCTGTTAGATAAAAGTTGTATGTAGATTAAAACTTGAGACGGAGGATGTAGATTATCCATATTTTTTTATTTTTTCGGTTGAGTGAAATTGACTTCACAGTAATTTTTACCACGAATGGATGTCAGTTAAAGAACCATTAGGTACTTAAGAATACTAGACAGCCGTTTCCTCCTAGTTAAGTTACACTATGAGACAATGATTCTTACCTTTCATTCTTTATGAAGTCGTAGGTCCGGACTACTGAGGGATCCTGAATTTTATTGAAAGAGTTGTTCACAGCTTCTAGGTTTTCAGTGATTCTCCAACTGGCATACGTCTGTAATAATAACCCACTTTGAAATCAATCAGTTGTTCTCTATCATCTACTAAGGATAATTAAAGTCTATGTACTGCTAGAATCATACTGTGATTCGATAAAGTCTTCCAGTGTATTAATTGGATTCACGATATGACTTCAGTTTGCTTCTTGCTAAATATAACTTTAGATGGCAGCAGGACATGCTGATAATCTGTTATGTTCCCCAAGTTTTGCTTGTTTTTCAGAGTTTATGATTTTATTTTTCTTGCGTAAATAACTCAACAGAGCCCGCAAAATGTAGTTCAGTAAAGATTACGAAAAGAACAGGAATAGCTGTGGAGACAGAGAGTAAAAGTTTTGATGGTCTTGCGTTCTCTGAGCTGGAACGTTCAATCGTGGAGATTTCATTGTCATCCTAGACATCATCATCAGCAGCACAAACTTCAGAATAGTTCTGGAAATTTATAACATTGTAGGGGTTTGTTACAACCCTTAAAATATTTAGAGGATGCTTCCAGCATCGAATACCTTTGTTTGTAACAGTAAAACGGTAAACAATCTAGATGTAAATTCCTGTTCAGAAATGTTACCTTAATAGATTTCCTTTTATGATTTAAAATCCATTCCTTATTCACCTAAACCCAAAAGCATGCATTTTCATACAAATCTCAACTAAGGTTTGATGATAGTTAAATGTTTTAGGATTATTTATTCATTCTACAATTTAACCATAATTAAATTTCTTGAATGATTATATTGTTAACCTCACTGCAAGGAGTTCATACGTTGAAATTTAGTGACTTTATTCGGGAAGTCTGGAATCCTAGTCACTTTAAGAGAGATGCATTCACTTATCTGGAACAGAAATTTCAGTCTCCTAACTCATACTTTACTGACGTCTTCCAGTAAGAACTGTATTCGTCTTGTCTAAACATCTTTTAAATGAATAGTAATATTGGTAATGGTTTTCTAAAGACTTTCTTGTTTCAGATTACTTCATTTGTCAGTGAATCCACAAATAAAAAGTTTTGGTCCTTAAATAAATGTATATGACAATATGCTACGTTGTTCATTTTTAAGTTTGAAACATCTCATATTATGAGAACGGCAATTTATACACTAGATAATTATATTGAAAATTGTGCTTGTACGTATCTTTTGGCACTCGGAGAAGATTGAACTGCCTAATGTAAGAAAAATATTGGTTGGAATTTTCTCGACTTTACTGTGCAATCATTATAGCAGAATAGATCAATTTTATAAGAAATAGGGAAAGAAACATCTAAGAGCGGAGAAAATTGTTCATCAATGAATATGTTAGGGAAACTGTTATCAAGATTAAATGGGGCATAAAATGTCTACTACAAGATACACTTAATTAACGAATGGAAAATTCAGTGAAGATAACTTCTGCTAGGAATTCAAAAAGAAATTTAAGGAAGCAAGAAGAAAATAAGGTGTGTAATACATAGACATGGTGTTCAGTAAATCAAAAATTATTAAACTAGTTCTTTCATATGAAAAAAGGTACCTGCAGATTCGAAGAAGGGTTACCTTGTCAAACTCCGGAAGAAGGGAGACCTCAGTGTTTACTAGAACTGGCGAGGAATCACTCTCCTGTCCACCCACAGCAAGCAAAATATTAAGCTGCATCATTCTGGAGAGGCTAAAGGATGCGCTAGATTCAAAACTACGACCACAACAGGCTGGCTGGCTGGATTCAGGAGGTACAAATCATGTGCAAACCAAATTGCAATGCTTCGTATCATCATAGAACAGAGTATAGAATGGCAGTCAACTCTCTACCTCAACTTCATCGACTTTGAGAAAGCCTTTGACAGCGTCGACCGAGAGGTAATTTGGAAACTGCTTCATTACTACGGAGTACAGCAAACCTTTATCCGCCTCATTCAACAACTATGTGAAGATGCCACATGCCAAGTAATTCACAATGGGAAGCTCAGCTCAGTGATGCTTTTGAAGTGAAGACAGGAGTGAAACAAGGTTGCCTACTATTCCCCATGATATTCCTGATTGTGGTCGACTAGACTAGATCATGCAGCAAACAGTGGGGAGCGAGAAGAGGGGGATACGCTGGCTGGACTGCGGAAAAGAACCTAGAAGACTTGGAATTCACTGATGAATTGCGTCTGATGTCACACAAACTTGAAGATCTACAGGCGAGAACTAACAAGTTGGCAGAAGAGGTGAGGCAGCGAAGACGGGACTTCAAGTGAATATAGAGAAGACAGAGGTGATGAAGATACCGCACAAACAACTTCAACAACAACAAGAAACTGCAGTCACCATCAAGGTGAGAAACTTAAAGGAAGTAACCTCCTTCACCTATCTAGGAAGCACTGTTTCAACTACAGGTGGCGGCACAGAAGAGCATGTCGAAATCAGAATAGAAAAAGCAAGACAGGCCTTCATTAACCTGAAACCAGTGAGATCTTCTGCACTGCACTCAGCATGCGGAACAAGATCCGGATTTTCAACACCAACGTGAGTCAAGTCAGTGCTTCTGTATGGCTCAGAGACTTGGTGGGTTACGAAAGGGATTTCCAATAAACTACAGATATTCATCAACAACTGCCTACGCTGACTCGTTACTGAAGATCAGATGGACAGAATACTAAGAATAAGCAACAAGGAACTCTGGCTGGCTGGCAACGAACCAACCAAGAACCTATCGCTGAACAAATATGCACTGGAAGGAAGTGGAGATGGATTGTGCATACACTGAGAATGCCGACTGGGGACATCACTCGTCAGGCCCTCGAGTGGAACCCAGATGAGAAGCGACGAGTTGGGCGTCCCATCCGAGGGTGACATGGGGAGATCGTGCGAGGAGGAAATGAGAGCTTGTGGGCTGTCGTGGAACCAGGTTGAAAAGACTTCAGAGAAGAGAGTGGAATGGAGATGTGCTACTGAAGCGGTATATTCCATTAGGAACCCAAGGGACAAATAATAATTAGTCATGAAAAGAACCCTGTCAGTACTTTAAACCGTCCTTCAGCTTACACCTGAAGGACACAGCAGATAAATCAGAAGTGAAAGGTGTACTTCTGTTTATTTTATTGAATGCCAACAGGCGTCTTCAGAATGACTTTAGTATGCCTTCAAACATTCTTTTCTTCTTTGAACGTGAATAATAAAAATTCGCAGAGCCAAAGTACCCAGTTTGAAATCAGAATGAGATAAATAAGCAGAATATATTCGAAAACTATAATTTGGTTACCTTAAGCATTTGACTTTTCCTATCAAATTCAGTAGTCTGTTTAATATAATGACTATCTGTGAGAAGCTTCTGTGAAGTTTTTATTTTAAATATTAATGGTTGTTACCGTCTGTAAGAAAGAGATAGTTCCAAGCTGTTAACAACTGTTATTCTGGGATATTCGGGAATCAAAAATGCATTCTAGATGTTGTTTGTGGTAACTTGCAAGTTTAACCTTATTCTCTGAACACTAATTTTTCAAAAGGGACTTATAGTAGTGTAACTTCACCATTCATTCTTATTCCCTTATACAAGTTTCGTTTTTAAGTATGAATTGTGATAACTCTCTCCCAGATTGTAACACAGAAAGATTTTTTATGGAACTAAATCAAAACTTAGGATTTATTGTTGTTTCTAATTTTTTTTAATAAGACGTAAAATCTTCGATTCCTTTAAAGTACAACTGGAATTTAGCATTCTGTATTTTTCGTGATAATCTGTCAGCCTAAAAGAGTGAAAAGTAAAGTGGTATGATCAACTACTTATTCATTATATACTTTCTCTGGTAGTTGGAATTCTCGACTAATCAATATATACTTAGGACGTTAAACTGGTCGACTAAATATACCTGTTTATCAATAGATGACAATTTACAGTGTCACTGAGAAGTTATAAATTTCTTCGATGAAAACCTGTTGTCTGAAATGCTTGAATATCAAAAAAACGCAACAAATGACTTAAACCATTAGAAAGCACACTTCAAAGTGTTTTGGTGCTTTTCTCATTACTTAATAAAGTCATTCTATCGAAGCATACAAAAAAACAACTGATTTCAGTAATGAGATATTGATTAATTTGGCTTGATGAATTTTAAATGTATCCGACCAAAATTCGATGAAAACCTTGTAGTGAATTTTGAACAGGAAGATTCACAGTTTGGGTCAGCTGATAATTGTATGGTAATTACATAAATACACACATGCAGTCAAATACCTGAGGTGGGATCCTCGTCTTTACATCTCAATATCCAAAACAAAGGAGTTTTCATTATGACCTTAAATCAGTCAGAAAACCAATGGAAATCTCGGAATTTTCAACAGCTGTTTTGACCTTGCCTATGGTTTTTCAGTAAAGCACGTTCACATCTACACGAATTTTAGAGCTCAACGCCATCAGCAGTCACTGTTTTCAGTCACTGTTTGTACCAGAATAGAACAGTCTGCATTTCAAAACTTTTGTCATTTCGTGATTTAGCCTGTTCATCATGTAAAGTAGGGTGAGACAGATGTCGAATTTCCCTCCATTTTCAACGGTTTTTGGTTGACGTTAATCCGTGATGAAAATTTCAATAACAAAATAAACCGGACACTGAAAAATAATCCAGTGCTCTATAGTGATTTGCTTCGAGATGAATTTTCTGAATTTCCGATACGAACTCTTGTAACGTTAAATCAAAGGAAGTTTATGTGAAGACAGATACTTTCGGATGGCAGCGGCAAATCACAAACTGACAGAGTGAGAAAGATTACGAGTAAATAAGTTCTTATCCCGGTCAGTGAATGATAAATTTATCGCATTTTCAGCTAATGGCGTCAAAGTTGATCCTATATGGAGCTGTGGATGTACATCACTGAGAAGTACTGAATAATAACCTAGCAGCTTTTAAATACCGCAAGGTTCTAGGCGGTTCTCAAACTGATCACAATCGGTCATGAGGTGGGTCTCAACACCTCCCCTAACTATTGTATTTAAGCAGATTATGGAAACAAGTTAATAACGAATTTAGTTTTATACGTCTCAAAGTTGCTGTTTTAAGAAAACAGTAATCATCCCCTGATTCTGCTACACGTGGGAATTGTATAACTTTACTGGTATTATGAACTGTTTCAGTTATCCTAGGGATTTGAGTATGGTTTAAAATTTCTTGTATACTAATTTATGACAGCACATTATTTCCAGTTAGCTAAATAATAATTTTCCCACCTCCTCTCAACCCATCTTAATCTAAAATACACTTTAAATTTCACAACAAAGCAAGGCCTTTGATTCTAGGGTTTTAATTAGACACTGGTGTAGAATGTAACTCTGTACCCATCTCATTTTGATATTGATAAGAGGCGGCCTAAATCGAAATCCACATTCTAAGATATTAGACGTTAGAAATAGAAGAATCTGCAACTTCACTATGAGATTTTTACACAGTTCGTCATCAACCTAGATGTCAACCTTGAAAACTAACAAACGGATTATCCTACCTTTCACAAAGAACAAACGCGAGATCCCAACTAGATTACCGAGTCGCTGTATCTCAAAAAACTACAAAATCTTTTCACTCTGTTATGCAGATCAATAGATGCGATAGCGAAGGAAGACAAATTAAACATTAGCTACATAATAGACAGTGGAAGCCGTAAAACACACTATATTGGGTGGAGTGATCGCCCCCTTCCTATCCGTCTTCAAGAACATAGATCAGCAGTGAAGCTTCATGACATATCTTCGCTCATATCAATACAGACAGACAACTGTTGATATGAGTTTGACTGGGAAAATGTGGAAATCTTGGATAGTGGAAATATAAAAAATGCCAGAGAATTTCTAGAAACTTGGTATTTAGGTCCGCCAGCAATCAACAGACATATTGACATTGGTCCAGTCTATCAACCAATGAGTAACAACAAGAAGGTCGAGTTTCAGGTGGTCGAGATAACTAATTCAAATAGATATGGGGACAGTGACAAGTCCTTGGGAGAAACAACCAAGCATATACATGAACATAAGGACAAGCTATTAAATAAGTTGTAGAGAAAACCTCATAGCTCACTTCTTCCTGAGGTTTGTGATGATTATGTTGTCTAGAATGATAAAGAAAGCCCCAAGAATGAACAATCCAACTAAAAGAACACAACATCATCAAAAGTTTACTTTTCTTCCTTGTTTATTCATGTCCTTAATCAAGAAAATAATGGTTACAGATAATTCAAAGGTTATTTGCACACTATTTTCTTTTCCACATTACTTCCTTTCAATTAACTTCACAACACCTGTTACTATCAGATTAGAAAAGATGAATTAGGCAGATGTATTAAAAAATAGCTAGAGGTAAAGATTTCACCAACAATGGTTTAGTAGGGAGTTTCGATTATTGTGAATATGAATTTTTGTTTCACTTTCGGTACAAACGTACCTGAACACACAATGAAACTGATGGTTATGGCACCTCTGGATGTTGTTTTGTATGTAGGTCGATGATGCACTTTTATGTCATACTACCTTACTGAAATGCTTGTACCGAAAGAATTCCAATAGAACAAAATTCTACAAATCTTCACAAGAAATTGCTCATTGAATTCAGATCAATGATTAAAAGTGCAACATAAACCAGCAGACCATTCGTTTCAGCATAAATATAAATTTTTAGTGTTCAAAAACTGTTTCATTAGGCTTCTAAGTTATATGTCTGCCAGACTTATGTACATTCGATTTTAAAGTTCATAAGATGAAATAAAGATAGATGACTTTGGTTTGATTCACTGAAGGGATTTCAGAAAAAGCCAATGGCATCTTACAACAGGAAAGGTGCCAACTCTGTCATATTATCGACTAAAAAAGCTGTTGCTCTTGAATTTTCAAGATAAAGTGCCGTTGAAATATTCGGAATACACTATGAAAACTCATAACTTAACTTCTGCAGACTTTTACTTAGATAAGGTTTATTAGAACAGATTATTGTACAAATTGCAGAAAATGTCCTCTGGTTTACTAAATTATGTGCAATATCCCATCTTACCTTTATGAAGATGGTAAAAGTTTTAAAGTAAAGACATAATATTGAACAATAAAAATTCTAATTACCTGTTTGATGAAATTGAAAGGGTCTTCTGAATTCACAATACTACTAACAGATGGTCTACGTGAGTGAACCTGTGTTACACTCAGGTATGGTATAATAGTATTTTCTGCTTTGTTCACTGAAGTCAACATGTGATTTGTTGGTTCAGATGAAAAATGATTTCCATCATCTTTTTTACGGTTTTTCGGTTTTCCATCTAATGAAGTGAATGATAAAAATTTGGTTGAAGTGCTTATTTACCTGATATATCGGATTGATGAAATGATCCAGTTGGAGATACGATAAGGCTGTCGTTATCGGATTTTTCTCCTTCTGACAAATTCGTAACATTGTGGTTATTTACACTTAAAAGATGATAATTTTTATTTTCCCATGTAGCTTTAAAAAAAATGAAGGAAGGAGTCAAGTAATTATATTTATAAAAACAAATTGGGAAAATGACAAACTACGAGTTTCCCATATATTTATACTTGAATCAGTTTTGCTGAGTGATATGTAAACATAAAGGTTAATAGAAACCAGTCGTATTTTGTTGGTATATATCTTCGAGTAGAGATCGAGATCAACATGGCGTTAGTACGAGAAAGCGTTATGATCTCAGTTTAAGTAAAAAAATATTAATAATTTTTCCAGTTTGGATAAATGGCAATGGTTGCTTATTAAAAGCGTGTTTCAGTGATTGTAAATGCAATTACTAAGGTTTGAAACCCAAATTGACTGCTTCCTTCTCTAATCAGCTTTCCAGTGGATTACAAGTTTATGTAGAATGTACTTTGTCACGTTACCACTGAGTAATACAAAAGTAGTATCAATGGTTCTGGTGTCTCCGATCGAGCGTAACTATGACTCTCCTAAGGAAGTAAAATGCCTAATCATTTAATTAGTTGCGTACATGAATGGAATGCTAAGATAGTCTACCTAGGGACAGCTAACCTTCACGTGGTTCTCACTGCTAAGCAGATATCAAACTGCAAACTAATAACCTTCTGAAATGGCAGCCTGCGCTACCCGTACTTTGTATATGTCACATGTCCATCTCCAATCGCCTTCAAAGCTGTTTAACAAGTCAGAATGATTGACGAGATGATTGACTAGAAACAATCTCGCTTGTGGAAACGGATGGTGTGAACGGTCCATCGGAATTAGGGTACCAATGTAACTGCACCGCAGGCGGAGATTGCATATCTTCCTAGTTTGAAAAACCCTAGATGTATGTTCCGTTCTTTCCTGAAAACCAATATATGTCCTTCTAAAACCTATGTAAATGACAGCAACACCCACATTCCCTTTCCTTGGAGTGTAGAGGACGAGGTGTCATTCTGCATTCCACCCTCTACCACGGACATTAAAACTAGAAAAAATCGATGCTGACTACCAGCAGGATAATTGGGAACCTGTGTTTGCTCGCGTGATGATGGTGCATGCAAAAAAATAACCCAGTCGTCACCGTAAAATGTATGACGAGTCAGTGCGTTGCACGGTGGGCTCTATGGTTAGACATATCGCGTTGGCTGAATGTTTGAGTTTGCAGAGTGAAGTAATCGGATGTGAAAACATGTACTACCTATTGATCTATGTGGCAGGTGTTTTAAAGCAAAATCGGGGTTTGGCAGCATAAAAAGCATATCCATAAGGACGAACACAATGATAAAAGACTAGGAAACCTGAACGAAGTCAGAGGCAAAGTGTGAAATACAGATGAAGATCCTCAGTCCTTGAGCTTGCAGACAAAGAGTGGCTATGTCATGGGCATATGGCAAAGGGTATACTCTATGGTGACATATACAAAGAATTTGGGCATAGATCCCCAGAGTCGATAAAAAAGAGACTGGTCTATCATAAATGGAAGGCTTCAGTGGCCGAACAACCCAACTTTGGGATAGACAAATCACAAGCTTAAGCAGATTTGGAAGAAAGTACAGCTGGATCGGAAAAGCGATCCGAGCAACTGGATAGCATCATTATGAACTTCAGGAAGGACAGCTCGCTTTATAAATTAGCGGCAAGACTGAAAAAAAGGGGATCTCAGCAATGATCAAGGCTTAGAACGGCTTAATAAATTTACAAAAAAGTCGTTTCCGTACAAGACTGATCGGAAGAGGTGAGAAATAAAGCAAAAATCTCCTTCGAAAACGCAAATGAGAAAATAAAACGGAATTATGACATACGGCTTAGAGGAATGAGTATACGAAAGCAACAAACGGGCTAAAACCGTACTGAATGGTCAGTGGAGGACCACCTATAAACTCCTAAGTGAGATAACTGACGAACGTCAGGAGTACTGGGCAATCACTTTCGAGAAAAAGAGCACAGTAAACAATCAGACTATTAAAAAAGAATTGAACACGATTTGGAACCCGGTGTCTCTCATAACGGCAGAAAACGTCTGTTAACCAAGTGAAGAAATGGAGAATACAGCAGCAGGCCCGGATGACATTCTTGAGAAAGTATTCAAACAAAGACATGTTCAGTATCCTGGCTCTGTTTAATTCAGTGTTAGTCTTCGAACGAGTACCTAAAATCTTCTTCCTAGCTTGGACAACATTAATTAGTAAATATGCTAACATGGCTACTCCACATGACTTCAGATCGATTGCAGTTTGATTGGTGGTCCTCCAATGTCTCTAGGGTTTACTGGCGAGACAGTGATTGTCAGTGGTAACTGAGATTAACTTAGACGTAGCGTTTCTAAAGAAAGACGGGTACTCTGAGACTAGTCTGTATTTTGTGGTCGATATGAAAATAATATATCACATATTATGACATTCCACCGTGTTTTGATGATTAAGATACAAAGTTTTAATTGGCGTTCTGTCATTAGGTTGAGTACATAAGACGTCGTATTTAGAAGGTTTCACAACTAATTTTTCTTTCCTTAAAAATGACTTGAGGACTTAAGATGAATCTATGTTTCACATGCATATTCAGTAAAAGAAAAGGTTAACCAAAACAGACTCAATATTATTATTCCTGCTCGTCTGGAGTTACATTTCTGTTATTAATTTCAGAGATAACTTTGTGTTGACTGGATACCATTTCGGTGGTAATTGAAAACCAAGTCAAATGATGTTGCATAACCAAATAATACCTATGTATGAGAAATGTTTTACAAATTTAGAACTGATTAGCATAATAAACAAGTGAACGCTGGGCCTGTAGTTCCATATATAACATGTTTATTAAATATAACACTAAATGATACAATTTTGCCTGCATAATACGTAAATAATACTGTGTCACTGTTCGCTATATCAAATAAATCAGTCTTACATGGAACTACAGGCCCAGCGTTCTCTTGTTACTGGTGCTACTCAATATCTAATATAGAATTACATTCTACTACAGTGTTCAAGTTTTGCACCAATATTAATGTTGGTCCTACCATTTCCTAATTGTCATTTGAATTCAAGAATTTATTTACAATAATATTGAATAAGAAAGCGGTTAAAGCAATGAGGAAACAAAATCTAGGAATTATACGTTGTTCATTGAACTTCCAAGTATGAGATCACACTTCAAATTCTTACGGCAGTACACCTTTATTTATATAGTTATTCCATCTGATGTAGAAGAGGTAAGCAATTCGTGCAGAAATCCAATAGCAGTACCGTTTTTCTTAAACTTTAGCCAGTTCATTTGGGAAAATGGACCCACTGAGTGAGCAATATAACCTCAAATAATTATCAGCATGCAATGAAGAATTCTCATAAAGCCAAAAAGTAACGAGCTCAAAATATCAAGCACCACAGATAAATTCTCATTGTTGAGGGAGCGTGGACTGAAAGAACAAAATGTTTAGAATGCTGGTATCCTTAAATTTTCGAAAGTATAATTATTATAAACAGCTAAACAATGTCACAGCATGAATCAGTGACACTGAAATAAACCTTCAACTTTGTGGATTTTGTTTTCAGCCTAGAAATAATAACTGTTCACTTGATAAAATAGAGAACACAAACAGATATTTAATATAACAGAATTTTAATCAACAAGTAAACATATCGCAATGCTGTTCACTCTGTTTTACCCTGAGACTGTTAAAAATGGTAACTAAAGGTAGAAGACATAAGATATTTTAGCTATTTACTATCAAGGTGACCTAAATAATACATCTGAAATATAGTGGAACTATCGAAATACTTGGTCATCGCATATAATATTGGGTAAGTAGGATAGTCAGGTGATGAATTCGTGAACTCAAGTCGACTAAAGTTAACCACATGCAGGTTTATGTGTGACGTATTGATTGTGCTTGCTTTGTAGGATTTATGGTGTAGGAATGAGATAGGAAAAGCCAAATATCAATAAATTAAAGCATGATAGTCACGAAACTATGGTTATATGCTATTTAACATGCGAGTAAAACTTGGATACTGTTCTAGTAATTTCGAAAATTCTTGGTTACGTAACGTGCTGATAAGATACACAGAATTAACGTTTAAAAATGTGGATCACTCATGCTCATTACTCTTCAAAATCTATTATTTCTATGCATTTGCTTTCTGTTCATATTTACCGACTGCAATGACCCGAATCAGGACATTCATATACACAGTTATGCTTTGCTCATCTTTCTAACCAATCTGTAGTCAACGAGGACAAATAATCTTCCCTTACTTTGAGAGATGAAATTAAACATACCAATATTTGCAGACCTAAGCTTTATGATTCTGATCTAAGAGCTGAGACATAAAGTAAGCATATGAGAACCTAAGCAATCCACGCTCGATGATACAAGATTTAATGAATTCCTATCTATTAAAGGTCTACTTATATGATGAATTGACTAAATAATACTCATTTCTAAAATCGTATCAAGAAGTTTTCGTCGGCCATAAAAGTAAATTTCAAACAAGTTCACATTTGAAATGAGATAGTGGTGTTAAATATCTATTATCCTATCATTCTATCATAATACCCTAGCAAATATGGAGTATAATCATTTATTTTGAGTATCTTTTGCTTACCTCTCTCAGAAGTATAATTTGGTGAACAAGAGCGAAGGGAAGTATTTGACTCTGATCTAAAATCAGAATAGATAATCATGAAATGCAGTGTTACAGGTGATATTGTTTCCTCATTACTACTAACTAACTAAACTATCTAAATCAAGGTTGAGCCTCTCAATCAGGTACACTGGTTTAAGCTGACCCCTTATACATCACAGTGGTACACAAAGAAAAAGTTGTTCGACAAAGTGGTATCGAAATAGAGAAAGTTATGCGAGTGAATCAACAGTTTGAAGATAACGGTCAGTGCAAATATTCAAGATTTAGAAGAGTGAATACATCTGTGTCACTAAAAGTCCTCAACCACTGATTTCTGCGTCATGGGGACCCAAACCAGATGGCGTCCCACTTCGACGTGTCTCAGACCAACAGACAGAGACTTCACCGACTGATGCTATGTCTTAGTCCAGCCACTCTGAACGCTGTTCCAGCCTAATTCAAATTCCCACAGTATTGCACGCTGAGGTAGGCGGTGGCTCGGCATGTGCAGTACATATCCATGGCATCTCAGTTGACCAAGGTTCACAACCTCATGAATCGACTTACCTATCTTACCTAGTACTCTGCACCTGACCTCAACATTGCTCACTCGGTAATTGCACCACATGTGAGCAGTGCTACGAAGACATACATAATAAAAACCATGCAACTCCTCCTTATTTGCTTTCAACTGCCATGTCTCACAGCCCTACAATAGGGCAGAATGGAATGCAGCTCAGTTTACTCGTCTTTGATAGATAATTAAATATCTGGCTTATGTCATAGATGACGCATATTGGCGAGCGCCACATGGGTCTTCTATATCCAAGCTAAGACTTCGTCAGCAACCAGTCCGTTCGGGTTGATGAAAGCCTCTAAGTCAGTGAAATGATCGAAAGATTTCATCACTGTATTCCGTATCATAAAACTTGAAGTGGTTGTAGACCAGTCCTGTAGCATCATCTTGCATTTGACAAGTGCCTGTGAAACTCATACCAAGCATAATCAGAATTCCGCTAAACACAATCAGAACAATTTGTATTTTGTCAGCATTTTGACTTAGCACAACAACACTGTCTGCATACTATAAGCCGACCAGACGGTCTCCAGGGAGTAGGTCAGATGTTCGTAAGGTTATCTCCGTTAGTACGTCCATGACAAAGTTAAATAAGAACGGTAACAATGGACATCCCCAATAAACACCACTAGTTTTCGTCAACTCATATGACAGCTCTCCTCAAACCCTTACACAGCTGTGTGAGTTTGTAGTAGAGAGCTTTGATTAGTGTTATACATTTGATTCACAGTTAAATGCTGCCACAACACCTCACGGTTGACAGAATCAAATGCTATCACCTTCAGGTCAACAAATACGGCAAGTGCTGGCCACCGGTAGGTGTACATATGTTCATTATTACGAGAGGGAGTGGTGCCTGATATTTATGTTTATAAACAATTCATACTAATCAAAATGTTTCCGTGCTTAGATTGTATCAATTCAAACACAAAATTGCGATCTATATCATTTTCTATTTGAGACCGCTGGTTTTTTTAAAGCTAAAAGATGAAGTTCAAATAACTGTATCACTTAAACCTGGCTGTCAAATTTGAATAGACAACTATTAATCATCTAGCGGTTAACCAAACTTCAGATAATCTTAAAAGCAATTCCAAAAGGATCCTAGTTTCAAACCTTTGTTGAAAGATAATAAACTGTCCACTTAACAGAAATACCAACATGAACCTTATAATTTATTAATAAGCAGCGAACTGGTGATTTATTCTCACTTCAAAACGGAATGTGTCTAATACTGATAAAAACATATGTTTATTGTGAAAAGTTATATAATTTTTTTCTTTTACTTTAAACAACTAAAACAAGTGACGTACATCAAAGTTTATTAACTACACTCCATTGATTTTAGTGTGCTTTACTGGAACCTGATTTTTTATAATTATGTGGGATGTGCGAAACCACTTGGTTTATAAATAAGTTTAGTAAACTAAAAATAATTTCAAAACCATTTATATTTTGATAGCTTGTTCATATGCAGCTATAAATCACAACAACTCTTGGAAAAATGGCTATATAGTGCTTATCTATGTATGTAAACTTCATTTCTAACGAAATAATCACAATATACATTATGGAATTTATATGACAATGCTTTGATTATGTTTAAATGATTCAAAAATTTTAATTTAATTCATCTCTACGTAGATTATTTAGTTTCGGTAGTATTCATTGCCAATACTATGCGTTAGCATGCTGAGTGCGATCACTAAAATTACCCAGCTTGGTCGCTGAAAGGTTAGCTTGAAATTGTTTCCAGTTTCATCCTTGAACGCCTTGTTGGACATAGACATCTGACTTCTCTGATGAATTCTTTAAAGCTCTCTGAAAAGTTTCACTAAACAATTTCAAAGCAGTGAGGACTAGACACTTATGTGCAGACGAAACCTTGGTAATTCACTGCTTCAAATCTCAGTTGTGTATTCAAAACAAATATGTTCAGGAAACACCATGGTCTTGAACAAATACTCTGAACATCTGCTTATGTTTTATTTTTGCGTTTGATTTATATATTTAATTATTTAACCAAATATAAAATAATACTGTTCAAGGCATTTTTGTCATTTCTATCATGCTTATGACCATTTCTTGTATTACGTAATAATAGTTAAGTCCTTTTTGTACACTTACTGATTAACTTAGGCCAGAAAATACTTATAGGTTTACGTGTGTACAGCTGTGAAAATGAGTCTTCAAAAAGATAGTTACTTTCATTGTAGTCTTATGTTCGTTTTTCTGTTGACAAACTGGCATAAGTTGAATTCCAAATAGAAAGTGGTTTACCCTATGCATTACTTAACAGTATGAAAACAGGCTGAAATGGTTGTTGTATACCCATTGGCTACCTCAGTTAGCAATTGTATGTAGACTATTTTAAAATTTTGCTAAGCATTTTTGTGGAATGTGAAATATTTTCTTCATCAACATTTTTAGTTACTTTCTTCTTAGATATATTACGAATTCAATAAATACTTCTGACTGTCTCCACAGAAAGTTTTGAATAATTTGCTGATATATTTGTGGTGGAAAAAAATGCCTTAGATGAGTTTATAATTGATATTAAAAATGCATACCGTAAATTTGGTTCAGATGAAAGACAGTCAGTTTGGCGAAGTCCAGTTGGCTTTCGGTATCTGTCTGAAATATTTCATAAAAGAAATATATATGAACTCAAAAGATAGCAAATAGTTGATAATTCTTAACATAGCTTCTGAGTAACAAATTAGGATTGGTGAACAACAAATAAAAGAACATTCGATTTCTTTTATCACACTACAGTCGTTAGCAGTACTACTAGACATCATTAAAAAAACTGTCAGTATTCTGCACCTTGAAATTTTATTGACAGTCGATTACTTTGTACGAGTAACTTGAAGCAGATCATGTTTATGGTATATTTTAATTTTTTATTCACTTCTGACAAAGTTATTTCATAATTTCAATTGTTTCCAGAAGAGGAACATTGGTAAACAAAGTAATGTTCATAGAAATCATTGTTTTGCTAATAATATTTATTTACTATTTAAATTGTTAAGTGTTAACTAGTGGTTCACACTCACTGGACACTTGTATGACTTAAACCTATAGGTACAAACATACCAAGAATTTATGGATTGCCCAAAACCCATAAACCTAAAGTATCAGTGCTCCATATCTTAGATATGTTCAACAAATAGCATTATGAGGAAGCAAGATGGGGTAGGAAATAAACTGAATCCACTAAAACGTAAGGTGACTAACTATAGTTTAAAGGATACTCCGTAATTTGTTTCAGTAGTCGAAGGTAAGAGCATTAGTAACGAAACTATGACTTCCATGGATGTTACTTCCTTGTCCACCAATGTTCCTCTTCTAGGAACAATTAATTTCATAATTTAATGTAGTTGAGATGAAATCACCTAAAAACTGCGTAAAAACATAGATGACTCCTAGCACTTATTTTTTATTTTACCCCAAGCAAATTCTTGATTGTACAGTATTGTTTTTGATGGACTGATGTTACCCCTACAACCACTGAAATACGTGTTAGGCTTGACAACAATTTAGTCCGAGTCCAGCAGTTTCTGGCATTGAAGACCCTTAACGTTGTAACAGGTCGACTCACGAATAAACTACCTTTAAACAAATCAATCTTCATAAACCAGTCAAAAAAACAATGATTCCATTCTCACCGGTAACTCAGTTTAAAATGCACTGCCTGAAATTCTGGTTGCAGGCTATTTATCTATTTATCTATTGACATCATCAAGTGAAGTAGTCAGACGGATGATGACAATGGCATTAGGTGATGGCTGCACTATGTCGTGAATTGATAGAAATAGGGAGACGTAAATTGTCTCTTCCCATTTCAGCAGCTTCGTGACAGCGTACTAACGATAAGATTTATCAGTCCTGGCTTATTCCTGCATTGAACAGGCTATTGAGAAATCCAGAACTAAGACGAAATAGTTGTATGGCAGCTGTAAGTTTGTAATCACTTTCGAGATAATACCAATTTTCGATAAAAAAGCACATTAAAGTCAATTGATCAGATAAATATGATTGAATAATTTCTTGACGATTCATGAATAATCCATTTATCTTTTATCGTAGAAATTTATTGCTTCTCTACTGAATAATGTCTAAACTCTTTAAAGGTACCAAAGTTTCACCATTCTAAAATCTGTTTATCTCATTCAAAAATCAATTTCTTTTCTCACAAATAATTTTCAATCAGTCAATAATACCATTTGGTATCTTAAAGAAGCCGTTATCGAAGCGGCTACCAAAAATTAGGCAGTATATCCTTCACAGTAATCAAACTACTCAAAAAGCATCCAATTACTGAGATAGTTGATGACTGCGTCATATATGTTATCTCAATAGCTGAAATCAAGTGTTGTATAAGCGTTAGCATACAAAATTCAAAGACGCCATTGCAGGTCGGATATTTTAGACCATGATCTGCTCTCGTTTTAAAGTGGCTAGTTGTTAAACGCTTCCGATTTGATCAAAAAAAGTTTAAGTGTGTTTTAGGATGAATTGACTAAAACATTCAGTCACTGGACATAAAGTAGGATAAAAGGAGTCCACACAATTGGAAAAGAAGTATGATAACTATTTTTCTAACACTTTTCAGTACCAAAACAATAACTTGCCTGGAGATTGTGCTAAGACCACAGGTTTACGCCGTCTTACTTTCCTGTAGCTAAAAAATATTATTGAAGGAGAGAATATTAATTAAAGAAGTGAAGGCATGGAACAAACATTTAATCACTACAAAGAATTTCATACAAATGAGCAGTTCTAATATGGCACAATCCTGTATAATCAAAGCGCAGATGATTTCGCATATTGATTTCCCCAATTATTATTTTCAATAGTAAAACATATTTGCAATCAGTGTTGATAAACACGCAATCATTGAAATGATATTTCGACATTATTGTCAAAACGGGCAATATACCCATGTAGAGCAAAATAAAGAGAGAACAACTGAAGAGGAATATAACTTGACTCTGTCCAGTTTTTTCTTGGAACGTTTAAATAGACATTTTCAATATGAATGGGTACAAATTACAGGTTTTATTGGTATCATAGTACAGCAAATTTTCAAGAGTTTAAACTACAGTATGTCTTATGCCATGATGTTGGAAACCTCTTTTACAATTTTCATTCAGTCATACATGAACACCGATAAGTTGGAGGGCTTCATCAACGCCAGTTTATCAAGAAGAGATAACTTCTAGTTGGAAGGAAGTGATTGGCAGGAAGGCATGTATTTGTGTTTCATGCTTGCCGATATTCGTCAGTGAAAGGTATCTCTAGCTTCCAGGATACTGATATCTCCTCTGAATTTCGACCTTAATTTCTAACTAGTGCTCACCCAGGAAAGATGATAGTCACCAAACTTCTGTGGATTTGATACATAATAACAAACTGAGATTTTTAAAGAAAAATGATGGGAAGCACCATTTATCGTTAATGGTGGTATTCTATTTTTTGTTCAGAAAAGTGACGAGCTTAAAGCCAAACTATGTAACTGACCCCCATTACATTCCAGTATGAATGTTTATTTATAGATATCAATGAATATAGATCTATTTTTATGAGTTCTGTCGTTATGGGCTGCTGGGATCCATTTGGTTAACTGCATGGCGGCACATAAGTGAAGAAAAATTCATTGTTCTTACCAGTATAATCAGACAAAGACAACAAATAGAAACTGTGTACCATATCTAACAGTGTTCATAGTAGCTGAGTACTCAAATGAAAATTCACCTACTAGGGTGTTATTAAATTTGTATGCCAATCATTGGTGACAGTCATTGTTCATGATGCAATCCCAATGTATAAGATAATGCAAGAATGTGCCAGGACTAACTAAAGCAGTGATATCTTAGGCTTCAGTATGATTTCATAGGTGATTTCGTTCGTAAGCCTAATTCCACTAAGCTTCCCATGAGTATGGATCATACTAACTGAAATTCCTACAAAACATACAACAGCCTATAAACGTATTCAAGAGTCTTGTTTGCGCAAAAACGTGAAACAACATAGGAAGCTGTTCATCAGTATTCAGTCCTCAGGATAAATATTTTTAGCACACTACCATATAGGGGTAAATCAAGTAATCTAGTTTTTAAGTCAGTTGTTAGCGGAACATATTGTGCAGTTAGTTTGAGTGATATCTAAGCATTATATGAAAAATAATACCACTTGTGTCTCTAAATTCAAGTATCTGTGTAAACAAACGCATATGGTAAGTGATGATTGTGAAATTCATTTGAGATCAATTGAACATGTCCCTAAGTGGTTAAAAGACAAACTCTATCTAATAGTTCGATTAGTAGTGTACTTGCAATAAGCCTAGTTTGATAACATCGATTTCGACCTGTTCAATTAGGGATCATGTAGACGGGACACGTGTTTTTGTTCAGTCTATATTATCCTTCTCATTCATATTCCTATTGGCTCTATCAGTCTTCAAATTTTCACGTCAATCATCTAGCAAGTTTACTGCGATCAGATTATTCGGAATATAGAGCGTTAGTTTGCTATATATTTCAGACAATCTTCTATCCATTAAGCCATAGAAACAGACTATAGTTATACTTTCTGTTAAATACGACCATCACACTGCACTGACAGTGAAGAGAACGTTCTTGTTGGTTGTATAATCAATGAATTTTTGTTGTTTTCGATGGTACCTGGTCACCTAACGAAATTTTAGCTTAGCCACAACTCCAGCAAACTGTGATAGAAATATTTACCTTCCAAGTAATATATAACTTATAGCAATTTCATGAGCGCTTTATAAGTGGAGGCCTGCATTCACAATAGACAATGGAAAATAATTCTTCCTATTTTAGGATGGAAGCATTCAGCAGAAATAATAACCACTTAAGGTTTTCGCTTTTCAACACATCAAGTTGAAGTTAAGCATTCGTTTCATAATCTAATATAATAGTGTTACTACTTACTTACTAACACACTTTGCTACTCATGAGTAGCTGATATAGACAAAGCTAAATTTATGAAATACTGTGGTATGAGTCAAATTTACAACGGATATAAAACCTTTGTTCATTTTTGTAAGTTGCTGAACAGTTCTGTAGTCTGGTGTGAACAATTAATAGTGTTGTTGAAGAACGATGTCCACATATGTACTGGCATTATCCTCCCAATAAAAGGCTGTTCAGGATATCCAAGAAAGAGTTAAAGATTTTAAGGGACACTATAAAGTAGAACTTTGCATATGAATCACCTTTCGATGAATGGTCTGATAAAAGTCCATTAGCATCGGCTCGATTTGATGGTTCTATGACAAATGTCCTGAGGATAAAGTTACTGCAAGCTGATGAAACACCATCTGGAATTTTAGGGTGCTGTAGATCCATGCCGACACGATACAGAGCTGTCATTGCATTTCCCAGCTAATTTTGATGAAAGCCGAAATAAAAAAAAACATTTAAGTTACAAGGCAATCATAACAATTGAAAGATAAACGGTGAACACTTTCTGCCAATCGCTGAAAGTAATCAGTGGTTAAAAAAGTTGTTGCTGCAAGTTGGTGAATTTAGGAGTACTTTGTGGTGTTAACCTAGTCTGACCAGATGTATTGATCATCACATAATTGAGAAATAGTGTATTTTGCTTCAATTAACTAAAATGCAACAACAGTGTCAAAGAACTAGAAGCGGCACGAGTGCAAATGACGACTATTCTAACGTCGAATAACAAAATGTTCAATGGTCACATCATAAGCCAGTGTATCTACACAACTGTGATTATTCTCAATACATATCATCTAAAATGTTAAAATGTCAGTTTATAGTATTTGTTAACTGAAGGCAGAAAAGTTGTGATATTTCTCAGGACTTGATAAAAGAGGCTGAGGCGTACAAACTGAGTCTTACACTTCAGCTTATTGCCGCAGAAAACACTGAGTAGATTAAAGCGATGAGTCAGTACAATGAAATAACTCAAAAATGTAGATTATATTCAATACATACAACTGCAATTTGTTGACATGACTGGACAGAACAAACTGTAGTGCCATCATGTAATCCTACAATTTTGGAATTGCAGAATTCTTTCAGATGTCCCAGACTCTATAACGTGTCCAACTCATGATATTTCGATCGAACCCATGGGTTCCACTCGAAGGACTGGCCTGTCACGTGATGCCCTCAAGTTGTCTTCTCAGTGTATGCCCAGTCCATCTCCACTTTCCTCTACCGTTGGGCGGTAGATTCTTGGTTGGTTCGCTGCCAGCCAGTCAGACTTCCTTGTTGCTTATTCTTATTATTCTGGTCATCTGATCTGATCTCCAGTATCGAGTGAGTGTACCTGGCAGCTGATGATGAATGTCTGCAGTTTGTTGTAAATGCTTTTCGTAGCGCGCCAACTCTCTCAACCACCACATAGAAGCATTAACTTGACAGACTTAGTGTTGAAAATCCTGATCTTGTTCACGCTTTATGCTGAGTGCAGTGCAGTGCAGTCCAGTAGATCTCCACGCTGGTTTCAGGTTAATGCCGGAAGGCCGGTATTGCCTTTTCGATCCTGGCTTTGACATCCTCATCTGTGCCACCACCGCCTATAGTCTAAACGATGCTGCCTAAGTAAGTGGAAGGGACTACTTCCTTTAGGTTTTTCCCGTTGACGGTGATCGGTGATTGCTGTTGATGCTAATGTTGGTTAGGTATCTTCATCACCTCTGTCTTCTCTACGTTCACTTGAAGTCTCGTCTTCTCTGCCCGCCTCTTCTACCAACTCGTAAGTTTTTGCCTGTAGATCTTCGAGAGTGTGCCACAAGACATTAAACATAAATCGTCAGTGGAGAAGTCCAAATCTTCTACGCTTTTTTCGTTGATCCAGCCCGCGTATGCCCATCTTCTCACTCCTCACAGTTGTCTGTTGCATAATCCAGTTCAGTCCACCACAATCAGGAACGTGATCTGTAATAGTAGGCGGAAGCCTTCTCTTACTTCTGTCTTCACTTCAAAGGCGTCACTGAGCTTTCCACTGTGAATCACGTGGCATGTGGCGTCTTCACTTAGTTGTTGAATGAGGTTGATAAAGGTTTGTGTCACTCAAACCGTAGTGTTGAAGAAACTGGTTGCCAGATTACTTCTCATTCGACCCTGTTGAAGGCCTTTTCAAAGTTGATGAAGTTGAGGTGGGGAGTTGACTTCCATTTTATACTCTGTTCTATGATGATGAGTAGCGTAGCACTGTAATTTGATCCGCAAATGATTGTACTTCCTGAAGCCAGCCAGCCAACCTATTCCGGTCGTAATTTTGAATCCAGTGCGTCGATTAGTCTCTCCAGGATGATGCACCTTAATATTTTGCTTGAGGTGGACAGGGACGGGAGCATGATTCGGCGCCAGTTCTTGCAAAGACTTGGGTTGCCCTTCTGTGGAAGTTTGACAACACAACCCTTCTTCCAATCTACAGGTTCTATTCTTTCCTTCCTTTCAAACCTCCTGCAATAGTGGTGTAAACATGTCCGCTGTTGTCTCTGCACCTGCTTTCAGTACTTCTGACGGAATTCCATCTGGTCCTGCTGCTTTCTCGGATTTCAGTAGTTTTATGGCAATCAGGATTTCTGCTCTCGCCAGTGGGTTCGTGTTCACTGATGGTTCTGTGGCTGGGCTGCTGGTGGTGTTTCTGGACGAGTTGCAGGTGGTGGTCAATTCAAGAGTTTTTCGGAGTGGTCAGCCAATCGTTCCCTTTGTTCCCCTCTTTGCCTGTAACTAATTTTCCTCCACTATCTTCATTGGTTTCACCTGCGTCGATCTCTTCCCCCCAGATAGTAACCTGAATATTTGATATACTGTTGTCAGGTTTCTCCTACCTACAGCCTGCTCTATTTCACTTGCAAGTGTGTCGAAGAATTGCACTTCGTCTTCCGTGCACTCTTCACTTCTTTGTCCAATTTAATGTTTCATAGGTGCATTCAGTTCCTTTTTTTGTTGTTCATCCCTGAACTGCATAGCACTGGTTCATCTGCTCCACTATCATCCTCTCTTCTGTCAGCTTTCACGTATGCGTGCAGATCCATTTATTTGTCTTGTTCCTTCTTCCTTCTTAACACGGTTATCCAGGTTTTGTTCCACGTCTTTTTGATAGGGTTCGAGTGTTCTTCCACGCAGGTTCCTTCAGAAATATTGCTTAAAGTCTCCCATTTTCTTTTGTTAGCTGAAGTAAAGATATCCTTGTAGTTTCGTCCTTGAGTTCAGTTTCTGTTCAGGGTGTTCAAGTTGAAATGCTGTCTATCACTAACTTCTTTTAAGGCTTTCAACTTGATTTTGAAGGTTCCCTGCAGTAGATAGTGAGTGGTGTGAAACTACATCTGCCCCCTTCTTCATGTTGTGTCCATCTCCCCTTTCTTCACATTGAAATGAAGTCGATCTGATTTTTAGTAAGTCCTGTTGTCTGGTGAAGTCCATGTCGCTTTGGGAATATCCTCATGCTTGTACACACTGCCCATCCCCAATCGCAAGACCATTAAATGCTCAGAAGTCTGCAAACAGTTCACCGTTCTCATTCATTTCACCGAATGCTTCTCAACTCATGATGAGTTCTGTTCCTGTGTTGTCCGCTCCCAGTTCCTCACTCATGTCACCCCACCCATTAGAATTTTGATGTCGTCATCTGACATGCGGTCTTGTTCATTACTGATTGCAGTTGTCTGTAGAGTTCCTCCTTCTCCTGATCTGTATTATTTATAGGTGTGTAGCGTAGCACTGTAGGATTGGAACTTCCCTTCTTTTGAGTTGAATCTCGCTGTTATGATCCTGATCGTGGAGGAAATTGGTTCTCACTGCATGAGAGTGTAGAATGCTGTTGGGACATCATGATAACCACTCCAAAAAACAGTCTACTCGTGGTTGTCGTTTGACTGACAATATTGGAGTAGATTATTAACTCTGCAGTTGACAGTTTGGAAAGTTCACTTCCATTCCATCTACTTCACAGATTCCTAGCACTTCTATTCTGTGCCATATCTTCTCATCTCTTTTGCAATCTGGGCAGCCTTGCCAGCCAGCTTCAAACATATTTCTGACGTTCCATGTCCCCAATCTTACTTTCGCTTTCATCGAGAGAAGAGAAGATACATCGGTCAATTGGCTTCCCAAAGGCTTTCACCAACCGGCGTCATTTCGTCTCTCCGGTTCCAGTGAGGAATAAGTTTATTTAATTTTATATATATTTTTTCTTTGCTTTGAAGTTTCTTTAGCAATTGTATTGGTTTTACGAGGTGGGGTTGGTGGTCCTATGCCCAACCTTCCTTCTCTATTGTTGCTTAGGACCGGCCAGTGACAAAGGAACTAGTTAACTAGATGATGCTGGCTGACATTAAATTTCAACACGTCGAGTTCAAAAAATTAGTTACTGACAAACATTTACAGGTAGTTAGTCAAATCTGAGTTTAAAATCGTATGTATTGTCAAACTCTGCAGTGCTGTAGTCAACTATTTTAACTATACTTAGTAATACAGATCTCCGGTTTCGTTAATCTAAGGAAAGATGTAGTTTAGAGGTTTTATTTCAGAAGTGTTACAACATTAATGTGGAGCGTCTTATCTGTTCTTATCACTTTGACATGAGAGCTCAAGTGTCTGTGTGTACGCATATTCTAAGTCAAACAGAACACTAAGGAAGGAAAACAGATGAATAAGTAAGAAGTTGGACAGATTATGTTAACATGTCCAGTTAATTGTGAAAACTGAAGCTTCTTATAGTATAAAAGTAGAATTTAAGCACTAAAAGACAACACAGTTCCATCCCCGTTCGCTTACCTGGTGCACTACACAGTGAAACAGTTATATTCACTGGGGGATGTCTCGTGAACAATATATTACTTGACATGATTATAAGCAAGGGATTTTACTTCAGACGTTACTTAATATAGAACACAATTTTATTGCATAATACACCTGATAAAAATGGAAACTGAAATAGGATTCGAACTTCCGAACCCTTAGAATAAGAAGAAAGATGTGAAGTCATGAAATAAAAATGAAAAGAACTTTTTTGTATTATAAGCGACAACTCTGTAGCAAACACTGAAATAAAAGGCCACATACAAACGGATGCCTTATTTGAACTTCTTTGCATAAGTTATCTAATAGGAGGTGACTTCTGTACAATTTTTAAAATATATGTATTTAATTCTTAAACTCATTTATCTACATGGTTTTAAAAGGAGTAATTGTCAGTCAAGTGAACTAGATGAGTCGGAATTTGATTTTTTCTAGTTTGAAAAAGTTATCAAACTATCGCAAAATTGAAATTCTTGTCTGTTTTGCTCCGATTTCATTGTATTGACATCCAACAGCTTGTTTTATTTCTAGGCCACTGGTTAATGCCTCAGTGATCTGAATGCCTTTTGTATCTTCACAATAACATCTTCACTATATATCCATGAGGAAAACTTTCTTAGCTAAGTTGTACAGATTATCTTTTTATATGTTCGTTCCACAAAGAAAACTTGCGGAAACATTCTGTTTGAAACCACATCATTATACCTCTGCAGCACTAATAATGTAATTTTGCAACATTAATAGACTGAAACATTTCGAATGATCAGTGTTCACATTAAATAAGGACTGTCAAATTACAAATACAGTGTCTCAGCAGTAATGTGTTCGTCGCGGTATTTGAAGGTCCTGCATCCGATCCCTAGCTGGGTTATAGGTGCACAGCGCTAAGCGGTTTGAAGATAAAATGAAACAGATGTCCACCGGTATTACGTTTTAAATAGTTTTCCAACTAATGTCAGTCAGTGATAAATACTAACTTGGAATAAGGCATGTACCGTGCATCATAATTCCTAGAAAGTGCTTGGGATGCCATGTGAAATGAATGTTTATTTAGACTCCTTTGAATGTATTTATAGCTTCGTTTATCTCAAACGTATGGCACGTGGGTTGAACTGCAGGTCATAATGAAAATTATAAGGGTAATTAGAGGCGTTAAGTATCTCTTTCACTGGCTAACGGATTTATAGCTCTCAAACGTATTTCATTCATATATATATATATATATATATATATATATATATATATATATATATATATATATATTCCGCGTGCAGCTCTCTGTGTACTCTTAGACTACTAAACGAAAACCAATATAATCCGCTAATAAAGTCGATAGTTGTTCAAATGATTGGTTTAGACATGTTGATTAGGGTCTCACCTAACCAGTAATTACCTTTTAACTGTTGTCAAGGTTCTAGGACTATCATAATCCATTGTGATACTGTTCCGGTATATTTTCGCCTTTTAAATCGCGTTAAACAAAGGTTTGGATATATTTTATGAATGTGTAAATTTATAAAAATATGACAACTTCCGTTTCTAAACGTCTTATCTGCACTACGATAGACATGGGTTTCCATGACTGACTTGAGTAAAATCAGCGTAGTGGATTTCTTTTGGTTTCAAAGTTTCTTTAAAATTTTGAGAGACGTAAGTGCGATACTATGCTTTCCCAGTCGTCCCTGTGTGAAATAATGCTAATACCTGAATTACTGATATGTTCTAGACAGTTTTGGATTGGGAATATAACTAAGAAGCTTATTCATTAAGACCAATCGCACTTATGGTTGAGTTTGCGTTATTATTCTTACCGTAATTATATCATACATTCAATGAATTTCATACCTAATCAGATGCTGATTTAGATAAAAACAGTTTGAAAAAAAAGATAATATGAACAACTTCATACCTCACTAAATGGTTGTTTTCCAGTTAACATTTCTACAACAGTGCATCCAAAAACTCCAAATATCGGCAGGGAACCCACAACAACCTCTGATTAATTCGGGTGCCATATAGCGCATGGTACCTAAGATGACAGAGATTTTAATGCAAACTCAGCCATTATATCGTACGATATGCAAATTACCATCTGTCTTCAAATTTGAAGATGTTTCCTAAAATTATTTATTTGTTTTTAAAGCTATCATAGGACTATTAACAGTTTTTGTAAATAAAGATCAAATATTATGTATTTCAGGCTTCAATTCGTGATTTTTAAGATGTTTAAAAAGTGCACAAATAAAATAATTAGTACAGTGGTAAATTCAAATGAAAGCTGTTTATAAGCCACCGTTCTGCAGATAATGGAGGTTTCATACTGTATTCTCTGGAAACAGTATTAGATGTGGTGATGAAACCTATTTAAGAAATGCAGGAATAGAGGGGACATGCAAAATCAGAAAGTCACTTCAACGACAGCCTGGCTTATCTTATGAAATTCATAATCTTCATACTTATTTTCAAATGTTGTGTGTAACATCATACAGATAAACATGCATGCTATTTCTGTCACAATAATGACTCTTGATACGAAGTAAACGAAAACTTCAGTATCATCTCAGTTGATTTCTATTTAAATCTATTCAATTTGCAGTGTTATCACATAGGAAATCTTACTACATAACCACTCATTTTTTATGCTTTGCATCCCCTGAAGACATCCAGATAAATCAAAAACTAATTATTATGCTTCGTTATTTCAGCGAATATCTTATTAGCAAACTAATTAACTATCTGATGTCTGACAAACAGGTTGTGTCTGTTTTCATTATTTAATCTTTAGTAATACACAGTACTCTGTAACACAATCGATTCAAGAAAAGTCAGTCATCATAAACTGTTGTTCAAAGGAGAAAATAATTGTTATCTGAAGCATTAAATGGAGAATTATTTACCTCTGGAAACTAAATACTTTGTAAATTATGTGAAAATTGAGTTGCGTTAAATCCAATTCAGCTGTTTCTTTATTCGGCTTCACATATACTCATAAGCTAAACATTACTCACCTTTGAATGTTTGGGCTCGTGGTACTAGACCTGCCAGTCGTTTCGATGCTCCAAAGTCTGTTATTTTTAGTTCACCTTTGTACATATTGACCAAGATGTTATCTCCTTTGATGTCTCGATGAATAATTCTGTTAGCATGCTGAATAGCAGTTAGAAATTATTATTCAAATAACAGTGTACTTTCAAGAAGATAATATACTGTAAATAATCTGTCTGAGGTGTTAAGGCAATAATGTACCTTTAGTTCTAAGTTAACATATTTATTATTTCAGAACGTATTTGGGTGTCGTCATCAAAATATTCAACCATTTCCGTGTGAAATATTAAATAATCTAAACAGCATGTAGTCCATCACCACACGAACTTTGAAACAGTTTTACCTATATGAAGCTAAATGACAAAATGTACACAAAATACTGGTGAATTGATTAAATATTGTAAGTTACCGAAAAACGTTTTTTTCTTTACGTGAATTTTTTTCAAAATTGACTAACAATTTAAAATTAAATGCAAGCTATTAAAATTGGAGGTTATCTTTGAGATCATAGTGAGGGAATGAGAATTACAATTTGAAGCATAGAAAAGAGAACATATATATCCATTCATTTAAAAGCTAACCAATGAATTTTCTCCTCATGAATTACTGATCAGGATCTTATTTTTATTTCATGTTATTATTTGCCGACATTTGGTCCATGTGCATAGTATCGTTTGGTGTCATTTCTCTCCAGTAAACCAATGTTAATAATGAAACAGTTGAACGCAAAAGTTATAGTAAAAATATTTTTAGCTGCATATGTAAGCGAAATAATGCAGTTTCCAGTTTTCAGACATGTATGATAATTCTATGTGCGCAGTTCTTGGGGACTTTAATCAGACAAACATTTACGCTAAAAGGCATCAAAGACATATATGGGACAATTATTTACTAGACAGTAGCCAGTTTTGAGATGTGGCTACGAAACTGGAAGACACAGGATAAAAGTGTACTTTAATTGACGTCAGATGATTGGAAGAAGTCTGCAGGAAGTTATGGATTTAAGTTTTGTGCTTATCGACACTCACCAACAAGGCACAGGCTTTACTCAATACTGCGACTACAGAATTTACTATTGAGCCACTTTGATCAGCCCCAAGATCCTTGCAGATTGCTTCAAACTAAGTGACACGGGTCTTCAACGTCCAGCCGTAATGAACATCATAGTTATTACCAAATTTCAGTTTCCTGTCATAGTCAAGTGCTTCCTTTGAAGTTGTACACTAGTGAGAATAAAAGATGTCTGGTATTCATTCTTTGTTTGCAAGTAGGTACTCTATATTTCAAAAATCTGCAAAAGTAGTCATTTTAGTGTAATAGAAATGGTGTTCTATATCAGATCTTTTTAATATATCTTAGCTGAGTGTCAAGCATGCCAAATAACCGTATCACTACAGTCACTAATCTCTTTTTGAACATAAAAAACGAAGTTGGCCTATTCAAATTTTCTATCAAAATCAATAGAGGAAAATTGTTTAATTAGCATGCAGCGAAATAGAATTATTGTTGGATTCGTAAGACCTGACTTAATTTCCCGACATCAACCCTTAACGTGATATTTATCTACACACTTGTGTTACTCAGCCCCTGACGTTTTTCATCCTATCTATGCTCGTTCAAAAATCCATTTTAAGACTGTATGCTAGTCTTATGCAGGTTACGGCTAGCTGGTGAAAAGTGGCGAATGAAAAAAAAGGTATCTTCTTCCACCTGATTATCAATTTTCGCTGTTCGCAAAAAACACTCCAAATGACTTTGTTACCACATTTAGAAAAACAAGTGTAACCCAGAAAGTATTTTTTAAAATATTTATAAGGGTTTATTAGACACAAGTGAGATGTCTAACTCGTTAATTCTTAAATTGACTAACTTAAGGGATCACGATATTTGGCCATAAAATAAAATGAGGTGAACTTCTACACAACGTAGTTATCCTCTGGCAATTACTCAGATGATTCTTGGTGGCTACTATTCAGCTGTTTACGCAGACGTTAGTGAGCAATGAGTTTTACTTCGACATAAGTATTAGTAAGCAATATTTTTCCTTCTCTTTCTTTTCACTTATTCCTTCTCTTTACATTAGCCGAGCTGAACGTCTGACTTATGAAGGTTTTTATTATGTTTATAAACTGCACCTTCAGTTCTGTCTTCACAGACAATGAATTGACAGAACTCGAAAATCTATGAATCAGTCTATTTTGGTAATTTAGGCGGGCTAAATACCATCAGAACTTTCAGTATCCCCGCGACTACGTCTTTCCTGATGTTTCTCAAAGCTTGACTCCTGACTATGTGAATAATTTTGTAGTTTGTTTTATTCGGTGTGCAGACAAAATTGTTTTTCTGGGTAGCATTTTTTAGGTTTTTTTTCGAATAACTTAAAATACTGCAGCAATAAAAGAGGGATGAAACAAAAAAACCTACTAAATATTGAAGACCTTCCAGTATTTGTTTTGAATAATTTACCACTGTTTCCTCTTTAAGAGCTCCATATTTTGATACAAGTGAAGTTAGTGAAGCTAAAATGAAAAAAAATCTTTAATTGTAAACTTGTATATTTTATGGAATAAGTCTAATTCTTTATAGTAAAATAATAAAAGTTGATCTGTGTGGAAGAAAACACGAAGTACGATTGGAATATTGAACAATTCCGGTGACCGACATGTCATGTACGCTTAATGTATCACTCTAGATGAATAACAGTATTACAATAAATGGAGAAATGAATTAAAATCACTCTCGAAACGGTTCATTTCAAACATCATTTGAACGAAGCAGTGACTACTAATGTCATTCAAGCTGCATGAAGCTGGATACATGCTGGATACCGGTAGGGGATATTAGATAGTACAAATAAGCAAGAAGGCACCTTTTTATCATATTCGAAGCCGTCAGAGGTTTGGTTTGCACATGATCGAAAAGATAACCTAACACCGACAGAAGAAATTACTCAATTTGTACAAATATTATTTGCATCTAATTCATTTATTGTCATTTGTCGTTGTCATATTATTATTATTAGTCCCTTGGGTACCTAATGGAATATACCGCTTCAGTAGCACATCTCCACTCCACTCTATTCTCTGAAGTCTTTTCAACCTGGTTCCACGACAGCCCACAAGCTCTCATTTCCTCCTCGCACGATCTCCCCCATGTCACCCTCAGCTGGGACGCCCAACTCGTCGCTTCTCATCTGGGTTCCACTCGAGGGCCTGACGAGTGATGTCCCCAGTCGGCATTCTCAGTGTATGCACAATCCATCTCCACTTCCTTCCAGTGAATATTTGTTCAGCGATAGGTTCTTGGTTAGTTCGTTGCCAGCCAGCCAGAGTTCCTTGTTGCTTATTCTTAGTATTCTGTCCATCTGATCTTCAGTAACGAGTCGGTGTAGACAGTTGTTGATGAATGTCTATAGTTTGTTGGAAACCCCTTTCGTAACGCCCCAAGTCTCTGAACCATACAGAAGCACTGACTTGACTCACGTTGGTGTTGAAAATCCGGATCTTGTTCCGCATGCTGAGTGCAGTGCAGAAGATCTCACTGGTTTCAGGTTAATGAACGCCTACCTCGCTTTTCCTATTCTGACTTCGACATGCTCTTCTGTGCCGCCGTCTGTAGTTGAAACAGTGCTTCCTAGATATGTGAAAGAGGCTACTTCCCTTAAGTTTCTCACATTGATGGTGGTTGGAGTTTGTTGTTGTTGGCGGTGGTGGTGTTGGTTGGGTATTTTCATCACCTCTGTCTTCTCTATGTTCACTTGAATTCCCGTCTTCGCTACCTCACCTCTTCTGCCAACTTGTTAGTTCTCACCTGTAGATCTTCGAGTTTGTGCGACATCAGACACAAGTCATCAGTGAAATCCAAGTCTTCTAGGTTCTTTTCCGCAGTCCAGCCAGCGTATCCCCCTCTTCTCACAGCTCCCCACTATTTGCTGCATGATCTGGTCTAGTCGACCACAATCAAGAATATCATGGGGAATAGTAGGCAACCTTGTTTCACTCCTGTCTTCACTTCAAAGGCATCACTGAGCTGAGCTTCCCATTGTGAATTACTTGGCATGTGGCGTCTTCATATAGTTGTTGAATGAGGTCGATAAAGATTTTACTGTCATATTAACTGTATAAGGTGCTATAGTGAGTTTTATCATCTTTTAACACAAGAAATCCTAAAACTTGTGTTCGATGATAACTGTTAATACTTTGAGATAAGCCATTAAGTTTCTGCTTTTCAAAACTCACCACCGGGAACTAGCTCCATAAATATCATGAATACTCCATCATGGTCAACTGATCCAAGGTACTGAACAATATTTTTGTGATGTAATTTTGAGTGTAGTCGAATTTCATCGTGCAACGGTTGAAATTCCCTGCATGAAAATAGTACAAATGGAGAAAAATACAAATTAAATAGTGTGAAAAGTGATCATATATCCCAAAAAATATTTCTATCAAGAGCATTAAAATTCAGAATTCACGTCAACTAACGAACAAAAAGCAGTATTTTTGAGGAAGAAAGATTTCAGAACAAAAAATATTGGTTTTTCTTAATTCAGAAAACTGAGGTAGAAATTTGATTGGCAGTTAGGTAACAAGGCAATGTTTTATCGATCCCACGTCTACACTGCTGCACAGAAAATCTGTTACAGACACTACTTTGAGAAGAGGTATAGACTGTGTTTATTGGCGACTGACATGTTCGAACGAATGCCATCAAGTTATTAAGTAATACTCTATGCATCAAAAGCAGTGTATGGACCGTTTAAAGAATTTGTATGCGACTATTTCCAAGATCAACTTTTTTATTCTATTCAGGGTTTAAAACCAGATATTTTCTGAAATATATGTCGGCCTTCACGAATCATACAGTTTTCAATGTCCTACCCGTCCTGATAGATATATTTTTAACACATTCGCATGTAGATAAATACGTGCATGTGTAATAAGCCAAATTTGAATGATAATACACTCGGCTACTTTGCTGGATCAGCATTTCCATATACGTTTTACACCTTTCAGCCTATGATCTACTGTTCATACTTTTTTCCTTGAAAACATCAGGTATTATTATTGTAAATCAATAATCTTTCATTTGTGAAGAATGAACATAAAGCTACAAACCTGCCACTATAATTTCTCCACCAACTTCTGTACTGAGTGCCTGAAATGTTAGTTTGTTTATTCAGTGGATATAGTTGAAGTTCATAATTAAATATCAAGACTACAGTGCAAATATTTGCATTCTCTAAAATATTTAGTTAATTAATCCCACTGCCTAACTTCTTGTTACCTTGAAATAAATATTGTTGTATATTTGTATCGCTGCAAATTCTCCCATCTTCATTACTCGTAGAGAAAACTTGTTATTTCCCAGTTAGTACACTTTATGTTAACAAATATTTTCCCTGTAAAAAAATCAAAACAAGTTTTCCACGTTTTCGTTGTGGCGCATTTCTTGGCGAACAAACTCTACTATGTTTGTGTGTTTTAATTATAATTAATTCTATACTGTATTCAGACAGTGAATCGTTGGTTTCATGATTACCCTTTATGTATTAAAGTATATATAAACTAATATAGTGAATGAAAATGCACGACTAAAAATTCTCCATAGAAATGAATTTCAGTCATCTAAGTGACAAATAAATATCCTCATATGAATCAAATTAATGTTTGTCCTGAATGTAAAATGTTGGTAATTTTTCGGATGACATTTTTGCATAAATCGATAAAGTGAACATTATCTTTGCTTCAAACACTAGACTAATTTCAACAGTAGATATGGCTGTATTCTGAACAATATTTAGTTAGGTCATTCTTGTTTCTTATGCATGTCCTACCTCATTGTAGATGATATTTTTAGAAAAAGTTATTCTAAATTTTTATTCTAATATAATTACTGTCACTAAACCACTTTTGCCTTGCACAATTTTCAAGAAGCCTTAAAAGGATATATATATATATATATATATATATATATATATATATATATATATATATATATATATATAGTTGTGACAGATTGAGAAGTAGAATCCATAAGAATGGTAACTCATAAAATAATTACTGTTGTAAATATTTATCAATTACAAGTTTCCATAAACCATACCTGATGTTAGTTGCATCAATTTCTTTAATAGCAATTTTTATTTGTTTTGTAAGATCCCATCCGTATAAACAACGCCAAAACTGCCCCGACCCAATATTTCACGTTGATTTTGATCGTTTAAATCATATGTCCACTAGGTATGGAGAAAGTTTAATGAATATAACAATACAGTCTGTGTTATTGTTATCAAAAACTAAAACGAAATACTGGTAGTTTTCATTTAAATTTAAAGCAAAGCAAAGTATATACCACGGACATTTCCTAAATTTTTCAGAAAGATAAGGCGATATTATATGTTGCTGGATAACTCACCATATAAACATATTCAAAAAACTGCAGTGCGAAGAAAACAATACAGGGGTTTTGATGTCGCCTAGATACATGCAAGTTAAATAAATAATTACAAGATATCTTCAGTTCTGTGGCCAAATGGTGATTAATATCGTAGCTGAAAAGGTTTTAGCATATACACAAATAAGAGGTGTAGAGAAAAAAAATATCGTTCAACAGCACCAAAGTACCTTTTTATTTCTTGAGAAGTATCAAGGTGTATTTAATACCTTGAAAAGATTCGTGTTCCTAAAGCTAAGATATGTGAATTGAAATTTCCATGAAGTGTCGTTTAACTTACATGATGATAAAAGTGCAGATATCACAGTTATTAGGCTTGACTATGTCAAATTATTGGTTAGCAGAAACCTAATACTCCCCTAAAAGTACGATTATAGAAGAAGGGACATAGGTTGTATGTATCACCAATATAAACTGTTTTCAGTGCAGGGATTTAGTGTAAAGATGATAAATCAGCGTAGAACTTTGAGCCGGCTCAAGTTTTCACGCATCACAGTAGGTTACAAAAAGCAATTGGAAGGAAAAGGCCAACATCAAAGTTTATGAGCGTGAGTAAGAGGACAAGAGAATTAAAAATGAAGGTCAGTGAAAACATCTAACCTTTAGAAGACATCAACGAGTGATTACACCCACACTTTTGTCAAAGATTTCCTGCTATCTCAACCTCTGACTTTTGTTGTCTGACTGACCTCAGTCAGTTGGTCTACACCACCACATATGGCTCACACCAATAGTTAGAGACTTCATGGACTGATGACACGTCTTGACCTTGCCTTTCTAAGCTTTCAGCCAAACTAATTTCACTTCTCTTTATTCACCTCCAGGTAGACAGATTCATAAATTCATCGACTGACTTGCCTTCCTCTATGAAATTGTGTTTACTCTGCACATTTTATAATAAGTTAGACCAGAATGGTTCTGAGAGCTGAAATGCCAGAGTATATCACTTTAATATTTGCTGACCTAACGGAAAGTTGAAATCACTAGAAGTTGCGACTTATTAGTTTCTCACATGTTATTCATGAACTGAATGTATCTCAAGAGCTTATATCGATTCTGCTGATGAGTATTGGTTGCATATTACATTGGTTTCGGTACAAATCACAGGTGATGGATGTAATGATAAAGTATATATGTACATTACGTATGCAGATAAACGTGTTGCTATTTGAGCTATTCATCAACAAAATTTACCTTGAATGGTTCGGCAGATCCCTCGTCTAGCAAAAAACCTGAATTTTCCTCCTCCGAAAACAAACATTCACGTAAAACTGCATAGAACCTTAAAAAGGAAAGAAAGACATATAAGAGGAAATATAAGGTATCCATTAGGCTTTAAAGTTATGACAACAAACAAGACAAGCATATTGAAGTATGTTGACGCTGTAATATGGCTGTGATTACCAAGACTAAACTTTAAGAAATGGAATTTGGAATGCACGTGGAACATGATTTTTAGCTTTTGCTAACACCCACTAAACATTTATTCGGATCTAAGTACGGGTCAGGGATCAGTACTGAGCACCGAGTAGTTGCTGCATGTTTTACGATTATCATCCATGTTTGTACGGAAATTGACTCCAAATCAGTGAGAAAAAAACATTGTCTACATATCAAACTTTGCACTTGGTTTTGAGAAACAACATGGGTTTTATATTCCTTTACTATTCACCCCTTTTTTCTGCACCATAACTCTTGCCCTTCCAGTTGTCATCATCTTTCAACAAATACAGTTCCCCATCTACTCATCTAAATAAGGTATTCATAATCTGTTAGTGAAAACACTACTTTTGATATAAGTCCTTAACTTTCGGCTTTTTGTATAAAGTGATTTCGAACATTAACTAGCAGTTGACTTAGTGACATTATGATGTCATTTGACTCAAACATCCTATCAATACCATTATTATGCTGCTGTGTTTGATAATTGACTGAAGATGGTTAAGGAAGAGGATTTGACTATGATTGTATAATTCATTGTATCAGTAGGATAACGCAGAAGTAAAAACAGATTTCACTGTTTTGCAGGAAAAAATAGCTATGTTTAACGACAGTGAACATTGATATAAGTCGTTGGGTAATAATAAGTATTCTATATCAACTTTTGTGAGATGTGTGTAAGGATGAATGCATAAAAAACATACGACAAGTGTTTATAAATGTTTATCCTGCATATGTTTTAAAAACCGACAGATTCAGTTTCACTCTTTTAAAAGTAGTCAATCAACAAACAGTCCCTCAAGTTTTTCCACTAGCTATACAAATAAAGTGGAATCTTAGTGAAGAGTAAACTATTTCAATGAATACTTTTAGTTCTCTGAACATTTATGATACATGTATTGACGTACAATATGTTATCAGTTAAATCTCGGGATCAGCATTTATATTCTTAGGTAATCAATGATTTCTTAGCATATCTTCTAAGTAATCACAACTATCATCAGAGCATGAAGAAATTAATAAATTGAAAAATTTTTTTTCCCCTTAAATCATCAAGATTCATTGCAGCATGGTAAGCGATATTCTTCACGATGGTATTAGTTATTTTATGTTTTTTTTACCTTATTATATGAAGAAATTTATTTCTGCTGGATAGTTTGCCCAGGAGAAATGAAGTGAACAGGAAACGAAATTCATTGAAAATTTTAAAGCAACTGGTCCCTTTGATAAGTATAAACAGCGTAATGAGAAGATGAAGAATATCTGAAACATGTGATGTATTAGCGCTATACATTTCGAACAATCTCATCACACATGGACTTATCGAACTATTTATGTGAAAATTTACGAAAAAGGTCAATGAAGTTAATGGGAAACATAGGAATAGGAAGGGATAGAAAAAAAGGAGAACCTTAATCTTGGTATGAAAATTAAAATCAATACTACCAAGGTAGGTTCAGCATGAGTACGAGAGTGGTATTGATTTTAATTTTTTTTTCTATCCCTTCCTATTCTTATGTTTCCTGTTAACTTCATTGACCTTTTTCGTAAATTTTCACATAAATAGTTCGACAAGTCCATGTGTGATGAGATTGTTCGAAATGTATAGCGCTAATACATCATATGTTTCAGATAATCTTCGTCTTCTCATTACGCTGTTGAAATTCATTGACTGTCTAATTGAAATTTTATTGGATCGTCAAACATGTCGAAAAAACAGTGATATATAAAATTTGGATTTTGTGAGTTTAGATATTTACTATACTTGGTTTTACATTTGACTGCACAGATGCTGATTGTAAATTATCAAGTTGCCCAAGACTAAACATCTTATATGACAACAATACTAGACTAGTAGTTGTTACTTACTGTCTTTTAACTTTTTCACAGGAAAATGATATGCGGTAATTAGGCAAGGAACACGATGTGTACAAATAAACACTGCGGCTGTTGTTTTCTGTCATGCTAAACACAAAAGAATATTAACAGAAATTACTTTTTCCAAGAAAAGAACTTTGCATCACTTGCAATAAATATTCAAGGTGGGTATAATAAATTAATTCGAAACATAGTTTTGAATGAAATTAAAAATTTACTTACTGTTTAGATAACAAAACCAAAACGACTAGTCTTTTTAAGGGTATCAGCATGCTGTTTAGATATCTATATATTACCATAAAGCACACTTTAACTCATTGAAAATGTTTGATTCTGACTGATTAAGTGAATTGCTGAAAATTTATGTGGATGAAATATATAGCTAACAACATGCACCAAAGATATCTTCGTCTGGTTACAGACAGAGTTTAAGATTATGTCGAAAAACTTCCTAAGCAAGATAAATATCTTATCCAGGTAGCTAGAAAAAAATGTATTTGAATTTCTGGAACCATCTATAGATACATGGTTAGTTTGGAAGACATATGTGTATCAGAAAGCCAAATCAAAGTAATTTATAGAATAAAATCTAACATACAATATAATAGTTAGAAACAGTGACACCAGAATATTAGGATATCACGGCATTTATCTGCTTTTATTCGTATATGTCTGTTCATTACTTGCAAGAAAAGTTATCAATATTGTGCCTATTTCTTTTTTCTTATTTGACTGCACCAGTTAGTAGACATTACCCTTATGTCAGTTCATGCAGTTCCTATACATAAGTTTTAATAAAGTGAGTATAACATTTGCGAAACATTATTCTTTTCCTCATTCTTTCGAGCTAATGGTTTTATGTTAAACTGATCAAAGCATGACTACATTTAGCATATATTTAGATAACTACATTGTTTCAAATTGTGAGCAGATGATAAAAAACTCCATAATTTGATGAACAGTCTGTTATCACCTTATTTAAAAGCCAATTTAAATAGTAACATGTTCCAAGACCATCACATTTAAGAATTTTATTTTTATCACCTTTTAAATGTTTGTGCATTGACAGTGAACAGACTCTAGATAAACTCGTGGAAAGAATCACAGGCACCCTAGGTACATACTTTCAGATATCTCTGGCAAACAAATATTACACTTATATATATATATATATATATATATATATATATATATATATACTGATATGTTTTCAGTGACTTTAAGATATAGTTAAATGGATATTTTATTAAAATAAAACACCCAGGCATAGTATTTACTTATTTAAATTAAAAGCCCGACGACGATTCTTGAAGGAAGTGAATGTTAAGCAAATAACCAAAAAATAGGAGACAGCAGTTATGTTTGTGAGATCAACTTTTTCACATTACTTTAAACTTACTCTCGACTATAACTACTAACTTGCAATCACTTTTGTAAGCACAACTCTATATGTTAATGCCGACCTATTAAATTATGATCACATGGAATATCTACTACAACCATGAAGGTGCTGCGATAATTTTTAATAATTACATCGTCATATTAAGCCTAAAAGTATATATCTCTTAGCGGGTAAAGCTTAGAAAGTTATTAAATGCAACAAAAAAACGTCAATGATTTCAACGTTCAGTAAAAGGCTGCTTACACCGTGAAACACTGCTTCTTCGTTTAGTACTTGAAGATATTATGGATTGGTTTAGGTGTTATTTTATAAACTACACATCCCATAGGAGTTTTATGTTTGGATTTCGGCTACGCTTAATCTGTAATGCAGAAACTCATCTTACCAGCACAGAAACGCTCTCTCCTTGGGTCGACTATTTCTAGCCTTTCCTTCCAACATGAGACTGTAACATCAGCTTTGAAAGTCAACTGCGCCTGATAAACAGTCTACTGTTATCACAATCAGCACAATGACTTCACACTTGGATTCCAGCCGCAGCGTAAGCCATTTACACTTTAATGCTTAATGCTTTTGGTTCCTCAAGTAAATAAAGACCTTTCTGACATGACATGAACTCAAAAAATAGCCGTCTCAACCGACATACCCAGCTGAGTAATTAAGGCGTGCAAGTTCACCACATCAATGTGGATGGCTCCAGTTCAAAAAGGGCGGTACACTTTACACTCACTAAGGAGTTTACAACTTGAACGGTGAAATAATTGACAGTGTTTTAATCTCATTAAGAAGTTTAGATGCGGTATTTCTTGGCTGCTACTAAGATAACACTATGCAGCCACAGTGTCAAATATTTTAATAGGCCAATACCTATTTGAAAGTAATTAAATTTTTTAAACATTTAAATTTATTATCCTTAACGAAAAAGGAAGAAGGCAGTTAGCACATTTCTATCAAATAATGGAGAAGTTTGCTACATATAAGTTTGCCAAACAGTTGAACACAGCTAGTGATAATTGCCGCGAAATTCAATAAAAAACAAATGTAGGCAGTCGGGTGGTGAAACAACCTTATTTAATATAAGTTTTGTTGAGTCACTGTATTTCATTTGGCTACGCAAATCACAGTATGTTGAACAATCCATAGCACTAAAAACATAATATAATTAGATACACAATGTCTAGTAGGATCCAACTCTTAGTTTTGATGCTGTTTTAATAAAAAGCAAGTTGGAAAAGTACGATTAGTATGTAAAATGAAGCCAACGGAAACCCTTGCAATCCCGTATTTTTAGTAGTTTGGACACATCACAATATTATATTCTGAGGTCTATAGTGCACAGCGTTGATCAAAAAAACACACTACGAAGTGAGATGGGTAAATAACAACCAAATTCAAATAAAATTGGTTCACTTAAACTAAATGATCAGTCTCATTCCATCATGTGAATGAATAGCGAAAAATCTAATTGTTAGTGAGGCTAATAGGCTTGTGACACGTAGATAACATAAAGAAGAAAATTGCGATCCTTCCTAGAGTAAGAAACCCTAATTATTCGAGGAAAGGTTGAACAGTCGACTATCTTATCAGCAGATCTTCTGATCGAAGTTATGCACACATTTTAAGTCAGCAATCAAGGACTATATGATTCTCACGAAAACTAGCTACATTAATAGGGATTCATCCATCTTTTTTCCCCTAAATTACCTTTAAAACTATATTTCACCATATTTACTGACGCTTCATTTACTACTTACTTCGTATTATTTTATTACTATTCTTTTTAGTTGTTTGAAATTAGTACTCCTATGGTTTTGAATGAGGTGTCAACTTAAACCAACAAGTTTGCAATTGAAATCCTATATTCTTTAGTCTGTCCATCTACCTAAACGATGTATTTGCAGCTTCTTTCATTGTTTTTCAAATAAGTGATCTTTCAACAACTAGTGAAGTTCTAAATTGTAGCAAACAACTGTTTACACAGACTTCACCGTCATCGGTAGTATGCATATATAAAACCGCATAGATTAGAAATTAGGATATCAGGGTCTCGTAAATAAATTGCTTTTCAGTCACTGAAATAACTCTCAATCGCTCTTATAATGTCTCCATCCCTCTGTCATAGTTACATCAGACTACGTTTTGATTTCATACTAAAGATGTTTGAGTATTAAACGGGTTCTTACCTCAGTAAAACGCTTAAACAAAATGCAGTTATTGGTGCTTGAATTATATTCACAGAACTCACTTTATACCTATGATATCTTCTGTATTCAAAATTAAATCTTCGTCTTGATTGTGTTCATTAAAACGTGGAAAGTGCTGTCGCATGGTCCCACAATTTCCTAAATCAACTGACTGTATTGCTGAAGATATCGTGTAGTCTAGATCATAGAAGATTATACCCAGGCTTCGAGGCACGGCATTTATATTCACTTGAATATTAGCCGGTTTCATAAAAGTGCAATTCTGTTCAGCAACAAGAACTGGGTACACTATTCGTTTGGGATGAATTTCATATGGTATTGTAAAAGAGTCTCTTTCTATGCCACCTAGTAAAACAATAGAAGGTGGAAAGTTTATACAAAAGCAATAAGTTGATTATTACTTGAGTAAGTGTATTTATTCAAGTTCTGAAACAAGTCACTCTTGTCAAAAACATTGAGCTAAGAATACATAGTTGTTCTGCAGTCAATGATATTTTCAATACTATGGGAATCTCAGAACCAAGTTATTTTTCTGATACAGTAATACGTTATTATGACTGATTAGATTTAAACTAGTGAAAAAGAAATTCTTCCTACTTGAATTAAGCCCACATGTGAAGGAGACAATTTTGAATATAAGCAGCTATTTTGCGGCTAAAAATATTTACACTAAGGACGGATAGTGGCTGGAAGTGGAATCTAAGACGCACGTTTCGCCTTATGTGGGACTCGTCAGCTGCGTATACCTACCTCCAAGTGAGCTATGTTTCCCACTAAAACTCGAACTGACACCATACACTTGTATTTTTCCGCAAGTTGCTATGATGACTTTCAACTACCACATGAAGAGATAACAAATTTTTGATGTAATTCTGTTTGTGTCATCTCTTGAGTGTAGTGGAATCAAAATATTGGCAACCATGAGGTTAGGGCATACTATTAGCATGTTTGTAGATAAAGTTGTAAAACCTCACTGACTGTAGTGGCTTTCACATGTCATATCATTGCCTGCCTCGAAGCCCAAAGGTACCTAAGGTAAGAATAGGTTTACGTGATGCAAGTCGCAGGACCAAGTCACGGCACCAGTTCAAAAAGCTTCCTATTACTAGCCTAAGTCATGTAAGGAAGTGTAGACTTATTGTTTAGGGTCACTGATAAAATGAAAATCAATAGCTAAAGATTGTCTGTGACATGGCCGGTTACTAGACAACTTTTAACTACTTTAATATCATTCCTCTAGATACCTTGTCCTATTTGTTGGTTACTGTTAGAAATGACAAACTAATCTGAGGCTGTTGTGTATTGCTTTGTTTGCCCACTAAACCTAGGCCATAAGCATTGAATAAACAGATGAACACCTGAAATGATGAAAATGTGGGAAGTGTTTCTTTCTATTGGTCATCAGTCGGTTAATCTAACTTTAGTTGCTTATAGATCGTAATTTATGCGCATATTGTATCGAGTAAGTGTCTGTAACACTAAATATTAGATAGCCGTACATATACTGGTCAGTATATAATGATTCATTTCTTAGAATTCAAAATGTCAAGGTTGCGTTTTCACAACTGTATTAAATATTCCGGTATTCTCCCAGAAGTATCTTTAAAGACATTCTAGAGATTTAGAAGATGTTCTCAGTTAATAACGATGCACTACTCCCATTATACAAAGTCACCAACACTCAATATTAAAGCCATGTATATGCACTGGAGCTTTTGAAGTTAGAATAGAAAAAGAATGAAAAAATAGTTTACAAAACGGTATGAGAGGAGAGAGAGGAAAGAGTTGAAAGTAAGTGACAATGATGCAAATCTCGAAAATGTTGAAGGTTTTGTGAACGCATGTTTCTGTGACTGTTTTTGAATTAGTTCATCAGGAGTTTTCAACTGATGATTCCTATCGTTTTGAAGACCTCAGCAATGGGCTCTTAACTTCCCTATGTGATCAATACACACATATGTACTACATAAACAGGTGTTATGTCTCGGTTTAATCATTTCCAGCCACCTTCCAACCCAATGCTACTTTGAATAATAGCACTTAAGGAAAGGGGTGGTTGCTGGGTATGACCAACACATGTCTTAGCCACTAAGTCTATGTAAGCTCACATCTTCATTGACGGGCTAAACTTCATTGCCTAATGCCCCATGCTTAAACTTACCACCGCTAGCGCTGTTATTCTGGCGAACGCAAGCAGTGCTACAAAGATATCTGCAGTCAAAAATCTGCGATATCTCTATATTTGCTGTCAAGGATCATGTATTAAAGGCATAGAACAGACGAGAGTGAAATAACACATGGAAGTCTCATCCGTTGATGTGATCGCCTCACTGATGCCATGTTACATGAGTTGGCAAATTCCAAAGAGACCCTCTGGATTCCATCTGAGGTACTATCAGCAACCAACACATTTAGGCTGATACAGATTCTCAATATGTTCCACCGGCTAACTTTTATTTTACCTCGCAGTCGGTGTGAACCATTCGTGACACATGCAGAATCAATACCAAGATTCCTTAGATTTTCTCCCTGAGCTCAGAAAGCCTTTTATTTTGTCAGAATCCTTGGCCAATTAAATATTGTCAACTACATAGTATGAGTGGACCAGGAACCTTTCTAGCAGTAGGTAAAAAACAGTTAAGTCTAACATGCCCTGGACTGTTTGCATTAGCATGCATATGAAGTGTGAAGATATTAGTCTGTCCACCCCAATCCAAGTGTTTGCCTTGTTGTTTCTAAGCCGCAGTTAGATGTCAAATGACTATGAACCCTAGGATTTAGGACATGATGTTAATCAGTCTTATTCCTTTGTGATGGCCACATATAGACTTCTCTCTCTTCTTGTAAAGTTGAGTAATCAACGACTTGGATCAGTTTAACGTAACTACCTATAGTTTCCCTGTACTAATAATTACTTCAGTTTCCTTTTTCAGTAACTTTCTACCCCCTACCTTTGAAGTTTTCGACTGTAAACCATCAGGTTCTGCTGTTTTGTATCTTTCTAGTTATGAAACACCCTTCCTAATTCTAACGTTAATCAGACGACCAAAGACTAGATTCCATGTTACACAAGTGAAATGCAGCCGAAGTGGTTTGCGAAACATTCCAGGCAAGTGTCGTTGGAGGCATTCAGACAGCTATTCTTCTTAGAAACAGTATCACCTAGTACCATTTTTTCGTGCGGCTTGGCCTATATTCACACCTCCAAGACTTATCTGGTTCGAAAATCTGTCACTAAATAACTGAGACATTACCTCCAACTACTAAAACTTAACTAGTTGTTAAACCTATTAAATAATTATGTAAGCGAAAACTTACCATAGGCCAGTGCTATCTCACTGAAAATTCGACCATACTTACATCGATTTTGTAGCTGTTGAAAGTAGTGAAATGCTGAATGACTATTTTTTGAAATTTGATACATACCTCAGTGATAGCGAAAGGCTTTTCAGTTTTTCTGCCGTTATCACTGGATGTTTTTACACAGTAAGTCAGATTGACAGATAAATGTATAACTCTATATAACGGGTAATAGATTGAAGTTACTTCAAATGACAGCATCATACAGGAACAGAATCATAAGATTAATTCGTTCCTAAATTAAAAATAAATGGAAAATGTGAAGTCTGCAGAAACTGTGGGTTTCTGAAGTTTGGAACCATACAACTTTCTCTGCTACAAATCCTATGCTCTCTATAACATGTATTCTACACAAAAATATTCATTGATTTTAAAAACATGATATAAATAATTCTATTTTCTTGTTATTAAAATCAATAGGCTAACTTACTCGATATAGCCAACAATGAGTCATTTTCATCGGTATCACATACCGTGGACAGGAACTCCATCCAGAAGTCGAAGAGCTATAAAAGAGATATATCATGGTGATCATTCTACAAATTGAAGTCACACAAGAATAAACCATAATAAGTGACAGATACATATAAAAATGAGTGTATAACTGTACGGAAGATTATCAGTGTACAACTTCACTATTAATCATATTTGTCGGTTTCTAAACCTTCCTTTCGAATTGTTTCATAAAATCCCAGACAAATTATTTATTTAGAAGTAGATGAACCTTAATACATCCATTGTAATGTATTTATTTTGGTAAACTGTACGTTTTAATAATACATCGATAACACTGGAATTTAATCAGTTGTTAACGATTCCATTATTATTAATTGTTGAGGGATATGGAGCATAACGTTATCCCACTTATTTGTAATTTCTGTGGTTTTTTACGAATCCATTGTACCATAAACCTTTTTAAATAATAGCTGTCAATAAAAAGTGAATTGATCTTGATATCAGTCGTATGAGACTAAACTAACAAATATATTTTCAGGAAGATCAAACAGCAGTTAGTTTTAGATGACAGCACACCTATTTTGGATACAGTATAGTTAAATAATCATAAGAAAATAAGCTATCATAAATGAAGCATAAACCGAGAAACCTTGAATATCAGCAAAACAGAAAGGGCTGTCAAAGTAGCATTTGTATTTTATATATGTGCATTTGGGATGGTCATCATTATTTGGACAGGAAAAGTTGAAAAACAAGGAATCATTTTGCATGAGAAGTTCAGCTGTTATCATACACAGCTTTACAGGTTTGACGAGGGATACGTCTCGTTCTGTTGCAACAGAAACGAAAACGATATGTTTCGGGAAAGTATTCAATAGATGAAACAAGTAGGTGCAAGTGAAAAAAGCCTATTCGCCAATATATATATATATATATATATATATATATATATATATATATATATATAATTATTAATATTATTAGTCCCTTAGGTTCCTAATGGAACATAGGGATTCAGTAGCACGTTACCATTGCACTCTTTTCTCTGCAATCTTTTCAACCTGGAGCCACGACTACCCACAAGCTTCCATTTCTTCCTCACATGATCTCCTCCATGTCACCCTCGGACGCCCAACTCTTCATTTCCCCTTCGGATTCCACTCGAGGACCTGACACTTGATGTCCCCAGTTGGTCTTCTCAGTGTATGCTCAGTCCATCTCCACTTCCTTCTACATATTTGTTGGGTTCCTGGTTGGTTCGTTGCCAGAGTTCCTTGTTGCTTTTTCTTTCTGGCCATCTGATTGTTAGCAACGAGCGCAGGCAGTTGTTGATGCATGTCTGTAGTTTGTTGGAAATGCTTTTCGTGACGCGCCAAGTCTCTGAACCATACAGAAGCACTGACTTGAGGTTGGTGTTGAAAATCTGGATCTTTCTTTTTATGCTGAGTACAGTAGATCTCCACACTGATTTCAGGTTAATGCAGGAAGGCTTGTCTTGATTTTCGGATCCTGGCTTTGACATCCTCATATGTGCCGCCGCCTGTAGTTAAAATAGTGCTGCCTAGATAGGTGATATATATATATATATATATATATATATATATAAAGAGGGAAGGTTGGGCATAGGGCTAGCAGCCCTACTCCCTAAAACAAATCCAATCGCTAAAGAAACTTCTGAGCACAATGAAAATATAAAAAATAAAAACAAACGAACAAACTTGTTACTCGCCGGACTAGGAGAGACGGAATGACACCGGTTGGTGAATGCCTTCAGGAAGCCAATTGGCCGATGTTTCTTCTCTCTCTCGATGAAAGTGAAAGTGAGAATGTGAACATGGAATGTCTACACAATATTTGAAGCTGGTTGGCAAGACTGCTCAGATTGCAAAAGAGATGAGCAGATATGGCATAGAAGTGCTTGGAATCTGCGAAAGCAGGTGGAATGGGAGTGGACTCTCCAAACTGTCAACTGCAGAGTCAATAATCTACTCTGTTATTCCCACCCAGACGACAACCACGAACACACTGAGTTCTCGAATGATTATCATGATGTCCCTAACAGCATCAAAGACGCTCATGCAGTGGGAACCAGTCTTTCCAGGTTAATGACAGCAAGATTCAACTCAAAAGGAAGGAAAGTCACAATCATACAATGCTACCCTATGCACCTACAAATAACCAAGCAAATGAAGAGAAGAAGGAGGAATTCTACAGACAGCTGCATTCAGTATAGGAAAAGACTTCAGTTGGCGACATCAAAATTCTAACTGGTGGGATGGCATGAATGCGAAACTGGGAGCGGACAACTCAGGAAGAGAACTCATCATGGGTTGAGAAGCACTCGGTGAGGTGATGAACCAGAATGGAGAATTGTTTGCAGACTTCTGTGCCTTTATTGATATGGTGATTGCCGGCAGCATGTACACACAAAAGGATATTCACAAGGGAGCGACATGGATTTCACCAAAACCGAGGACACACTAAAAATCACATCGACTACCTCTCAGTCTGATGAAGGCAAGGACGTGGCCTACTGGACACAAGATCAAGAAGAGGAGCAGACGTAGGTTTAGACCACTATCTAGCTCAAGGAACTTTCAAAATCAAGTTGAAAGCCTTCAAAAAAGATGTTGATAGACCACAGTTCAAGTTCAACACCCACTCAGAAACTAGAGAACAAAACTACACGTCAGCCAGCCACCAGGAAAAAAATGGGAGACATTGAGCAATATCCCTGAAGGAACCCCACGTGGAAGAACACTCGAACTCTTTGAAAAGGATGTGGAAAGAAACCTGCATAACGATATCGGGGAGGAAAAGAAAACAAGACAAGGATTGGATCTCGATGAACACATGGAAGCTGATAGAGCAGGCACAGGAAGATAGTGAAGCAGAAAATGAAGCAGTGCAAGGATGAACAACGAAAAGAGGAACTAAACACAACCCACAAAACACTACACTGGACAAAGAAGTGAAGAAGAGTGCGAGCAAAAGACGAAAGGCACTTCCACGACACTCTGGCAAGTGAAATAGAACAGGCTGCTGGTAGGAGAGACCTGATAACTGTATAACAAATAACCAGGTTACTATCTGTGAAGAGATCAACGCAGACGAAACCAATGAAAGATAGTAAAGGAAAGCTAGTTACTAAAGAGGAGAAACAAAGGAAACGATTGGCTAACCGCTTCAGAAAACTCTTGAATCGACCACCATTTGCAATTCGCCCAGAAATACCGCCAGCAGCCCAGATGCAGAATTACCAGTGAACACAGGCCCTCCGACAAAAGCAGAAATGAAGTTCTGAACGCCATAAAGTTGCTGAAATCCGAGAATAGAGCAGGACCGGATGGAATTTTGCGAGAAGTACTGGAAGCAGACTCAAATACAACAGCAGACATACTTACATCACTACTGCAAAAGGTTTGTAAAGAAGGAAGGAAAGGTACCTTCCGATTGGAAGAAGAGCTACCTTGTCGAAATCCCAAACAAGAGAGATCTAAGCCTTTGCAAGAACTGGCAAGGAATTATGCTGTTGTCCACCCCAAGCAAGATATTAAGCCTCATCATCCTGGAGAAACTAAAGGATGCGCTGGATTCAAAATTAAGACCGGAACAGGATGGCTGGCTTCAGGAAGTACAAATCATATGTGGACCGAATTGCAACGCTACGCTACGCATCATCATAGAACAGAGTATAGAATGGCAGTCAACTCTCCACCTCAACTTCATCGATTTGAGAAGGCCTTCGACAACATCAACAGAGAATTAATTTAGCAAGCAGCTGTTTCAACACTACGGTTTTAGTGACACAAACCTTTATCAACCTCATTCAACAACTATATGAATATGCCACATGCCATGTGATCCAACAACAGAAAGCATCAATCACCATCGACGGAAGAAACTTAAATGAAGTTATCTCTTTCATCTCCCTGCCTAGGAGGCATCATTTTAACGACAGGTGGTGGCGGAACAGATGAGGATGTCAAAGCCAGGATCCGAAAATCAAGACAAGCCTTCCTGCATTAACCTGAAATCAGTGTGGAGATCTACTGTACTCAGCATAAAAAGAAAGATCCAGATTTTCAACACCAACCTCAAGTCAGTGCTTCTGTATGGTTCAGAGACTTGGCGCGTCACGAAAAGCATTTCCAACAAACTACAGACATGCATCAACAACTGCCTGCGCTCGTTGCTAACAATCAGATGGCCAGAAAGAAAAAGCAACAAGGAACTCTGGCAACGAACCAACCAGGAACCCAACAAATATGTAGAAGGAAGTGGAGATGGACTGAGCATACACTGAGAAGACCAACTGGGGACATCAAGTGTCAGGTCCTCGAGTGGAATCCGAAGGGGAAATGAAGAGTTGGGCGTCCGAGGGTGACATGGAGGAGATCATGTGAGGAAGAAATGGAAGCTTGTGGGTAGTCGTGGCTCCAGGTTGAAAAGATTGCAGAGAAAGAGTGCAATGGTAACGTGCTACTGAATCCCTATGTTCCATTAGGAACCCAAGGGAAAAACAATAATAATATACATTACTATAAGTATGAGTGACCATATCAGCTCAGTCAGTCATCTCAGTTAACTCAGAGGGTATATTTGCCTTATGTTAACACTCAGTTAAAAAGTACAAGTAATGTACTTGTTGTTTAGAATCATTCTTAGGTAAAATTGTAATGTTAGTATATATGAAAAAATTTGAAAAAAGTGTACTTCTCTCCTATCATAAAGATACTACGTGCTTATATTAAAAAAAGGCTGCAAAAGGATTGAGAAACCTGATCTGACGATATGTCGAATTCAATTTAAAAATGAGAGTGAGGTATAAATTACAAAAAATATTTTTCTGCAGAGAAAAGATGAATTTTAGGCCTACCGTTTTCTTTAGTATTGTGCTTAGGCCAAGATGTCGGTTACTTGTACACATTCAAAATCAAATGACTGTAGCCTTCTGCTTTATGTTGGTCCTTAAATCGTGATGGCAACGTGTGAAATATATTAAGTGCAACGAACTCTACAAAGTTCCACATGGAGGATTGTAATTGCTAAAATATAGGTGAGGAAAATATCGCGTGTGAATTGGGACAACACTTATGTAATCTTACGTAGGAATAAAACGTTTCTTCTGCGATATGATTAATTAGATAAACTACAAACCACTCACCTTCTGAGATTTCGTAACTTTGTTATCATCGGATGGTTTGCGGAACTTACAAATCATTTTTATATTACCTAAGGTTGACTCCAATTCCCTGTAAAGAACGAAAGTGAAAGAAGAGTTTGGTCAAGATTAGAAAGCACTATCCTTGTAATTAGTTTTCACGGTACAGTGTGAAAATTAATAAGTCTGATTGAAGTAAACTTTCTTTTACCCAAAATGCTGAAGTTTGCTGAGTCACACACGATAAAAAGAGAAATGAAAGCATAAACATTGTACTAATGATTTAATATATTGTAGATTCATATATTTTGCAGATTTTAGATTGCAGAAATGTTTCGGCTTTAAATAACATAAGAAGCATGTAAACAGTGAGATTTTTGAGAAAACGTGTGATAATTCATAAACTTTATTATATATGGCACTGAATGTTGATGGTGTAATATTGTGGACCTAATCAGCCTCCAAATGTTTCATAGGTTCTGAAGTAATGTGTTGTAGCCCAAGAGATCGGTTAAAATTTGGTTGACCGGTTAGTGGTGGTGAAGTATACCATCTAAGCTTTATGCTAACAGAAGTTACCATACTTTTTCATGAGACATACAGTGTGATTATTTTCTACTGTGGAAAAACACAAAAATTCTAAAAATGTTATTTTTCTCATGACATAATTCCTATTTCAATTTGGAAAGACATTTAATTATGTAATCATTACATTTATATAATGAATCACACATGATGATGAGCCTTGAAACGCTGCTAACTATTCCAATTACATTTAAGATGAATTCGGTTACAGTTTACCTAAATACATGTATTTAACTTGAGGTTTAATCTAAAATCTATAAGAAGAGGGGTAAAGATAGTTTAATAAATGAAAAAGCTGGCTTGATTCAAAATCTTTTTTCAGAATTTCTTGAAATGTATGTGCCATTAGCCAATTTATTTTTACTACAAAATGGCAGTTATGGTCCTGTGAAGGTAATTTAATTTAATTTAATAGATGTTCTTGAGAAATGTCAGTTACTCTAGTTCTGTTTAATATGATGCCACTTTTGTCGCTAATACAGCTGTATTTTATCTGGACATAATTAACAACAGTGCTAGCAAACTTATTCACTGTTTTCCAAGGCCCAGTTAAGGATTACGTTCACTATTAATCTGTTTCCTGGCAAAACCTTTCTTAAAAGCAAAACTCAGCCGATGTAGAAATGGTATGATAACTTGTTTCTACCCAAAGAGTTGAAAATCCTTATGCGCAATTAACTTAATTGACAAGAGATTTTCTTCATTTCAATTGACCGAATCAACAGGTTTTGCTGCTTGAATATCTACTAACTGGATATGTAGGTCGGAAACAAACCAATGTTTTGCATTTTGATAATTTTTAGTCATGGCATCTCAAACTTTCAAATCAGAAGGCATGATACTGTAATATGACTTACTCTCTTAAGATTCACCTACTGTTAGAGAATGGATTTTGACTATTGAAGCATATTTGCCTTATTGTCAAGATCTAACAAGAGAAAGACACTTCTCTGTGTCCGTACTCTTATATTTGGTAGTGGCCTAGATGTGGAAAAAAACTTTATGTAACAGACTAAAATTACCTTTCTGATTTTTGAAAGTGTCTTTATTAGTTAAATTTATTTGAATGCTGCTGACTCGTTATCATCAAATCAAATTGTTATGCATGCTACTAAATTTGATGTAATGTAAGCGAAAGTGATTGATTGAAATCGTCGAATTTAGCGAAGAAGATTTACGGTCATTCGCGTCAGATACATTTTCTCAGATAAAGTGGAACAAGACCGTGAGCTTATTGGCTTGATTTCCATATTACCAATCATACTTCTTACAATCGGTTTAAATGAGTGTGCAGTATGAAATCGGCAACCCATGCTGAATAATCATTATATTCCATTTTGCTAATTTGCATTGAATCAGTGTACATTTGTTACAACTTTCATAAACTTAGTTACTTTGCCGTAGTGAGTAAATTGGAGTGCACAACACCTAATTCAGACAGTTTTATCAGGTACATAGTCGCATCAACCTTCTGAATCATATTATTCCATTCACAGTCAACAAGCAGCTGTAATATTAGATAATTACTAAACTCTAATAAGAGTTTAATAATTGATATCTGTGATATCTGTCAGCTGAGATATGAGATTAGTACAGACCTGTTTTGTCACAATCACAGCAGCGAGTAAAATAATGGATTTAATGGTCATTTTTTGCTTTTATTTCTACGGTCCTGATTGTTTTTGACTGATATATTCGCTATCATCTGGTACCAAGAAACTGTGGCTGGTAGCTGCTACCACATACACAATTTACATGCTGACCCGGCTTGAATATCAAAATGACCAAATGATGATGTGGTTGGGAATGATTTTCCTTAAGGTTCGAACATGCTAGGAAGATATGTTTGATGGTGTTCAGACTAAAAGTACTCACCGTTTTAGTGTAATTAGCTATGCTATGTCCATAGGCAAGGTCATATTTCTATCTACACGTGGTATGATGTCATTAAAGTGGTTCTTAAAATTGATTTGCAATCTATGATGATTTCGCCTTCATGAAAACAACAGGGTTAGAAAATGTGTCTTAAAAATAGCATACTCTTCCCTGCACTATGGTATTCGGGCGCTGACTGTCTAGGTAGATTGAGAACAATCAAATCTAAATCTTTAACTACTAAAAGGTTTGCATGTAACTAGCCTCTAGAAGATGTACCGTAGTCTCTGTGACCACGTATCAGTATTGCTAATTTTAATTGTTTTTCAAATAGCTTTAAAATAAGTAACCTGCACTTTGTGGGTAACCAGATGATACCAATCTTTCTCATACTGCGGATAGCACTCAGGCGCTTTTTTTGATAACCATTAACTTTCCACAGTGTGGTTTGCTAATCTGTCCTCAGACTTATCTATTAATAATTCTATGTCATCTTTAACATTCTATGATAACAACAATTTTCTTGCAGCCAACCTCTTAACTATGTACTGTAGCTTTCGATGCTTACACCTTTCATTGTACTGGAATACAAACTTCGCCAACCAAAACTCTGGTAACTCAGAATGTGGATGAATATTACTTTTATGAGACAAACAGGCTTCAAGTCCAGTTATTCACGCAGCCTCACCGGTAATTTAGTAAAGATCACATTCAAAACTTTCCAGAGATTCCTCAGATAATTTTCATGGTCTTGTAAGTGTAGACACATCACTAAGTTCTACGGCAGAAAGCATATCCTTCGACTGAATCCCACTTGACATTCTCTTGTGCACCTCCACAATGAATGGTGCAGAAGAACCAAAAGCAATGGTAGGCGATTTCTTATTTCTTCGTGATCTCTTTGTAAGCATTCAGTAGCTTCCATTTGAACAAAATGAAAGATTTGTTTTATCGAGAAAGCCTAACAACTAACAGCCAAACATCTAGCTGTCAGAGCAGGTGATTTCATTGTGTAGGTGTGATGGCTTGGTAAAGTAGAATGGTACTTTCAGAATCCCAGTCAATCAAAATGATATTACTAACCATCTGCTACCACTGTGTCAAAATCAATAGCTTGTTTCTAGCCAGAATGAACTTCAGAAATAAAATAAGTGGTGTACATCAATCTCAACTCAAAGGCGGACACAGGTAGACTATGTTGCTAGCAGTCATCGTTGAAAAAGGTTAGCGAAAGATTACCGAGCCCCCCTGGAATCAGTAAATTGACAGGGTTCATGAATTACTTCGAGCACTGGCACGCTTGCCTTGAAATTGATGTACAGAAACTGTTACTCAAAAACCATTGCGATGCAACTCGATGAGAATTCTAAGACCATTTTGAATGAGGAACGTGGCAACTACATTTATGCCGAAGGAGCCTAAAGCTATTTCCACTCCGCTATAAGAACATTGCTAAAGACTGTGAGTGATCTTTATAGAAGGTTGTAAAAGCGCGAAGAATATTGGAAGCTTCGCATAAATTAAGCCATGCACGTCAACACATTCCTTCAGGTCCGAAGCAAACTGAAGAGCTAAAGTAGCTTAAATATAGTCTGACAATGAATGCACAAAAGGACCACTACTAAGCATTGAACGCTAACTAGATGAAATAAATGGTGGCTATAGGTAAAGGTGAAATCTGTTTAAAATCATTAGGGGATTTGAGACCACAATGTAAAGGGATAATGCAGCCATAACAGAAAACGATAGATTTTGCTATTCAGTAGCAATTTGATGGGTAGCCTGAAGCGACAGGTGAATCATTTACAATAACTCTACAACTGGCATCCAGCTACTCGTGCCTCTACCTGATATCTAGTTACATCCTGAATGCACCATTGAAATAGTCTCTTCAAATCCCCCAGAAGTTAGAAAGGCCGTGAGTATCTTGAAACAAGGAAGGGTAGCAGACTTCTATGTGACTGTGCTAAGGGTAATCAAGAATGGTGGTAGAAAATTTTTAGTTGGATTAACTGAAATATTATCTAACACTTCGCATTCAGATATGATCCTGTCAGATAGGCCATAATCACTGACTGTCACAATCTTAACAGAAAAGGCAAATTCTACGGATGGATCTGTCCGGCAGACACGTAGTCTGATGTTCTAGATTCTATGATCATCGGAAGCGTAAATGAAATTGAGAACAGGAAACTAGGGAAAAACGGGTAGGTCTCAAACCTGATTGTAGCAGTATCAATGAAATGATCAGCCTATGCCAGTTCTCGAACCATACGCACACTTACCAGCCTCCGAAACAGACTGCATTCCTCAACCTGGAAGCAGCAGTTGACTCCGTCTTTACATTGGCCTAACAGTAGTTTTTCTCATGAGAAAAGAGGCCGCCCAAGGCCATTTTTCGAACTTGAGAGGTTGTGTATTTGTATCCTCCACTTCATCTTCATATAATTTTTATCATAGACGTACTAATAGAGGTCACCGTCTTCACACCTGACCTTAGATGAATCGACTGTATCAAAAGAAAATTTCTCAGCAGACCCACAGTATTTTAAGAACATGGTTTTCTCAGGTGACTGTAATGACACAGTTCAATCTCTCAATCTAGCAGCCTGCCTTAACCTTGTGCTACTAAAACTTTTTTACAGTGAATGTATTTCAGCAAATTCTTTTTTCCCTGCTTGTTTTAATCTTCGAAATATTTTCGAAAGGTATCATGTACTCCTGTAACTTTCTAAAATGTTTTCGAACTGTTGTTCCTCAAGCTAATAACGAAGCAAAGGAAAAACGTTACGACTGCTTGAAATAGACATATAAATGCTCAAAAATAGAGCACATTACTATTTCCAGGACACCTGCATCGAATTTCAAACTACTAAACTGACTGAATGAACTACCAGCACCATAGTTACACTCATTTTTGTATCCATCACCAAGTCCAGACTAGAAGTTAGTGTAACGCCCGCTACCCGTTTCACACTGGTGCCTTTAATACCGTTATTATTAACACCGTTCAGATGCAATAATTGTTTATTTTGAAGATATTACACAGACAGAGTGTTTGCTGAAATATTACCCAGCGGAAACTCCATAACGTACTACACATGTTGTTCGGAATAAAGCGATTATTATCATTTACTAGTAGCAATTTAGAGAACGTCTTGGACCCATTACTCACTATGCAAACTCGAGCTATTGTTCCAGGACTGATCTTCCCTGGTGCTTCGTCCAACAACAGGAAGGGAAGTTGTTGAGAACCTTAACCAATTCTTTCACCTAGGAAGACAGATCCGTTCTGTTTTTCACTGTTCGATGAATTCTCTGCATGAACACGAAAGATTTAGTTAACTTTTTCCAAATTAGGACACCTATGGCACTGAAATAATATCCGATTGCCCATTAAGTGGCGAGTGTACTGTATAGCAGTTTGTTGTGTTCTACTCACAGCTGTGAAAGATGGCCATGAAATATGGAAGACATAGAGGCAATTTAGCTTTTTGATCGCCACTGTTTTCGTGGCACCTTGTCGTTAGCAAAGTAGAAATCAGCCATACAATCTTGGGCAAAAGAGGTGAACCGTTTGACCAGATTAGGAACCTTCATAGATTGAAACAACTTAGACATTTGTTACGCATGCCTAGTTAACATCTTATCCACCTTGTGATGTTACTTGAAATATGTGTAGCCTTGAAAAAGATATAAGGCGGCCATGTTGCGAAGCTTAATATCAATACATGAAGTCTTTGACTGTTGGAATGAGCCATGCCTGGAAATGTAGGTTCATAAATTTCCTGTTTGTGACGATTAAAATTGACAGTTGAAGACTGCAGGTGACGTGTCTGTAACCTGTTGCGAGTGGCGCACATGCATCTTATAATATATGCATTTTAGTTTTCATACCGAATATCATTATTGTGTCATTGCATCTTGTTCTCTTTTCACGACGTTCTACCTCCTCAACCACTTTTGTTTCTTTCTTCATCTTTCCTCTTCATGCCTTCAGTCTTGATGGAGCGGTATGAAGTGTGGCAACTAAAAAATATTACACATTAATGTAACGTTCGATGTTGACACTTACTGACTGAAGAGCATGAAACCAGATGAGAATCAAATCATTAGCTTGCAGAGTGATTCAAAAGAGGTGTTGCACTTGACTAATATAGTGACTCACTTCACAACTTGCAAATACACTTTCAAGTGTGTGGGATTTCAAAATGACGTCAAGTATTAAGTGTTGCACATTTCAGGACTTATCATATTTTGAATTCTGTTAAAGTATGACAGAAATTTGCCAGTAAGATAATGGTGGCAGTTATAAAAACTCCTTTTTACAACAAATGAATTCACCGGTAGTCTCAAACAAGTTCTAACGTTGTCTAGCTCATCCATACTCTGAATTCAATTCATCTAGGAACCTTCATTGGAAAGTAACGGAGATTTTTTTATTTTTTGTAGGTGTTAGATTTTTGCACTTATAATGTTTCTATTTTCAGTGGTTGTTACCTATTAAATGGAAAAGCAGCACTAATGAATGAAGGTTTTTTAATAAAATGCTACGTTACACATATATTTGTTTAAATATGTTTTTTTGTCTATTTTCTATATTTCGCATAATCTTCTGAGAACCATGTAACGGTAACATAGAAACAAAAGAAATATCAATACCAATAGGTCTTATTTACTGATGCTGTGTATCCAATTTTTGCAATATACTACACTCCATCCACTAAAAAAGTAAAAAATTTGCAAAACAATTTGCGATCTGAGAGTTTGATTGCACCTATATTGACTTCAGAGTAAAACTTCTGTTCTACACCAAGGAAAGATGGATATTTCATTAAAAATAAGGTTTTTCTCATGGAATAGAAACTGATAATTCCTGGTTAGAAAACATTTCTAACGACAAGTACAGGCAAGTTCAATTCTTTTGGTAAGTTATTATTATATAAAAGAAACTGTTGTATTTCCACTAATGACAGTTTTTTCTCTCTATTTTTCACCGATTATTTGTATAGTGTTTAAGTGTGATAATGCCTGTTTTCAAGGAGGAAGATTTTTAGTCATAAAATACATATTTTGTCTAAAATTATATTTTGTTGTAAAATTTAAATCGATCAAATTTTTGATGTATGCATACAACTGAAAAATAAGATTAAACCATGTGATCTCGATAGTTTCATGAATGATGAAATAAAATATACTATAAAGGATACAAAAATATAAGTGACAGTAATTCAATTGCAAGTACAGATTAAACATAAAATATTAGACTCAGAATAACTTGTCGAACTACTTGAATTGAAAATAAATCGGATAAATCAGGGCTGCTTCTTGAGATTATGTACAAAGCTTTATTTCGAAGCGAATCAATGATAGAGCTATCAGCCACCTGCATCTACTTGAATACTTAGGACAAGAGCTGTTCACCTACTACTAATGTTTAATATTTTTATGACCCTTTACTTCAGTAAGTATAGGAAGTGAATAATGCACAATAGGCCAATAAAGTACAATATTCAACAATGAACCCAATAAATGTTGCTACTAATGGTTGTAAAAGGGTTTTTCAAGCAGAGGATTTACTATTTGGAATTTATTTGAATTTTGAATGTAATAAATTCATAGATTTCAGTGGTATTCCTCAGCTGGATACTCTGCATACTTGATTAGATACGCCATTATGCAATGCAGAAGAATATACATATACATACAGCGTAAAGTGAGACATCAGTTTAGGTGTGACAACATAGAAATTAATAGCTTTTACAGGTCAAGTAGTAATACAAGTAGGAGTGGAACTTTAAACTAAATGAATTAAAGCCTGATTACATAATTCACTATGGGTTTTGATAGCAGTGCAGTCAAATTTGAATTAGGGAACAAATATTTTCAAACTCTGAATAGACCAAAGTTTTATATTTGCCTATTTCTTGTCTAATATATTTCGGAAGACTTTTTGGTTCTATCGCTGCAGTACATAAACTATTGCAATTTTTAATGGTTTACGCCTTTTCAGTTATTCAGTCAGTCAAAAATCCATACATATAGCTATTTAATCACTTTAGTATTGTCCAAAGGTTAATGTATGAGTGTTTCATAAAATCTGCGGTAAAACTACACTTACCAATCAGGTGGGTCTAAAAGGTACATCCTCTCGACGGCCTGGACTGCCCCACCATAATCTTCACTGATGACGCGTACTTCGAACAATGTGGCTACATCCCAGTAGTCATTAATTGTGGTTATATTCCCTTTCTGACCTACACGCAGATTCAGTGTATTACCTGAATTTAATAGTAAAGATAATAATTAAAAAGAAGACTGTATTACAAGTCCTATATGCGAATGTAAACTGGCACAACTTTTGGAAGCATCAAATAATACTTAGGCATACTAGGGGCTAACCATTTTACTAAACATATTCTACAGTGATAATTTGACTACCTGACCACCATGTATTCAAATGTTCCAGTTGAAAAATTTTACATACAGAGATAATGACTATCATTAGAAGCGTATCCTTTTGATTTCCCAATTTATAGCAACGACATATAGACTAGCTGTTGGGTGGTTTCAATACTGTGCTATGAGAAACAATGAGTAACTTGCTCTTAGTTTCATCTCAATCGCTTTTTCAGCCAGTTTCAGTATCAGTGACAGATAAGCAATTCTCCTTTCTTAAACGCTTTACCTGACCAGTTTACTTTCCTATAATTAATTCAAATTAATCTGAACTGAATTTGTCTTTAAAATTTATACTAACGATCAAATTCTCTTATAAATACATTTGCTTTAAAATATTCTACAGTTTAAATAAGAAAGTGTCTACCATGCCTATCATTGTCAAATAAAATAGATGTGAATTTTCATTCGTTGAAGAACATAAGTGTGAGAATATTTTTTCAAAACAAAAACATTTACGGAAGTAGATTGCTCTGATACTCCAAAAACTTATTCTGAAACTAGGTTCAATTTCATTATAGTTGCTCAAAGTTATTCAAAGTTAGGACAGGATGTGAAGATACTGTATACTGTTGAAATCTTAGGTGACAGAGTGTAAAGCTGCATAATTTGGAGCAGCTTCATGAAATAAATAAACGGCTGATACTCTCAAAGGTGAAAGTAGCTTCAGCCATCAAAATGAACTTGAGCAGTACACATCGAAACACTTGTAAAGATAAAAAGTCTAGCTAAGATAAAAAGACATTCAATGGTAAAATTCTTGAGTTCAGTGTTGTCGAAAATAGGCAAGTCAATTGATGAGGTCATGAGCCTCAGTTGACTAAGATGACTTGGATATATACTGCATCTGCCCAGCCACCGCTTAATTTGATGTGCCATCTTAGGGAAAGTAGCAGTAGGTTGGGGGAGGGTTCGGAGTAGCCAGACCAAAGCTTGGCAACAATCAGTGAGGTCTCTGACTTTTGGTCTAAGTCGTGTATGGAGAGATGGACTACTTTGCTGAAGTTTCCGGACGAAAGGAAACTATGGCTAAAGACTCTCGTTGACATGGCTGAAAATCGGTCACGGTTGGGCAGACGCCTTCACTCCTTGATATCTCCTGGACCCTTCGTGCCTAACCTTTACTCTGCGTGCTCTTCCATAGATCTTTTGTTTTTAGTTTATTTTTGTTGCGCTTCTTGGTGACTGATATTATTTTGCTAGGAAGAAGTTGAACTCTGACTTAAGTATATAAGGCTCTAGTACAATCTGGTTGAGCTGCCGGCGTTTCAAAATAAATCGGGAAGCAGGCAGCATTCCACGTACAAGATTTGTTTCGATTTTACTAAGGTTTGGCTTAGTGTGAGCAATAAACATAAAGTGTTGTCTGTTCTCAGTTCCTGTGATTTAAAAAGAATAATATATTAATGAGCGTACTATACTCATATTAAGTGGTAGCTTTAGGCTAAATAATTATTATAAATTCGTTGCATTCCTCATCGTTGGAATGTGTCTCTTTCATTTTTTGGCATCAAATTACACATGAATAGTAGCCCCTTCCTCAATAAAAATGAGATCGTAGCAGTAATGTAACTGAATGACAGATATGCTACATCTAAGCTAAAACCGTTTACAAAAATGTTTCACATATTAGTTTTGCCAAGCTCTAGTTAATACGTTCGTGTTTCAGAATAAATAATGTAAATTGGTTACAGAATTTCAAATAACGTTATTTGTTGTTGTGCAATTTGGTGTGATTCCTGTTGTGTGTTGGTTTCTTTATAACTAAGTAGTATAAATACTCTATTGGTTCGAGAATAAGCTGTTTCTGACAGTTGCTGACTTCTCAATTGTGTTTTTCTGAGTAAAGAATAAGACCTACTGTTGCTTGTTTCATACTGAATTTAATTTAGCTAATAGCTGTCATTTGTATAAAAACATTTTTTAAAAATTTGATTTTATTTACAACAGCCTTTATGGTAAAACTGTGGATAATCTCTTATAAACATCATGTGGGATAAATGAAAAACAGATAATATTTTCTACGTGTATGCTTACATATTTTGCGCATTTCAGCACTTGTTTCAAGATCCATTCCTTTAATTACCAGTAGAGTAGCAACATTTACCAACAGATATTCATTAGCATCAATTTTTAATCCTTCACGATATCCCTGAATAGCCAACTCTAAAGCCTCTTTATCAGCCCCACCGGAATCCATAAAACGATCTTTTTGTATGCGACCATAGAGACCATGCATATCAGCAGATGGTGTACCACAGGTTTTAAGAAGCTAAGTAATTATAGGAACAAAATAATTCGACGAAAGGTTATTATATTGAATCCCGTAACAAATTTATATCAGAATTTGCTTGAACAAAATGATTTTGGTTTTCAAAACCAAGGCAAGCAAAACGTACTTAGATAGTGTTATGAAATATCATTAACTACACAGCAATCTAACCGAGTTTCTTGAATTGATGAAATTTTATTCCCATTGTGGTTGTTATGAGTGTATACGTTGTCATTTATAACTTCCTCCTTTACTCACATAACATTTTACTATCATAATACCTGAGATTACGACAATCATTGTATGATAAGTCTGTTTACCTTTAGAGGCTTTAGGTACTGTAAGCAGTCAAAACATTACTAACTACAGCAGCGAGATTACCAATCCTTTACTCATGGAATAGGACATATACCGCCAGAAAACAACAAACTTACCCTTCAGTCAGGGCTGAAATAAACGATGCAGTGCAAATTTGGGTCAACAAGAGATTCAAAATGGCAACTTCGAGGTATCTAGTACAGCATTTTGATAACCAGCTCGCACAAATCATAAGTACACGTCTACCAAGCCGCATTTAGCTCAGACTATCTTCCAAATAATCAGTTCAACGCTACAACCCTGTAATTAAGTTCGATTTGTATTGAGATGAGATCTTTCCAGGTGCCAAGTGTGATGATGACTATCGGACAGTTTCCCATTATCAATTCACATGATAGCCAGACGAAAGCCTGAATGATTGACGTGAAAACAAGATCTGATAAGAAATTGGATTTCCTGGCTCATTCACCCAATCGCAGGGCCTAAAATCCAGGCACTACAATTTCGAATTCTATTGTGATTCAAGTATTTATTTCACCTCGACTCATTTCCTCCGATATATATATATATATATATATATATATATATATATCAGTAAGACAACAAGATGAATATGTAGAGACATAAAAATAAATAACTTAAGAAAGTCTACACAGTTTATGAATTGAAAAAGGATATTATTTAGGTAAATTAGGCAAACTAAAACTGCGTTAGCGAAATCAAGACATAACTAAGGTCAAAATGAAAAAAATGGTTATACCCGAACCGCTCATTATGAAAAATGGAGAGAATTAAAGGTTCCAAACAAACTCAATAACGAACAGGAATGTTAAAGATCAGTGACTCTTAATTATAGACACTCATATTTGGTTTTATCCTTTTCATTACTAGTACCTTTTCCGAATAAAGCAAAAATAAGTTATTTTGTTTCCAGTGATTTAGAAGCCATTTTAACAAAGATGTACAGACAAATCAGTGTATAACATGGCATATAAAAATGTATGAGTTCGATTTCATCACTTCAAACAACATATAGAAAGAAAGTGGATAAAGAATGACCATAAAGTAGAAAATATTCTCTGGGATAACAGAAAAGCCAATAAAGGAAGGGACTACAATGTTAAGTGAAAAACATTGAATTTACCTGCACCACTATGGCCAATCTTGACCGAAACCTCGAACGTGGCGGCTCACTGACTCCCAAGCTCTAAAGCAAGACAGCTAACCTGCCTAAATCCGCTGAAGCGACATGAAACTACAGCCATAATTTTTAAGGACTGGCCAGTCTCATCTTTCTTCCAAACTGATCCACAAACACTAATAAGCTTGGTATTCCGTGCCCTGTCAAACTTGAATATGTTTTGTTGCATGAACTGCTGACTCGATTAACATTTCACTCACCATATTACTAACACAAGTGCCATCATAGATATGTTTCAAGTAGTAAGCACAACTTGAGTTGAATAAGCCGAATGACCCGTCTAAGCACCTTCATTATTAGGGAGTTACCTTTAGCGGTACTCTTGCACAAATTAGCCTCTCTGTCAAGTCATTTCACATAAAGTTTAAACAGAAAAGTAAGGGCTTAAATAATTCGGATAGCAACTCTTTTTGTAAGCTAAGAACAATAATTTTGCTCTAGACATACTTTTCACACCTTCCAACACGTTATCTTGAAAGTGATTTTTCTCCCTTTACGCCGAGACATTTTGTTGTTTCTTGTTTGCAGGGGATGGCATAGAAGTAACTGAAAGTAATGCTTTGTCCAGAGTAGTCGTTTTGGTTGCATTGTGTTCTCTGAGCTGGGTTGTTAAATCGTAAAGTTAGTGCTCATGATGTCGTCTAGCAAGGCGATGAAACAACCCAGCTCAGAGAACACAATACAGCCAAGACCAGCCACCTGAGCTACAAATATTCTCCATCATTTCAAGAGTAATCTTTCTTCTGATTCTTGCTTAGCCAGATATCAGAGTACTGTTTATAACACTGAAAAATAACAGTAATCTGAAAAGCCTTTTTATATTCACCCTAAACATTTTAAAAAGTATCTTAACTGTTTTGACTGAAAATCAAGTAGAGAAACAGTTGGAAGCTCGTAAATATTCGAGAGAAAAATCAATTAAAGCCTCATGATTCACACCCGTATCTGATGACGATACCTTCCCGGAAAGCTACCGCCTTGGAACAAAAACATTCATTCATCAGATGTAGTGGTGAGAGAGAGTAAAATTTCGTAAATACTTACATGAATTTCACCACATTTAGAAATACCTGTTGACTAGGAAAACTGTTCTAAATGTGCGGATATGATGATTGATATTAAACTATATCCGTGTGATAGGAGGATCTCAGTCAACGAACATTAAATCACATGGGTCATTAAACCCACCCACTAATCATATATCAATATCATTTCATATACTGAAACTCTTTTCAGGATACATGATACTAAAGATAATAGGAATGCAATATCAGAAGTACCAGTTGAAGATCATTTATTGTTTGTATACCTCTTCTTATCCTTGTTATCTCACAACTGATGAATACATTCTAAATGTAACATTTCATTTATATATTTCTTAAGTAAGTGACTGTTTCTTTTGTTATCACTGTGCACGCGTTCAACTAGTCAACCATCTGTTCGGTGCCCTGGTATTCACTAGATTGTGTTTGAGATACAAGCATCTCTCAAGTATACTAAGTCAATCAATATTAGTGTCATGAGTTAACTGTCTATTTAGTCAGTGCGAAAACAGTTATTCCGCAAAACAATAGTGCAGTATTTTATTGACAAAGTAATCATACAGCCTTTGTGATAAAACTTCTCACTTGCAACACATGCAATCCAGATTCGTAAATTCTGTTTCAAAAAGGAGCAGAAAGTTTTATGCTGGAATTTGTTATACCAACTTCATCAAACAGTTGAAATGAGTTCTTCAGTTCATAGAAAATGTCTTTCTAGAATCTTGGTGAAACCTCATCAACACATTATATAACTTTCAGCTCTTCAAAAAGACTTTGAACTTCAATGTTAAACTATTATATTGGTAGGTTTTTTTGCCAGTAAATTTGTAATTGAAATACAAAAACGGTTTGTGACTGGCGAAGTTCTAACAAAGTACGGTGTTCTAAAGACTGCAGAGACTGATGCGAAAATATGGTTAAGAACTCCTAATTTTCTCTTGAACCCAAATTGAGAGAAGAAATGCTTATTAAGCATTCAGAAAATCCATTTAAACTACTCTGTGTTCACCTTTATTTTTTTGCTCAAATTACAGCAGAAATTAAGCAACCTTTTTGTTCTTTTCTTGACAGATCGAACCATGCGCAAATTAATAAATGAAGGAGAACCAGGGTTAGTGAGTCATTTTGGACTTGTCGTAGGTTTCCTTTCATCTTCATACATTAGGACTTCATATTAGGAATTGAGTTTTTATACTTTAAGTACTTTGAGTCTGAAGTATTTTGCTATACAGACACAAAAATGAAATACAGCTTAGTTTGGTTTTACAAGCATATATTGTAACCATTTAATAACTTACATCGCAACCAAAATGTGAAAAGGTTGTGTACTTAATATACAAGAGGATAAAATAAAGTAAGAAACAAAATCTGAATGTCTGTCATATCAGTAACCTGTACTTGCCACAAAATTCAAAGAAGATTCATGGTATAAGAGCGTAACATTTTTAATAGGATCTTTTCTTACAAATATGACAGTCGAATCATCTGCTAATAGGTCTGATTTTAAATTATTATATTAATTATGCAATATGACATAATTTTATAACAACCTGCCTTAAACGTACCAGCTTATGGTGAATAGAATAGTTTTAATTCAATTCCTAACTGCCTACACCTTTCTGACAAAATGGATATGAAGAACAACCGATAATTTGCTATGTTAACTTCCGATAACTCACTCGAGCAATAGAAATTTGATATATATATATATATATATATATATATATATATATATAAAGAGAGAGAGAGAGACATTGGTCTAGCTATTTTTAAAAGTTTCCAATTCGATTGATAGTTCTTGTTTTCCTAAAAAAAACTTAAAAATTAAAAAACAAACATATCTTCCAAATAATCGAAAGGATTGACTTATGAATCCTCTTTTTTCTTTACAAACCTTATACAACGTATCACAAACTAGTGAAATCCTTTGAATCAGAAGTTACGATGATAAACAATTCATAATGAGTGAAAACAGCAGGAAATACTTCTTTTTTGAATAACTGTATAAACTCCAAATTGTAACTCTTCTTGTTGCTATAATCCGCTGCAATTGAGAAAATATCATAATCACTTCTATGTGATTACATAAGAGTTCCCAGAATCAACTAACGAATACCTCTGAAACTTATTCAGATAAAAATAACTTTTAGTGAAGAAATAGCCTTCTTTAGCTTTGTAGTTACTATTGATTTACAAAGGCTTTTGCACATCTCTTCATCTCCATAGTGCTGCGTCAAAGTTAGCATCTATCTATCCACCTAATAACTGTTAGCCAAGATCTAGAATTTTTTGTTAGTGAGATCTCATTTCCCCTAAAAGATTATGCATTTCTTTTTATTTCAAACACATTTATACCCAGATGAAGAAAAGGTGCAGATGTTTAAATAATTAAAGGTTTGTGTCACCTATTAATAATAACTGTCAAACAGCAACACACATCTACTGCAGTATAAATGTTGATTTTTCAGTCAAAAACAATGTGTTTAGTTAGATCGAAACTGGGCAGTTATGTGCTACACAAACTTATTGATTATAGTCATGTGATGAAAAGAAATGTTAAGAAAATAGCCTAAAACATGTTTTAATTTGTCTGAAATTTTGTTAAAAATAACACTAGCTTGTAGAGGAGTGTTGGATTCTTTATGTAACGTGAACAACTTCAACAACCTATTTTGTACTGTTCTTATTCAGTAATTATATATGTAGGTAATAAGCATGCTTTCATCCATTCATGTATAAGTTCCTTGCGTTACACTATGTGAACTCCTTTCACCTTACAGCCAGAGATATCATAGTGACTTCATTAAATCAGTGTTACTATTTTAGGACTTCGGTCTGAAATGTTACAGGATGAATTCCGCGAAGAAATTCAAGTATTTACTTGCCAGTAACTAAAGCCAGGAAAGAAAAATCCAAATATCCTGTTAAATGTCTTTAAGTCAGTAACATTATACATAATTTACTGTGTTAGTGTGCACCAAAGTTTGCCAACCAAAAGATAGTTATTAATCCATAAACTCTTTCTATGGTACTGCTTAATAAGAAAATATAAGGTACATAAGTGAAAGACAGTTAAACAGAGTCTCGAGTAAGCTAAAAACCAAAAATTAATTTCAATAAAAGACAGAATACTATTGGGCTGTACATGACGAATTTCTTCGATTACTGCTTAAGTATAAATTTGCAAAATTAGATGGCTACTCTCAGAGTCACAAATACATATTAAATAATAACGTATACCTGCTGGATTGAATGATTTTTCAGCAAACAACGTCAGCGACGTACACTTGAGTAAGTTTTATTTTGTTGAATAAAATAAAATTCTTTCCAAAAATGTGGATTTGATTAAATATAGGTTTTAAAGTTTTTATTATAGATTAATATTATCTAGGGGATTATTCAAAACATGGCAGCGGGAAACCATTGTAGCGTACTGGTTCTCAACTTCTGTGAAATCCGCTCCAGTAACATCATGCATGATAGGACTAAGGATTCTGTGGTTGTTTAGTTCTGGCTGCCTGACATCACGCTATACGAAGAACCTCTTTCGAAATCAACCGATTCTCCGCAAACCAGTAAAGTGAATAGGTATCTAACAATTATTTAAGACTCACCTCTAAGTAGTTCCACGAATTCTTGATGGAAAATCATGACTCATGTGATGAAGCAAGGTGAACATGAGAGTAAAAATGCCCACTGATGGTATTAGATTATGCTGGTGCTACATGACAAACCTATACAAGCTGGAAAATGAGACTCGTCAAAATCCAACCAAGTGGTTTAATGGAAGGATTCTCACCGTATGACCTGACGTTTGTTGGTTTGATTCTTTATATGTTTCAGGTTTTAGCATTGAAGAGTGTCTTACTGGTACTTAACAACCATTCAACACTCCTAGATTTTGAATAATTCTATTATGATACTTGTATGTGACGTTAAACCCTGTTTAAATCAATAGGTTTCACAGTTACTTCTGAAGTGATGTGCAAGTTTTGCGATCTGACAACATTGTGCATTCGGTTAACATAATAATCTTACCAATAGTAAATAAAAGTAAATAATCGAAACTCGATTTAGGCAACAAAAAGTTGAAAAATGTTTTCAGTTATCCAATGAAGCGTATTAGTAGACAATTGATGATGCACATTCTAGTTGAATGTCTTGTATAACATTCTTAGGACTAACGTCTGTGCTTGAGGAACGATTAAGCATATGCATATTTGACAATCTTATCTTCACAGCATATGACATAAATAGTACAATTCCTTCACCAATAGCACTGTACAGAACGGAGGAATAAAATTCGTAGATGATAGTTCAGTGATCAATATCAATTCACTGTCCAGGTTACTAATAGTTTATCATCATTTGTTTAATTTAACCAACCTTGTATAGATTTATTTTTAAAAGGAGGTATATTGAAGTCTAGCAAAGAAAACTAATATCACTCAGTCAATGTAACTTACTTCTTCAGTCACGGCCAACGCAGCATCTCGATCCCCATTTTTATTCCTTCGATGTAGAGCAAACGCGTAAAGATACTGGATCATACATACATTCAAAATATCTTGATTTAACTTTAACGCTTTTATTTCTTCTATTAAAGTAACCATAGCATCGAAATCCTGAAAAATAAAATTACCTTTTTTATCGTTATGACGATCAGTTTGTTTAACTGGTTTTTAAGTATTACACTGAGAACATTTCAGTTCCGTAGTACTACAGTCTGTCGATATTTACAACTTTCACTTAAAACGTAAGCAGACTGAAACTAAATACTGATTCAGTTTGACTTGAACTAGCAATGTCTTCTTAAAAATTTCCAAATTAAGTATAGCTTAGTATGAAATAACAGCAGATATATCCCAGTTAACGCTTTTGTATCCATTAAACATTGAAAGTTAACATAAAAAACCTAATGATGGGATTAACCAACTCAAATTTCATCTACAGCAATATCCTAAATACAAATTACATTACCTACATACGCCTGAGTGCAGTTTTTGATTGTAGGGTTAATGAACCTCAGGATACTGACAAAAGTTAATAAATGCAATCCTATAGCTTCATTACCACACCACTGTACCAATGATCTCATTTTTTTATATTTAAAAGTGGTTGATAAGTGTCTTATACAGTAGCATCTAAACACTGTACCAGGTACAAATACAGTCTAGCGAATAGAAGGGTAACCTTTATACTCCAAGTAATAACGAGATGTAATTAAAACGACAACATGCTGCAAAATTCTGAAAAGATCGCATTGTAAGAATCGCTTTATGTTTACTAATTCTTAAATAATATTTGAAGGATACCCTTGCTTTTATGTGCACATCTGAAATAACTAACAATAAAGTAAGGCATCAAGTATTAGAAAAAAACCCATAACGGCCCTGCTATATCGAACCAATGGTGGATTGATATCGCTGTGCGTCAACTGAGTAATGTGTACCATTAAGGAATCATGTTCGATAGGATCTGAATGTCAGTTAACCGAAGTGTCACAATACAGTAGTTTGTTTTTCTATGCTGCACGTATGTTTAACAAGTTGTAAGCAAGCGACCGTTTGGTCTGAGCATTCTATATTAGTGTCAGATGCTATGAGTCACTGAGTAGGAACTCCTTGATCCACCTGTTGTACTCGTTGGTAAAGAAAATTTAGGTGTACCTATCAATAGTTTAACCAGTCATATCTCAACTGCACTATATGTATCTGCTCACAAACTGATTCCATTTTGATTAGACCATGCACGTAGTCCTGTTTGATAGAAGAGAAGATTTATAGCTCAAGATGAGGATGATAATGCTTACTGTTCCTCAAGCGTGGACATTTGTTCTTAGACGTTCTGTCACCAGGCTGGTTGAATTTGTCCGCATCTACTCCACCAAACAACTATCATAGTCACATGTGTTAACTGATACTGGGCAGTGATTGAAGGTGAGATGAAAGTTTGGGCTGCTGCAAGATTCAAACCAGTGGTCTTCGGGTTACCTGCTTAGTGCTGTACTAACTGAGCCACGAGAAGCATTTGCAAGCTAGATCTTGATTTTACTTCTCGATTTAGACTGGGATGAGAAAACTAGTTTGACAACCAGCATGAATACGATGAGTTCACATGGAAGTTGAACAACACCCTTGGTAACCGAAGTAAAATTTAGATCTGGTTAGTAGCTGGGTCCTGTAGCTCGGCAGGCAGGGCATCAAGTTGATTTGAACTCTGCCCTGAACTAAACTTTCATTTCACCTAAGTAATCGCCCGGTATTATTAATAAAAGTCTATCAAACCATGGCTATCTCAAATAATCACACTGACATGTAATAATTATCATATTTCCCAATAACCTGAGTTTTATAACATCGGTCTTCTGTAACATAATGTTATGAATTAACCAAGATATTCACAAATTTATTTATAAACTACTCCACTGCATTATCATACCTCGCATTGTCGATATGACAGCAACAAATTAAGAATGACTTCTGAAGACAGCATTCCCGGATAGTCCAGTCTGCGACGCATTACTCGAAGACGCTAAAAGCGATTCAAAAAAAGCACAATCATCTGAACTGATAATAAACGCTAAGGGTGAATTCAAGTCTTGTTCACATATTTCTAATAAAACTTCTAAATATAACTCGATGAGCAATTTTGCTTAGCTATAAAGAAGACATTATTACAGTTCTTGCTATCATCTGATAAAGTGAATATATGCTTATGCAATGACTCAAAGGCCACCCCAGTAAACACTGGAATAGACAACGTAGTTTCTTTATTTCAGTTAAAAAGGTATTTATTCATAAAATGGAGAGACCCAGTTGACCACCTTTCTAGTTGTTTCGGTGGTCTTCGAAGTGACTTGTTTATGCGTATTCGAATGGTAGCAGGTGTGCTTCTGCATTACTGAGAAGTACAATAATCTAACAATTTATAAAGCATTTTTAACAGCCTGAATAGCAGTCGCAACATACCTACTACTGTGTAAACTCAAATTAAAGCTATTGGTTGTTGTTTAAGGCATTTGGTTAACAACCTATGAACCACAGGTTAACACTGACCTACCTATATATATATATATATATATATATATATATATATATATATATATATATATATATAAAAGACTATGTAGTCACATAATGCTTAGTGTGTCATACATGGCTGTTATTCTGGTATGTACAGATGTATATGGCTGATATGTTGAGTTTTTTCATGAATTGATTATGATTCGTAAACACACATTTTATCAGAATAACCCGAAAATCAAATAACTGAATGAATGTATACATCAATATTTTCAATGCAAGAAGCGTCAGATCATCAAAGAAAGTTTTCTTTTTGGCTACTTTATCCTCTTAAGCTTTACATTCATCAGCATTGTAAACAAATGGCAGACAACTGTTAATCGATTGCATCTCATGGTTATTCTAGTGAACAAGAGAAGAATAGAAAGTGATTCTGTGTACTGAAGGAAGCTACGTGGAAATACTACAATAAAAGGACGTGCTGAATGTTCTTCATCCGTACACGGATACCCAGTTTGGATTGACTATACAGACACATACAGGCCACCAGCTTTATCACATCCCTTGCTGACGCAGTACATCTGTCTTTAATGCTCCAATAGAATGATATATTTCGCTATTTTTTATCTGTTTTGGTTACTAGATCAGATTTAGTGAAAGCTAGTCGCGTCCCACATAGCTCAATGTTGACGCCTTTCACTGTATGCCTTGGTTATACCACTTCGAATCTCTGATATTGTACTGCAGCTGAAATCAAGATTAAAGATTATTTCAGACTGCCTAAGAATATCAAACAGCAAAATGAATTTATTTTTACAAAAACTGACATTTTGTAAGAAAACTGTGCCGATGACTACCAGAAGTATACCTTAAACAATTTTACTAAACAATGAAAAATCTATAGAAGAAATGAACTTTGTTCCTCCTGACATACCTTTGTGTGGAACAAAGCAGCAGCTTAGTAGGATAATAAACTAATCTTCCACTCAGTGAAACTTATGTTTCGTATGGTACCAAATTGCTGCATTATGGAGTCCTACCTATTCTAAAACTGCATTCATAGGTTTAAGTGCAGCTGTTGAGGGAAATTCACACGCAGTTTATTAATTCTGATTTTACTGCCATTTAAACGTGTATGGAATTCAAAAGAAGCACTCATTCAAAGGTAAGGTACAATAAAATGTTATGGGCAGGTTCCTTACAGTTTTAGCAAACTAATTTAAAAAACTACTCAAAATCTGCAATAGTTCGATTTATGCCACATATTTACAATCTTCATACAGTTGTGATAGCTTGTCAAGTACAGTAATAACAATTTTCAATTTATACATTTCGGTCTATGGAGGCTAGGTCTGTGATTTAATCACTGAGATACAAAGATTAGAATCCCCGAGAGTTCACTGGTTTCCTCGGAGTTGCAGATATTCCCTTTTAAGCACCGCTAACAAACAAAATCTTGGTCCAGAGCTTCCGGCCAACTGCTTCTCACTATCTGACACCAAAATATAGTGCACTCCAGTGTCACGTCGCTTTCTTACCCACTGGTGACCCACTCGCATAAAGTGTGTTTCCAAACCAAAACGAAATATGTTGATTGAACAGTCGATACTTTTCTATTAATTATCTCTTTATAATCGAAAATGTACCCCTTCGTTTTTTTTATGACCCGGGTTCCAATACGTTTATGATACTTATTCATCGTGAACCCTTTCCAAATTTGTTCTTACAAAAAGCATGCGTAATATGCAACGAAAATAGTTACGGGCATTTATTTTCTTCTATGAAATACGAAACAGGTTGTGCACTGATTACCCATGGTGGGTTCATTTATGTAAGGTTATTTTTAATTTCGTTTCAAATATTCATCTGTACACTATTCGGTTAGGAGGTTTAGAAGAACAAATAATGGAAAGAATGTAACAATTTTCGTTTGTCACTATAACTACGATATTTTATGAAAAATTATCACTAAAAAGCTCCAATAGAATAAAAATGACTTATTCGGCAAGAAATTCGAATGAAAACTTGAGATAATACTATTTTGACTAATCGGTATTTGAATATTTTATGAACAAAGAGATGTAGTACAGAGTAATTAAATGTGTACGTAGCAGGCTATCTGGCTGCAACTTGAACGCATTTTTCAGATCCAGTCATAGGTTTGTGTCCGCAGAAAATATTTATTCATGAAAAGAAAATAATCACTGGAAGCAGTAAATTTACCTCTCGTAGTTCCTGACCTTTGTACAAATCACGATCCCTTCGGAGATCGTCAATAAACTTTTCCTTCAGTGGAGCACTTCAACAAAAATAACATTAAATATTTAGTATTCACATTATAACAGTGATAACGAAAGATTTTCAGAGCGTATAAATCTGCGATAATCTCATATTATGATGCAAAATGTGTGAATAGTCTGGGTTTCTTTGTTAAAAGCACTGACAGGCAAGTATAATGTTAACGCAAGACAAATTTATTTCTTATCGATGACAAGGTTTCCCATCCCAACTGTATTTGCAGTGGAATATTCATCGATGAAGTAAAACCCGTTAGATATCCAAATAATCTTTTCGCTTGATGAATGTGATTTCGTCGATGTTGGCAACTTTATATAGCGTCTTTTTGTAATTCATTATTAGACCTAATTCATGCCGACACATGTTTTCAGTTTTTTTCTACAGGAAACCGGACTTTCGAAAACTTTGTAAGAAATTCAGAAAACCTGGTTTTTCCAGTATACAAAAAGACTTGCTGTCTCTTTCCCAGGCATGTCACATCTTTTGGCTTTCTGACCACCACTTTAACTCTTCAACAACCCTTTGATATAACAGAGCTAGACGAAACATTATTAAAAATTGTTGAGGATTTTTGAGCATTCTTGGAAATTTTGATACTTTTAGAATATGCTTTTGTCCTCCTCAAACATTTGCGAGTGATTAACAGCTTTTATTGTTGTAAAACATCGTCATATAAGATGACTAGTTTATCTGTGCTAAGTTGCTCTGGGCAAAACAAACACAAAGAATATTAACTGCTAAACTAACTGAAGCTTGAGAATTAAAGCTTTTGTTCTCATCAGAATCTGAAATCGATTATCAGAGTGGGAACTATTAGTGTCCCAGCTGTCGTCCACTAGCCCGAAAATTTTGTGTGCAAGAGAAACTCGTCACAGTTGAAGTGACTGCATAGGTTCAAGTACTGAACAAACGTATATCATTGTGAATCATGAGATTTTATCAAAGTAGTAAGTAGTATAGTGCGGACCATTGTATTTGCAGGCTAATATCTGAACTATTACGTGCTTATTACGAGACTTGATGGGGATGAGTGGGGTCGTGACTTTACACTGCTAAGGTGCCGGATACTAGTATGGGAGTAAAATTTGAGCACAGTGGTAGATTGTACTTCCATTTAAGTCTGTTTATTAGAAATATCATACAGTGAAACAGAATCATTTACTGGATAACGTTTCGGACGCAATTTATTGCCCATATTTGTATCAGGTAACTCCACAACTTCAAGACAGAGTTTATATATTCCTAACTTTCTGTGATGACAAGGGTAGAAGAATTTTCCACATATCCGGGACAGGTGCAGAATCATTTCGAAATGTCATCATAGAGTAAGAGAGAAAGTTAGGAATATGTAAACTCTGTCTCGAATTTATGGAGTTACCTTAAATGAATATGGACAATAAATTATGTCCTCAACGTTATCCAGTAAATGACTTTGTTTCACCGTGTGACATTTCTAATGTCGGATACTAGGACAAAATATTCATTGAATAAAGTTCCAAGATAAACCTTTGTAGGAGTTTTATTCAAGTTGTCTAAATATTTTCATAACTAAAGTATTATCGTAGGTCACCTATATAAACTTCCAGGTCTGACAAGTGAAACCCAAGGCTGTAGATTCTAAGTGAGGTGGCCTAAAATCACTCTTCATAGAACTTATGCCGCTTCAAACCGCGTCATTCCAAATCATCAGTTTACATTTCGTTATTTGCCTTACTCCTTTTACATTGCTTCGAACAGCTTCCTACTACTTTTATACGCAGTTGTTCCTCCATTTCTCAATATTTCATATTGCCATCATACATTTTGACTGATCTATGTGAAGAGTTGCAACTAAGGCCATCCCGAGGTCTTTTGTTGATAGTGACAAACTGGAGATAACATCTTCACAGCTGCGACGCTTGAGGTGTGTTTTGGGGTCCTACCATTGTAGGCAGACAATTTTAAGATCGATACAGAGCATATAAGCAATCACTTGGACACCTCTGTGCAACGATATGCGATAACGCCATTAAGAATCAGGCACTGCAAATGAAATGTGTAGTTTACCTAAATCTTTTATTGTCTCGAAGAAATCAAATTATTTTCCCCACCCATTTGACTAATTATCTTTTCCGAACTGTTTCTTTTTTTCTGATGTTTTTTTGCTGTATTGAAACTTGGCAACTTACAATGATTAATTTACAAGACAGTTCTGTCTTACAGCAACTGACTTTTGACTTGGGACAGGAAAGTGACGAAACGTTTTCATTTGTTGCAACAAGTGACAATATCCTTTGGAACATCAAACAATTACTTTCAATATATATTTTTCAGCATATATGCAATATTGCATAAAAAATAACTCAGATATATAACTTACATTAACATAACAGAAATGTGATATCTGAGTTAAAAACCTGTTAGTAAACACTGGTCATAGTTCACTGATACCAGTAACCTCCTACAAACAGGTTTTGTTACGCTCAGAAATAATGCGTCTAAAAATGTACTTCATATGAAATAAGATTTATGTTGACAGGCGACTAGGTTTGTTATAACTTTTCCAATTATACCACTCCTGGTATATAGTTCGGTAACAATTGGAAGATGGCTGGCCAAGAAAGAGCGAACAGTCATCAGAAATGTACTATATAGATGACACCGTTTGTATACAAGAAAGTGACAAACAGAAGTTCCAACAATAAATTTTAATAGATCATACAAAAAACGTACTTTCATGCATGACACTAATAGCCGGAGAGAGACTACTCTTAATTCATTAGTATTTAACGGCTGCTGTGAAAGCATAAATTATCCGTACATCTAACACAAATTGTAAAAGAACTATAGTTTTGGAGGAGACTCCAAATACTATAAAAAGTTATAAATATCTCGTAGGCATTTAAGTCTTTGACACAGTTATCATTTCATAAAGGTTGCCTTTTTGTGAGATTGGTGATGGTTCAGCACTATTACTCTTCCGAAAAAACATAATGGCTTTCGGAGAGAGTAAACTCATCTTTTGTACAAAGAATATCTTATTTACAAGAGCTACGAAAACAGTTGCATTTAAAATCGGTACACATGAAGTGCCACGTTGCCAGCTGAAGTGAGAGGGACAAGTTATCAATTCAGCCATAGTATATCGTGACCTTGAATATGCCAAGCTTCAGAAAATTTTGATACAGCATCTAGTTGTTGTGACAGTCCATCAACAGTGACGTATTTAGGACAGTATGTTATCTGGATATGAAAAAATTGACAGGACGAATGAAGTATATTCCAGTTTATTCAAATTTCCTACGCTACATGTGCCTGGCTTATTCACTACTATGTTTATACTATCCCTCAATCAACACGAATTCCGACATGAAATCAAGGATGAAACACTTATGCTGACTCACAAGACAAACATCAGATAGCACTACTGAAATCGTAGGTGGATGAGCTTGACTAGTACTGCAGCTAAAATTCTAGAAGGAGTGATCAAGAAAATCAGAGTGATTTACCTGGAAAGCAGTACCCTATTATTGAGTTCACGGCAAAGCCTTCACGGGAGTTAATCATATCTTTTAAACCTTTATCAGATAAAACTGGGTAAAGCCTAAAAACAGCAGAAATCTTGTAGATGTCATTTTCATAGACACTAGAAAACATTTTGACAAAGTACATACATTCAGGTTGCTCATGAAAGCCAAAATGTTTTGGACCAGATTATTTCTTCGAATAAATCAAAGACCTTTTTGTTGGTAAGGGATGGAGTATAATGACCGATTTCTAGTCCTATTACCGAAAATTTGGTACAGGGTTGAGTATCGCATAGTACAACAATAAGCCCTCTGCGATTTGTCCTGCACATAGGTTGACTGCCACTTATGACGAAATTTTTGGTGACTCTCAGCACTGATAATGTGAATAACTTGCAACAATTAACAGATGGTGATCATAAACGCACACGAGAGGCAGATCTAAACAGCTTATTTACACAGAGAATTGACTGATTCCAATCAACATGGGTAAGTGTGTGACATCTATACAAGACGTTCAAATGATAATAACAGTGACATTGATGCTATTCCACTACACTCATTCTGACCAAAAGGGACCCAAGAGTTACTATAAGTCACGATCTCAAAACCAGGATGTATTTTCAGCCGCATCTCATAGTTTTAGGACGGTGGGTAATATGTAGAACTTTCACTGAGGTCAGCAAATAAGTGTTAGCCATCATGTACTCAACCCTCGTTAGATTTGAAGTCTAGAATTGTGAACGAATGTGTCCTTGTTTAAAAGGTAACTCGAAAATTTTAGAAGTAGATAAGAATATGGCCTAGTGTATGATCCCTGTGATGAGACGCCTGACTTATGGTAAACTTCAGGACTTTATGGTCTCTACTTTATTATATCATAGACAGACAGCAGACTTAATCGTGGTATGGAGAATTGCAAGAAATTAATCGGATTTAGTCGATCTATCTAACCCTTCAATGAATCTAAAAGCCTATAGGGACATACGGAAAGATAAAAAACCAAGGATGAACTTCATCGTTGTGGAGTACCGGCAACTGCATCCAGTGATACGTTCCTGTACTCAACCTTCGTAAGATACATTTTCCTCTATATCAACCAGTTTTTTCAAAAGAAGACCGAATAAACGCATACGTCTATTAAAAATGCATTAACATATATTAGTGGTGTTCTATCTTCAAAACCAAAATCTGAATCAGAATATTTCGCTCTTTCGAGAAGTATTAACTTCAAATAGAAATGTTTTGCATAATCTATGGTTCTCTGAGGGTTTTTCTTATCCTTGTTTGATCAAAACTACCCGATCTCATTTTAATCTATAAAAGGGGTCTACGTAATTATATAATGTGGGTAACATGCATAGCAGGTACACTAGGAATTTCCTTGCGGCACATAATTTCGTGTATTTTAATACTACTGGAGTAATTGAATAAAAGAGAAGGTCTTCAATCTACTTTGTTCGCGTTAGTTACGACTTGTCGTTTATTTAAAAAGAAGGCGTATGTTGAACTGAACAGTTTACATGGTAAACGTATTCAGTATGACTTCACACAAGTTTCAGCTTCTTACTCAGTGTGCTGTGACAACAACACCAATGATTAGTGAGTGTAGTATCACCACGTGAATTTTGGTTCGGCAATTGCTCTTTACTTCAGTTGCCTTAATCATGCTAAGTATCAATTTTACTACGGCTGTTTTTGGTGATGAACAGACCTTCTGACAATTGTTCAAAAAGACAAAGGTAAACATTGATGAAAAGGGACAAGTATCAACAACCAAACGATCAACCGAAGCATGCAAATTTAAACAACTCAAGCATAAAAGTTTTTCACTACTTTGAGTGTGATAGACCAATATGCAAATTAAAGTTGAAGTGAAAGAATGTTACTAAGTTCGGCTTCTTTATCGAGGAACTTTAGAAGTCAATAAGAGGTAGCTTGTGGAGATTCGAGGATAAAGATGCTAAACAGGAAGAAACTGAGATCAAGATGCTAAAGTAATGATAAGAATTCAACCTCCAGATGAGGTATGCAACATGTTACGTAAATGGAGTGGCTACTGGTCAACTGAAAGAAAATATTAAGGTTGCACAAATAAAATCAATGAGTAACAAATGCAGAAGAAGTAGATATGCTTCCCTCAGAAGATCCATCTGTAATAAAGTAATGAATCTCACGACCTTTCTCTCCAAGCTAGCCATGATTGTCGCGAAGCTTTCACAGTTTGCTTTTCAAGAGGCTGAATTGAAGATGGCGCCTAGAACTGGCTTTAAGCATCCTACATCTGAGAATGCAAACGAAAAAATACCTGATTCCGGGCACGAATTTCTATTTACTTATAGTTTCTGGCGTAATTAATAGCTAATGTGAGCTTTATTGCGTGCACAGACCACACACAAATATCGATCTCGTCTAAGTTCTTTTGGATTTTATTGGGTGTTATATGCAACTAACAACGATTTTGGTTTTCTTAAAACGATATTCTTCAAAATACTCACCAAGGAGACTAAATATTTTGGCTGCTAAGATATCAGCAGCAGACAACATTTAAAATGCTCAAATGTCGGATTTCTGCAACAAAAGGAATAGGAATAATGAAACTTCTTTCCTAAATCGCAAAACAAAACCAATTACAAGAAATTTATTTATCGTTTTCCTTTCTTGATAATCAAAGCATTTCATGTCACTGAACTCAACCTTCTTCTACGATCAGTCTAAAGAGACAGATACAATAGATAAATGTAGATGTTTCGTTACATTTACTGTGACGCTAACAAACCTTTTTGATAGGATAATTGTGACTAATTATTAACTCTGAGGTTACTACTTTCCTAAATGAAGACGAGCGTAAAAAGAAATCTGAATACCCTGTTTTATAAAGAATTCCTACGAAAACTTTCTGAATCACTTCTGTATATTGCATAAGCACACTTATCAAAGTCAGTAAAAATCGTCAAGCATCTGGTAGGGAAGGATCACAAAAGTATGTTTAATTATTTGATTCTGAATTGTCTTCCTTATCAGTGCATATTTTGGTAACTAAGACTTCAACACAAGGAAGTTGTGCTTTTCGGAAGATGCTTGTCGTAGCAGAAAAAGATAAGAAAATACAGTTAAAATATCAACAGTTGTCTTCTAGTCAAGAGTTAAATCATTCGTTTCTCAGAGTGACTGATTATTTTACTAAGTTAAGTAATTATCTCATAACCATTTGCTTTCATCCTTACAGGTACTACAAAACATGCTTCTGCTAGTTTCTAAATTTTGGGTTTTGTGTTTCAGGTGTTATTTTTTCCGAATACTTCTTACTACAACGTATTTATAGAATACAAGTCCGTCGTCAGAATAAAGGTACACTGAACTAATAAAGGTATTTTTGAGATACAGTTGTTTCTAATGCTGTCATTTGACATTTTTATAAATTGAGAAAATGATTTAACTAAATTGTGAGTGAAAAACATATAGGCTACATTAGTTATTGGTTTCAATCGAAAGAAACATATGGCAGTCACTACTAAATGTATGCATGCTGGAGCTATAAGCTTTCTGTGAATTTTACTAAGGTTTTCACTTCAGAACCAAATGGGTTGGTGAGTTATTAATTGACAGACAAAAATGAAACCCTAATGACTATCGAAAATGATATTACCTTTCAAGAATTGAGTGTAGCCTGATTTATAGATATAAATCTCTGAGAATAACAGGCGTGAAGAGGCAGTATATATAAGAACTCTTTATGAAATTATCGCGGAGAAATGATAAAATAAGGCCAAAACCGACAGCCGAAATATTTTTTACATTCCTTGAGTAAATAACCTGCATATGGCGATCTTAGCTAAACTTTAGCCTTCTCCATATAAAGGCACCGGATAATCACAAACAGTCTCCTGTATTTCGGTTATTTGGGATGTTATGATTATCTCTAAACCGCTGTTGTATTCAAAGGCCACCAACTTTCATAAAACACCCAAGTTCATCAGATGTGTTTACAGGAAAATAGTTAGCACGCTAAACTGTACATATTCACCCTGTTTGCCTTAGAATTAATGTCCATATGACTTAGTTGCCAAACTGCACATCATATATATTAATGTGTGCACATGTATATCACTATATGTATTACATATGTACTACATAACAGAAATGCGTATTTCTGCTAGCAGGAACTTACCGATTTCCACTACTCATCTCTGATAAAATCTCCTCCAATTCAGTCGACAAGCGCCTTAAATCGCCACATATCTGATTTTTTAGGATGTCATTATCAATGAGTGCGCTCTGAAGGCACATATCCTCCAACAGTACAGCAAACCCACATTCGTTGATGACATATGGCAGCAGTTTCGTTTTGCGGCTCAGGAAGCTCTAAAATCTGTTAATAAACAACAAATGCATACACGAAGATCATCGATCGAAATGTGACTCAACAAATTAATGATAACTATATTGTCAAATAACCTAAGGCTTTCTCTAACACCTAGTTGGTAGTTCAGTGGACCTTGTTGTGTCTAAAACTGATAAAAATATGTATTCAGTCCATTTACTTTATCGCTCATATCAACGATAAGGACGTCAGAGTTGTACACAAAGTCCAAAGTCTCCGTGAGTCCATGCGAAACTTCTTCATATGACAAAAACCGAACTGTCGCCTGAACACTATTTTTGAGTGTTACAATAAGCAAAAAACAAATACTTTTTGCATGCAATGCAAATCTCCTCGATAGCTTTATCTTGATCAAAGGGAACATTTAGACTGTTTCGATCTTCTGATATACAAACCACTAGCATATTGGAAACGAAAAAATATTTTGAAGAAGTGAATTGAATAAGAGTACAATAAACAATATCTCCGAAGCTTTTAAACAAATGTTATATTGGCAATAAAGCATCATGATACGAGGTTCGAAAACACTGTTGTTCAATACACAGTTGGCTTTAATAACAATCATATTTTGTGGCAAACCTAGAACTACGAATTCCCAACTCACAACTTCCAGTTTTTAGGTGCCTCTGCAACATCGAACTCAAATTTATTACAAATGCAGAATGTTTAATTGACTGGAGTGCTAACAATACTCAGAAATCAGAGGTGTTTGGAGTCACGTAACCCGTTCCGAGGTACTGACCTACTGAAACTTTAGTTTACAATAATCTTTTTCGTTGACGTACTCATGAATGCTCAGATCTGGCAGTTGGTGAAGTCCCGAATAAAAACAAAATAGGATCATCTTCATCCTATCATATGGAACTTCCCACCATGGATCAATTCAAATTCGTTAAGAAGTCCCAATGACAGAAAACACAACTCATCAGGATGCCACGGATACCAACCGAATACCACAGTGATCACGTCTAGGATCAATATCACTATCATTCCGTTTTAAATTAAATTGACTATTTGCAACGCATATCATCATTTTGCATTTTCCCGGTAGTACCGTTGAGCTTAAAATATTTGCATTACTGTGGTTCGCGATTTGGACGACTTCTGAAACGGCCTCATGCACATTTTTCCTGTTTTTACGAACCACTGTGTGAGACAAAAAGCTACTAAAACACACTGACCCAAATCAGGTTGCATTATTAGCAGGTGTAACTCATTCTAGACGCAGTTACATTTTTAACGTAGTGAATGCAAACTTAACAAATGTAAGTATCATGCGGCACTTCGTAGATAATGTTTTGATATCAATGGTGTGCAACAAAGGAGAACGCCAGATGTCTTTAATTTTTAACGCCAGCTGATGTAGCATAATAACTTAGATGTATAATGACTAAGTCGCAACCCTGTCGACCTGATGACAGACAGAAACCGGAACTTCTGCCAATTATGTCTACTCAAAATCAGATGAATGAAAAACAACATCACCTAAACAGCTGAGTAGTTTCCCAAGTGACTACAATGCTAACTACCGGTTGCTTTATCACCCCTTCCTGTTGCCATAGATAACTCAGTTTCAAATAATGGGATGCACCTTCCTAAGCTTTTGTAAAAGATCTCTCTTACAAGTTGCTTTTACATTCGCGAAAACACCACAGATACCCAGCTCTATAAAAGGTTACGTGGTTAGTAAATTGATCCTTTCGAAACCATCTTCGCGCGAATTATGGCAAAAAATACATATGCAGCAATAGTTGTCAGTACTCTTTCACCACCCACTCTGGTATATAATGTACTGTTAACGGCCATAACAGCAATAAGTGGTTTTACTAACTGATAACTGGTTAAGATTCTAGGCTGAGTGAGATCGGTCCTATTTCCCTACTATATCTACTAGGCGAAGTTCACTTTGTCCAACTCAGAACCCAAAAAGGTTAGCGAATGTGTCGACATTGTGTGACCACGTCGGTAAGTGCCCTCACTAGCATGAAAGGTCATTATTTTGAATAACTAGCCTTTCAATTGATAAACGAATTTTTGCGTAGTTCAGTATCCCACTTTGACTTAATCTCTCTGTCTTGCTTCATTGTTCTTGCTTCTGTTTGCTACCACTGAGAGCTTTCATTCACACCCGTCAAATCTACCTTACCATTGCTTTCAAAACTCTGAAAGGTGTGGTATATTTCTGACTTTTTTGAGTTTTGTCAGTGCCAATGATCTTCTTGCAGAGGAAAGGACTTAGTTTTACCAGTAGAATGGAAGCATCTGGTACAGGCTTTTTTAAGTTGTCAAACTGAAGTTAATCATAAATATCTTCACCTTACAGTAGCACCGGAAAGTTACCACGATATCTGAACGTGAAGTGACACGTAGTAGGAGTGCGCAGTAAGTTGTTAATGAGTAACTCGTGAAATTCACCCATATGCACCCACCCCTATAGGACGAAATTATGACTATATTCGGTGTTCACTCGTTCGAGAAACGTCATGAGTGCAGATCAATTCGTCATGTAATGCGACATCATGCATAAATTTGGTTTACATTGCTACTCAAAGGGAAAGAAATGACTAAGGATGCTACATGTGCCGGGAATCCTGATGCCGTAATTTATCCCATTCCACATGACTAGCACCAAATGAAATGCCTTGGGCGAGTTAAAAGTTAAAAACACTTCATTCACATGTGACGGAAGTTCAGTTACGCTCTTTGTAAAGTGACAGACTGCGAATAACCTCCAAAGGTGAGAGGGGTATACCAACTTGCAGGAACTCCAATCAGCCTTCCTAAACGTAACCACTCCGATAAGCAGAAGCACCAACCGCTTTTTATTGAGAAATCAAAAGGCGAACAGCGTGATATTCAAAAAACATTTTACCAGGGTGTGTATGCAAGTTTAAGACCGACAAAGGAAGCAAGTTTAAGCTTCATGTCATATTGTATTGAATAGCAAAAGAATCCCTAAGCAATGAAAGATTCGGAGTAGACAGCGTGGTTCTCCCTTCCAGGCTTCTTAATAGGTGAAGCTATTCAGGTTTTCGAACTGACCAAGGCCTTGTGTAACAGAATTATCAGATAGCAACATTTCGATGACTGGACATGCAAATGAAGAACATTTTTATATGTGATGTAAAATTTTCTTTCTTACAGCCTTGGGGTATTTAATACCTGGGATGAAAAAGATATGGTTAACAATGTTACCAAAGAATTTTCACCACTAAATGTAATGACCGTATCTGTAAAAATGATGCGCACCAGTAAATTTAGGAACAAATATTATCGTTTCCGCAATTACATCGGGTCTTCTGTGTTGGCAATATTTGGAGATAGGGTGAATGAAGAATACGTGAAATGATACATTTTGGGGTCTCTCATTGCCATATGTGTTGTGTATCATGAAAGAAGTAAGCAAAGGCGATCAGGAACGTACAGCATGACACCACTTTCCCAAATGGTTTCAAGTTTGACTTCGTTAGGAATCCCAAGGTCTACTCTAAGCCCTGTTTATCTTCGTATATGAGTACATAAACTAATCAGTATTTAACACTATGCCAGTGCTGCATTTGCATAGTCCAACCATGTCTTTGACTTGATGACACCGAAAACACGCCGGCCACTTGCTTCACTAATAAACTGGGAGATCAGAAAATGGGTACATGTCCAATCGGTTTTACAACGACTCCTACTATTCCCCCCTTCTTCGGACTCCATATCAAGACGATTTCTCAAATGCAGGTGTCGCCCTCCCTTTCGAAACAGTGCGGATTATAAATAACAGGACGGTTACCGAGCGTCGCCTTTATAAAAGCTGACTTGAAACGAGCATCAAACAGATCAACTGGTCATCGTTTACCACAGGTTTCCGTGGCCGTCCTCAAGCGTTACTGACGCAACCTAACAGTTCAAGCGAACCCATTCACCCCAAGTAAATTGCGAAAACCTGGATGGGCTTCGTACAGCTGAACGAATCGGCACATCTACTGCCGGTTTTCTCTACACCAGGCTGTTTCCCACTGACACGGAGAAAGTAAAGACTGTTCCTCAACTTCCTGCACGCGTGACTGACTGAAAGAATTTACAATCTACCCCTTCCTTACGAACCAAAGCTGAAAGATCCAACCGCAACTTCGCGTTCGTAACAGACTAAGGTAGATAAAAATTCTGATCGAATGGTCACTGCTGTTGAGTTATATTAAGTCCAATACACTGCCACCTCTTGTAGGAGTAGTAACAATTTGCTTCCATCCAAAAATAACCAGTGAATGAAAAAAGTCGTCATACCCACCTGGGCCAGCAAGCGAATCTCACTTAATTTCAGGTGGGTTAAAGTCGCCGCTTATGATTATACAGGAGAGTGGATGTATATTCCAGAGCTGTAATCAGCGGAATTTCATGACTGTTAAAGGTACCAGGTGCTCCGTAAACATCCTATCAATGCTGTGACATTCCTGTAGTGTGCTGTGGTCCACAGCGAATCACATATCTTACCAAGAACCATATATTCTGGCCGGAACACGGTGAGAGTGTCCAGGAAGTACATCAAACAACCTCCTCCTTCTTGTTACCCCAGTCACTTAGGAATTGTGTGTACTTATAACTACTTATCTCTTCATCTGGTGTATTTGCGTGGCACCAAGACTCAGTGACATCTAGTACAGGCGGCTTAAATATGAGCGCGACCCCTCTTAATGCTGATGGTTTGCTAAGGACGGACCTTGAGTTTATGAGATCGCGTGCAAGTAGGAGGAATAATAATGCGTAAAGCTTTCCAATTCGCTAAACAAGCCAGAAGGTATCCCAGTGTCACTTGATTGGGTATGAGCCGACGTCGTTGCGTCTCTACACCTCTCTCACTTGTAGCTGTAGAGTTACTAGAATATTCTAATGGTAAATCGACCGTGCAATGACTTGAAATAGTATCACCTTTGTTGGGGAAGAATGGAGCAGGGTTTTTATTTAGGTGTTTGCCGTTCTCATCGTATTCACATGCACAGAGTTTGACCGCATGCAAACGTAGTCTGCAGCATCCGTATCAGTTTCACAGAGGGTAGGTAGCTTTACTACTGTACGTGATGGGTGTGTAGGGCTGGTGATACCGCTTCGAGGACTGAATAGACGTGTTGTGTTTTTGCGCGTGTTGACGCTACTTGATGTTGGCTCTTCTCATTAGCCCGCGAAAGGGTTGGGTTATTGTGACGTCTATTCATTTTCTCGTTATTAATGGGATGTAGCTCAGTACATAGAACTTTTTTGATGGGGCTACTGTTCGTACTTCTGTCAATTCCAGAGGGGATAACGGAATCATTTCAGGTCATTGTATGCCTTCTGAGTCTGTCTCCGCCTGCTGCGTTCCACGACAGCATTTGTTCATCGGTTGTATATCGAGTGGCTGATATACCAGGACCAGTGG